GGGATTGCTACGGGACAATCTGCAGTTCTCACCCGGGCTCCAGCGATCCTTGGCCCGCGAATGAGAGGATCCGCGAACTCTCGGCGGGGTTTAGACTTCACTCACATGGGACGAACTTTTCCAACTCGCCGTAGTATATAAGCTCTCGGTCACCAGAAAGCTTCTCCCCAGCTCAGAGGCTCTCTCCTCCTCCCGTCCACGCCTCCCTATTCACTCGGTCTCCATTGACAGCCAGTTCATCGCGGTGGGATCAACATGATGACAAAGCTCAGCCCTCTTGCAGTCCTTGCAGCCTCGCTTTCCCTCGTGTCAGCGCAGACCTACCAGCGACTCGGAACCTGTCCAGACCTTGGTTGCGTCCTGCCGCCCGACCAGTCGGACTTCCTCCCCGGGCAGCTCTTCGACCTCCGTGTCGAGGTCCATGCGCCCCTAAACGGCTCCGAGGCCTTTAACAACGGCGTCCCTGATGAGTCCTTCACGGTCAGCATCGCAAAGGAGGGTGCCGAGGCCAAGAGCCTGTCCGACTTCTTCGGTGTCGAGGAGCCCGAGCTCGAGAAGTGGTCTTTTGGTTGGTACGAGGACCTTTTCGCCGAGGACGCGGAGCAGAAAAGCATGGTCAATGTGGCCTCCAAGATCTGGCGCCACATCAGTCTGTATGAGCCCGGCAACTACGAGGTCACTCTCAAGTACTACGATGGCAAGACCACCACCGCCAACTGGGTTGTGCGACCTTTGGCGACGGAGAAGAAGGCCAAGAACGTCATCTTCTTCATTGGTGACGGCATGACCACAAACATGGTTCTTGCACCCGTATACCATCGTCGCAACCGCTTCTAACACGCCACAGGTCACTGCTGCCCGCCTTCTCGGTCACAAGAGCGTCAATGGAAAGTACCAGACCACCCTGGCTCTGGACAAGTTCCCTGTCCTCGGTCACCAGATGACGCATTCCATCGACAGCTACATGACTGACTCTGCCAACTCTGCGTCTGCGCTGTACTCTGGCCACAAGAGCACCGTCAACGCCATGGGGTGAGCCCGGTCATGGATGCTACCTAACGGCTTTTGCTGACTGTGCTAGTGTCTACGCCGACTCTTCTCCCGACGCCTTCGATGATCCCAAGGTCGAGACCATTGTTGAGCTGATTCACCGTATCTGGGTATGTCGGTCATAGACTTGCAAATCGAGGGGATGTTGTACTGACTTTGTAGGGCTCCGCGTGGGGTGCCGTCTCAACCGCCTTCATTGCCGATGCCACTCCCATCGCCCTGACCGCACACACCCGATCCCGCTCCCTGTACGGACCCCTGATTGACCAGGCCCTTAACGGTGTCACCAACTACACTTGGACCAAAATGAATGGTCCCGACGTCTACCTTGGTGGCGGTGCCGAGCAGTTCTACCCCGGCACGGGCTCTTACCAGGGCAAGAACTACTACAAGGAGTTCGCCAACAAGGGCTACACCGTCGCCCTTAACAAGACCTCCCTCGAGGCTGCCAGCGCCAACGAGAAGCTCCTCGGGATCTTCACCCAGGGCAACCTTCCCGTCTGGCTCGACCGCAACGTTCTCACCGAGAACCTGGGAAAGCTCACCAACGACCCCAGTGGCAACAAGAGCGCCGCCCTTGACATCCCCGGCCTCAAGGAGATGACCCTTAAGGCTGTCGAGACCCTCCACAACCGTGGCGGTGACAAGGGTTTCTTCTTGATGTCCGAGGCTGCCTCCATCGACAAGCAGATGCACGTCCTCGACTACGACCGCGCTCTCGGTGACCTCCTGGAGCTCGACGACACCGTCAAGGCCACTATTGAGAAGCTCGAGGAGCTCGGTATTCTCGAGGACACTCTGGTCGTTGTCTCCTCCGACCACGGCCACGGATTCGAGTGAGTTGCCCTGCCCATGTTGCGCTGCTGCCAAGCTAACCTTTCAAAGTGTCTTTGGAAACGCCGACACAAAGTACCTCGCCGAGCAGGAGGACGACCGCGCCAAGCGCAGGGCCGTCGGTGTCTACGCCAACTCTGGTCTGTCCCAGTACACCGTCGAACAGCCCGGCGTCAGCTACAACACCGGCCCCAACTTCCCCTTGAACTGGAACCCCCGCTACGCCATCGCCGCCGGTGTCGGTGCCAACCCCGACCGCCGCGAGGACTACAAGCTACACGAGTCCTCCCGCACTCCCGCCGTCCCCGCCACCAACACCTCTGACTACTACGCCAACCCCAAGGATGCCGTCGATGGCTTCGTCGTCAACGGCACTCTCCCCACGAACGAGGCCCAGGGCGTCCACTCGCTCACCGACGTCGCCGTCTGGGCCCGCGGTCCCTGCCAGGAGACCTTTGGCGGCACCTACAACAATATTGACATCTTTTATAAGATGGCCAACTGCCTCGGTCTCGCGCAGCCGCGCAACGTCACGGCTCCCAGCGGTACTAGGCACAGAAGAGCCCTGGAAGCATAGGGTGAATGGACCCCCCTTTCTTCTTCTTCTTCTTCTTCTTCTTCTTCTTCTTCTTCTTCTTTCAAGACTAAAAAGCATGGCGGGTGGTGTTGAGTGATGATGTATATAAATCTCCTAGGGGGTTAGAGATTGGGCCACAATGGCCTTTCTAGTATTTTTAGTTATACCTTTTGAAACATAATGTCATCACATTAATTACACCTCGACCTTGACTCAAATGCGAACGCTGCTAGAAGATTGGGTTCCGTGTTCTGCAGGGACAAAACCCCAACATATACCTGGATGGGTACTCGCCTACGCCAAATCCGTCTCCGTGACTTGATCTAAACAACGCGTCTCTTGTCAGTCTGCTTCTACCCTATTAAACAGTTGCTCTCCGGATTGAACCCGCTGCATCATTGTGATGCGGATCGACTTGATGGTCTCACCGGTGAAAGTCCCGATGGAGGGATTGACAGAAGTTTAGTGGGTGGCGCTGTCTTACAGGTACGTGACCTAGGATTTGATAGGGGCAAGATCGTGCCACGAAAATTGCATCCTGAAAGGGTTATATACAGGTCAAGCGCGACCGCGAGGTATCTATATTGTGTATTGTATCCTCGATTCCGTATTGCAGCCTCTCGAATCCCATCTCGGGGACGGTTGCTCCATGTGTGTGCCATGGTCGGTCTCCCACGACCCTCGCCGGGCACCTCCTGACTTCATGCAGCCTTGGTGCAGGATAGTTTACATCACACGTCAGGGCCCAAACTGCGCTCATCAGCCAAGAGACCACCTTTTGAGGATCATGTGTAGACCACGTCGGCCTCAAAACCCAGCCTAAATGTGGTAAACTTCCCTCGAAGCATTCCGCCCCATTCTGATCACTCGCTAGTCTCATAGGAGAGCACTGGGCCCCGAGGCCATCTCGACCGATAGCCCATCCGGCTGATTCAAGTTGGTCGGGAGGAAACAGGAGTTACTTTCCGGAAAGTCTCTCCAAAATTCCCATGACCTCCTCGTCGTCAATCTGCCCCTCCTCGCACTTGGCGGTGTAGCAGCTCGAGTGCGCCCACACACCGTCTCCGAGCCCGTCGACCACGTCCCCGACGTTCTCTTTCCTCACGCCGCCGCCGACGATGACCTCCAGCCTCCTCACGCCCGCGCCCGCCTCGCGCACGACCATCTCCAGCACCGCCCGGTTCGCCGCGGCTGTCCCGGGCCCGCCCGAGGTGAGGACCCCTTCGAATCCGCATGCCACCAGGTCCTTCACCGCCTTTTCGACGTCCCGGCCCTCCCCGGACCGGACGGCCTCGTCAAATGCCCGGTGGAAGGAGCAGGCCAGCCCGCCGGCGGCCTCGACGAGCTCCCGGCTCCTCTCGACGTCCACCACCAGGGCCTCGCCGTCCCTCCGTAGCACCCCGAACACGAACCCGTCGCCCCGCTCCGCCCGCAACGCCCCGCGGAGGGCCCCGATGTCGGCCGCCATGGCCGCGAGCTCGTCGCCCGTGTAGACGAAGTCGACGTCGTCGGCGGGCTTCCCCCGCGGCCGGATCATGACCCGCACGGGCACCGTAAGCCGCTCCGTCACGCCTTCGAGGTCCGCCGCCGCCGGCGTCGTGCCGCCGACGGGGTAGCTCCCCCGTGCGTTGAGCTCGATGCGCTGCGCGCCGAGCGCCTGAGCGCGCAGGGCCGAGGCGGGCGAGAAGACTGGTATCTCTAGGTTGATTGGCATTTCGGTTTTTTGATGCGGGATGGTGGGTGGAAACTGGAGTTGGTTGCTCGGGTGAAGATAAGATTGAGATAAGGTGCATGCATACTCACATACAGTAGCGGGATACCCCAAGCATGACCCAGTATTACTAGGTACTGCTTGCTGAACGTCTCTTTTGGAGTGTCGTGAAGCAGGCGAACAAGCTACTTTCGCTAGAAGAAACAGCCATTTAGAGCCTTCGATATTTTCAAGGTCGTCGAACTCCTATTTAGCATTCCTTTCATTCCTCTTGGTTTTCTCGACTCCTCATGCTCGGGCAGCAACTCCAACGCCAGATCATGTTATTTTCTACATGCTTCTACTCGTCTTAGTATCCACCAAAGGACATGGGAATTCGGAGTGGCTCAAACTTATCGGCAAGTCTAGTCATCATGCATATACTACCACGTAGGAGGTGTTGAAGAAAGGGGAGACGATACAACTTCTTCTGTCTATGATACTTTTGTTTTTTACGCACGCGTAATAACTGTTGGATCCTGGGTGACCAGGGGCGTGCACACGTCCAAAATAATAATAATGAGGATCGTTCCGGCACCAACGCCAATTAACCTCATCCAGCCGTCAAACCCCAATCTCATCTATCCTGGCTAATCTGCCTCAGACCAGAGACTCAAAATACTAATTTGATTCCTCCGAGAGTGCGTTTCCGTTCTGGTTCTGCGCGTAGATCGCTCTTCTTCAGCGGGCCATTGGAGACCGACGATGTGACCCGGATAAGAGTTGCAAAATACTTGTGCAGGCTCAGGCAAACATCGACAAGTACCAATCAATGTCTTTTCTGGACAACTACGCCTGGCGCCAGTCGGAGGTCTTGCGAGGCTCAAACTCTTTGTCGCGCGTAGCCACCAATTGTTTCTTCGGCTCCGCCGCTGGCACCTGGGGGCTCTCCGTGTAGCTGCCGCTGTGCCTGCCCCGGTAACGAGCTTGAGGTACACTATCAGACGCAGAAGACGCAGGGCGCTGAATGTTCCCTGGGGTAAAATAGTCGTAATCGTGGACAGTGGAAGAGCGACTCTTGGGGCTTGGATAGTCGCCCTCTATCAAGCCATAACTGCGACCGTTGTAGCTGGTCCACGAGAAATCAAGACTATCGGAGATTTCATAGTTGGCTTCCATGGCAGAAGAGTTGCGGCCAGGAGACTGCCAATCCTGGGAGTCGCCAAATCCATGAAGTGTTGGATGACAAGGCTCATAGCCGTATGAGCCGTGAAAATGGCCAGGAGTATGATCGCAGAAGACCATTGGATGGCTTGGAGCGTGCTGCGTATTATCGTGATACTCAGGGTATGGATGGAAGTTTTGGTCATGGTACCCGTAGTCGTAGTACGCCATCGGAGGGACATGGCGGCCAAACCCAATTGGGGTATAGTAACCAGGAGAGGAATGGTGGGAGTCCGGTGCTGCGCAGTAGGCATTGTTTCCCTGGAGAGCCTGAGAATGAACACGGCCATGACCCTTCTTTGGGTTTCGGCCATGTTGCTGAGGTCTGACAACTGCGTACGGGTGGACCCGGTGGTTGTTTCGGTGCTCAAGAGCCCTCGAGGGAGCTCTCCCGTAAGGCGAGTACTCGGTGGGCGACCGAATCTGCATTTCAGATACCTCATTGTACGAGTTCATATTGGCGGGGAGACCCCGATCGTGAGGCTGTCGGATTTCCTCGAGAATCAAACGCTCGACGGGCGGAGGTGCCTTGACCGGTATGCCTTGATCATACTCATTGTCAAGACCCATGTCAGCCTCGGGGACAGAACCGTAGAGGGGCGGAGCTCGGTAACGGACACGCTCGCCTGGGGACTCATCGAGCGGCCGGTTCTCCTTGTCATCCTCCTCATCCTCAAAGTCGTCTGCGCACTGGTGTACGCTATCAGTCACCCCGCTAGGGCGACAGCTGAGGCTGGTTCCATCTTGGCTGTCGTCTTCTTGGTACACATTGACTATAGACGCCGCGTCATCGCCTTGGCCGTCTATCTTAGCCCTGTCGGCCCTCTCTTCCTCCGTGGCCTTCAGGATTCTATTAACAGCCTGTTGGTATTCGCGCACAAAAACGCCAGCGTTAGGCGAGACGCGGGCCTTGTCGATGTTCTGGAAAAAATGCTCGACTTGATGTATGTTAGCACAGTGAAGCGGACGAGTTATGGGCGACTTACATAGACCGAGGTGGGTGTAGGTGCGTTTGGCATTGACGCCCATCAAGGACTGCATCAGTGGGGCGAGTTCCTCCCAAGTCTTGGTATGCGCAGGGCCAGTAGCGACACGCTTCTGAGACTGCGGCACAATGATACGCCAGAAAACACGTTCCTCATTGACAGACCAAACCTTTCCACCCATCCTGGCTGTTGATTGTTTCGTGAGTCGGTATATATGTAATAATACCAGAAAGTCAAAGTAAGGATGGTTGCTGTCAGAAGATTGAATGTAACCGTGATGATAAGAAAGAGTGAAACCCGAATTACAGGGCTTTGATGCTGCGGATAGAGTGATTCAAGTCCGAATGGAAGGTTTCTTCCGAAGGGTGACCGAAGGGTTCTGGATGAAGAAGGGTTGAAAACGAGCCCAACATAGACTGTGTTGATACTCGAGGAAAGAGCTAGTGAGTAGTCGAAGATATAAGTGTGAACAAACTCTCGAAAGTTGACGTTGTGCGGCGAACTGATAGAATGGGGTGAGAGGGAGGAAGTGTGGCGTGGAATCGAGTGCGACTTTGTTTGTTTGAAGGAAGACCACTGCCGTCAGGTTGAGGTTTTATTCCTGGGATATATAGCGACTGAAGGTCGCTGACGGCGGTGTGAGATTGATCCAGTGAATTGAGAAGGCGGGAGTAAGTGAATAATCGGGTCACCAGATTATTGAATATTTTTGGAAAGGAAACGGGATGAAAGGTAAACGAGAGAAAGTGTTTCCAGATGAGAGCCTGGAGTTCTAAGTCCAGGTGTGTTTTTTAATCTGGATATGTTTGAGAAAGAGCAGTTTCCTTTGAATGCCAAAGCCAATGCCCTGGTCATTCATGGACCGAGGAAGGTGAGGCTGAAATGGCTGCTTTGAGTAAGGACCGAGGGTGGTGGCCTCCTCCCGAACCGTTAGCACGTTGTTTCATATGAAGGAACATGTATACAGGCGATGGGCATTTTAACTAACAAGTGTAACGAACGAGCATTCATGAGGCATACCCATTGTAAATATGGGCTCATGTTTCCGCGTTTGGGAGAATGTATTACTATATGCTAGATTTGTAAGTATGGATGGGTAGTCTGGGTGGGTCTGGGCAAATCAACCACTACGTGATGGTATTATAGAACACTGCAGCGATACAAATGTAGCGATACAAATGTACAAAAGAGACACAGGGAAGTAGTCAAAGGGGGTAGAATAGGGCGAGACGGAAAGCCAGAGGTGGACTTGAGAGCTGAGAGGCAATTTAAGAGGCTGACAGCGGCAAGGCTCAAAGGTGAGGGGATGATTCAACAGGTGAGATGATAGTGGCAAGAATCACACAACCAAATAGGTAGAACCAAGGGACAGGAAGAAATGTAGCTGAGAGAAGGAAATACATGATGATGGAACGAAAAACGATGAGCTAGGCAGTTGAAGCTAGGATCTTGCGCTCAGTAAAATCGGAGGTTTCGCCTAGGCAAGATGTAGAACCGGAAAACCCCGTGAAACAGTCGAAACGCAGAGCTTAACAAATTAAGAAGAGCCATCAAACAACTTGCGTGGCATAGTATCGCTTACCGGTGTTCCTTGATCCAAAGTGTTCAGGTAGTATACATTTAGGCTAATGTTCACAATGGCTACTCAAAGGGACTATGCGGCTCTGCAGCCTGGTAGCCCCTGGCTACCAATGCTGCAGCCAAACGCCATTCGAGTCTCGATAACTAGTGTCGTTAGCAGAAAGCCTTCCAATTGAAGACAAGGCCACTTACGATACTCTTCTTTTCAGGTGAGACTACCCCATCTCTAATCCAGAAGCCCCAACCACCCATCATGTTGGCTAGCATCATGTCAGTGGTCAGGCGGTCGCCAACTACGGCGACCTGGGATGGATGGGAGACACCCGTCTCGGGATGGTTGCGAAAGTACTCCATGATCTCAGAACCGCACCCAGGCTTCTTGGTTTTATGAGGGAGAACAGTGATGCCGGTTTCTTCCTCCAGCTCCCTCGCCAGCTTCAGCGAGGTGTCGTAGGATGTCGCTCCAGCCGTGTTAGACACGATGACCAGTCGGCGGCCAGGATACGTGGCCTTGAGCTGCTCGAAGCGTTCCTGTTGTATGTCAAGAGAGCGAAAAGAGAATTCGTGCCCAATTCGACATACCTTATACGGTTTGTGGACTTCATTCGTGTGGGGAATCGCGAAGCAGTCGTCCTTATCGAGCACTACCGCCCGGATGTCACATTTTCGATCCTGACCCTCGAAGGCTTTGTGCAATGGTATGGGCAAGTCGTTGAATGTGGCGACAGTGTGTTGCGGTAGACATAGGGCCGGTCTGGAAAATAACTTGAAAATATTCACCGTGCCTGAGAGGTTGAGATTCATCTTTAACGACGGCCACGATGTGAGATTGTGGAGAGATGACGTCTGTGTGGTTGGACTTGAGAGACGATAGAAATTTGGCTTGCGGGAAGGAGCTTGGACCCCTGCCGAATTAGTGACAGCAGCTACCCCTGGCGATGGATAAGATAAGCTTAGCCGCGTATTTGTGCAGATAACCCTGTCATATCGAGGACGGGTCTCGAGCTTTTGAAGAGGATTTAATAGCGAATGATCTTGCCATTGATTTGGCCCATTTGCTTCAGACTGGTTTTATTGAGTATGATAGACGAACTACTTGGTAGTAGAGAAAGAAATTGAGTTGGAGCCAGTACAAATTACCCCTACCACAGAATCATATTAGGAGCAAGACCTGGTGAACTGGAAAGCAGCAGTTAGTTGTCTGGGACGGCTTTACCAACATTCGCTCTCTCGGCTCATGCATTCCCTTTGAAGCCTTGTAAAACCCTGCGACAGCGGTATAGTCGACTCGAAAGGAGTGCAGCGAGGCTAACTATTATGCTTCTTAAACAAGCTTTAGTGATGATATCAGCGTGAGACTGCCAGTGGTTTAGAAAGAAACGGTTGATCAATGACACCTCTGCTACTTTAATTGGTGCAGTGGGCGACTCGGCAAAAGTCGCCCATTCAGATAGATGCCTTGCAACCGATGACTACTTCGGCCAAGTGTATCTCTCCAAGGGACGCTACGAAAACTCGCATGAAGTTCATTCCGTCCCGTAACAACTAGTGACATGGAATCAATATATAAAATATGTGCTTGGTTGGATTTCGTATAACATTGGAAACATGGCATGAACTGTGGTTTAATAGTTAGGTTGTACTTGCGGCTGTGCTGTAAGTTAGGCACGCTAGCGTCCTCGACTCAATTAGAGCCATGGACCCACACAGAAACCTCACCCCGACTTCACATTTTCGCGGCTGCGCGTCTTCCGTTGCCGTGCCGCCAGAAGCCGCAATATTTACAGCAGTCTGCCATTGACTTCTCACGTCACCAAACCCGGACAGGCGACGACCCGACTTCGATCATGGCGCGCAACAGAACAACCGAGCCCGGCGTAAGTGACTCTCCAAGCGGGAGACTGAGCCAAAAACGCTCCCGCCAGCAAGTGCAGGACGAAACCAACGAGGAGCCTGTGAACGGCACTCCCTCGAAGCGGAGGCGTCAAGCTGCACCGGTCGACCCGTACGAAATACCATCTGACAACGATGGTGACGAGGAGGAGGAGCAAGAGGTGGAGGAGGGGAAAAAGGATAAACACCCCGAACCAGAACCCGAGAACCAAACCCCAAAGAAACGACGGGGCCGCCCGCCCAAACCCGCGACTCCTTTAGCCAACGGCACCGTCACACCCTCGAAACGGCGGCAGGTAAACGCCCTGGTGACACCATCAAAGGCCATAACACCGAGGAGGAGACAGGCGGCAGACCGCTCTGCACGGCGGAAGAGCGCTCGGTCACTCATTCAGAGCGTCATCGCCGACGATAGCGAAGACGACGACGAGGGCCTGGCCCGGGAGATCTACGAATCCAGCGAAGACGAAGACGAGGGGCCAGATGGACGAGACGTGCCGCCCGCAGAAGCTATCACGCAACCCTCTGAACCAGACACACCTTCCGCAACGCCCTCACGCCGCCGAGGCCGCCCGCGCAAGCAACCGCCGCCGAAATCCCCGACCCCGCCCCGAGACCTTCCTCCTCACGAGCTCTACTTCGAGCACAACAAGCCCGGCCGCCCAAAGACGTCGCACAACACCCTCGCATCCCTGGAGTTCCTCACACACGACGAGTACTTTGACCTTCTCCGCGCTAGAGATGAGCCCCACACCGAGGACCTTGCCTACCTGCAGTCGCTCCACGAGGCCTCGTTCGAGCAGTGGCGCTTCGAGCTTGCCCAGGGTTTCAGCCTGTGTCTCTACGGCCAGGGCTCGAAGCGCGACCTCGCGCGAAAGCTGGCGGAGCACCTGCACGCCGTGGACCCGAAGGCGCCCATCGTGGTGGTCAACGGCTACGTTCGCACCATCACGGCGCGCGACGTCTTCACCACGTTGGCCTCGGCACTCAGCCCGTCCCTCAAACTGCCCGCTCAGCCGACAGCAATGGTCCAGACCCTCTCGTCCGCCCTTGCCGCATCGCCCACCCACCTGACGGTCATCCTAAACTCCATCGACGCCGTACCCCTGCGCAAGCCGGCGACGCAGCAACTCCTCTCCCAACTCGCCGCCCACCCGCGCATCCGTCTCATCGCGACGGCCGACACGCCCTCCTTCCCGCTGCTCTGGGACGCCGCCCAGCGCACGTCGTTCAACTTCCTCTTCCACGACTGCACCACCCTCCAGCCGCTGGACGTCGAGCTGGACCCAGTCGACGACGTGCACGAGCTGCTCGGCCGCAAGGCTCGCCGCGTCAACGGCAAGGACGGCGTCGTCTTCGTCCTGCGCTCGCTGCCCGAGAACGGCAAGAAATTGTTCCAGCTGCTCGTCATCGAGGTCCTGTCCGCCATGGACGACGGCGACCAGCAGCCCGGGGCGGAGAACCCGGGCGTGGAGTATCGCATGGTGTACAACAAGGCCGTCGAGGACTTCATCTGTAGTTCCGAGATGGCCTTCCGCACCTTGTTGAAGGAGTACGTATACGTCCCTCACCCGATCCGTGTGGCCTTGATTGACAAGTTGCAGATTCCACGATCACCAGATCATCACCAGCAGGAAGGATGCGCTCGGTACGGAACTACTGAGCATCCCGTTCCGGCGGGAGGAACTCGAGGCCATTCTTGAGGAGTTGATGTCATGATCTAAGACGGGACGAAAGCTGGGGGCTTGTTTTATTTTACCAATTTACCGAAATATCTTCAAAAGGGCACAGCGTGATATTTCGTAAAGTGTGGACGGGGGAACAACAAAAGTAGCATGGGCCACGGCCCACTTCAGTCACATGGCAGCGTTATGGCAAAATATACAATACATTGCATTCGTAATGGTCATGATCCCCTCGGGGATAGTCTAGGAGTGTTTTCAAGCCCAACCGATCCCATGAAACCGTGAAACGCCCCCCCCCCCCTTCGTAGCCTCTCTACATTCCGACACTTTTAACGCACGTCCAGAGCACCACCGGCACAATAACGTTATCGTTTCCGCCGGTCAAGACGGCCTCTGTCAAGCTCGCCATGCTCGCGCAGAAGCCTGCGTTGCGGGCAGCCGCCGGCCAAGCGACCTGCTGCTCCTCGGCGACGGGCCAGCCTCCGACCCTCAGCCATGTTGTCGCCGCCATGAGACCGATAAACACAGCAGCGGCAAAGGCCACGCTGCCCTCCAGACTCTTGCCGCCACCCCATACCCACTTCCTGTGTCCGTAACGACGGCCGATGAGGGAGGCGGCTGCGTCGCCCAAGCCGACACAGACCACGCCCGCCACCATGCTCACTTCGCGCGTTGGAACCTCCCAACCGGTGAGGTAGTGGCTGCCAGTGCGCGGGAGGGTCGCCAGTGACAGCCACAGCGGGATGGCGCAGCCGATCAACAGGAATAGGTGGGAAATAACAACAGGGCCTTTGTGGTCTCTTCCGTCAACGTAAGGGGTGAGGAAAGACGCGATGGGTTTCGACAGAGGCGGTAGCTGACTCGCTCGCAGCAGGTCGAGAATGAGGAATATCGCAAGGACTAGGGATAGTGCTAGAGCCGCGAAAACGGGGTCAACATACGTTGCCGGTAGGAACATGCCGACCATCATGAAGTGGAATACTTTTCGCCTCGTGTCTACTTCGTACTTGGGGTCTAAGCGGATGACCACAGCCAAGCCAACGATAACAATGGCAAGCCAGTAAGCACTCAGCAGCAGTCGCGTATTTGCCTCACCAAAGTCGGAAAGTCGGATGCGCTGCACCCAGCCTAAGTGACAGGCCGCCATTGTGTCCTCATCTCGGCGCATAGGTAAACAAATCCATCTCTCGAGATTTGCCTCCACGACTTTGAATCGGAACCACGGCAGCTCGCCAAAGAGGTATCCCAGCGCCCACCCGACGGGCTCGCTACCTTTCAGGGCATACCTGCCGATGTACTCTCTCACGGGCACCAGGATGATGGCGACGATGCAAGCGTAAACATAGGTGGCGTAGCTCCACTTCCTCATCGTGGCTTGTGCCTCCGTCAGTTTGAAAAACGAGCGAACAGTTGTCGAAGCGGTACGCTTCCTACGGCCTGCCGATGTGTGGGTCAGGGACCTTCGAGGCCGCGGCCGTTGCACGGCGTTAGGGAAGGTATTGCGCCGTCCAACGGTGGTGCCACCTGGTGATTCTGGAGACTTGCCGTCCGAAAAGCCGTTTGGCTTGCTGTCTGCTTGAAATGACGTGTCGGCCGTGCCCAACGTTCTCACTCTCATGTGTCTTCCGAACGGCCCGTTGATTGTTTCGTCCTCAGAGTCACCCAGCTCCGTGGCCGATTCCTCCAGCGACGAACCCAACAGCTCATGCTTGAAGCGGCGTATAGACAAGGCCTCGGAGAGGAACCCAAAGACGGACGTCTTCTTCGAAGGCGTCGCAACCCGGCTAAAGCGTAGCCTTGGAACCCTAGCCAAGGCGATCCCCCATGAAATCACCGGTCCGCAGATGACGAGGACACCCACGCCGCCTCCCCATAGGAGTGCCTGGAGGATGGTGGCTTGGGGTGAGTGTGCGAGAAGCAATACGTTGATCAAGGCGATCGACAGTAGCTGTAGCTCGGCTGTAAGCAGGCTCGTCGTTGTAAGGTGATGCAGCACCGCGAGGAGTGTTTGGTGCAGCGGGTAGAGAAGAACAGCCATCTCTGGGGAGATGGCTGGCCTTGCGTACGACGTGAGTGTCCACTGGTGTGACATCCAGATTGGTACGCAGGAGAGAACCCATTGAAAGGGGTTGATCGCTTCGTGAGCTCGTGCCGTAGGAATTAGATATTTCGGTATCGAAGAAATGCTTAGAACGATGTTTAATGGTATGGCCGCCATGTTGTCGGGGGATATTAAGAGTGACACCAGCATCGTCACGGAAGGCGGATACAAAATAGGGGCGGGATCGAATACGGCGGGCACGGCAACCAGCGATTTTTTGGATGTAGTCCTTTGCCGAAACGACCATGCGATCAGTCGGAGAGGGTAGAGCGCCATGAGCGACGTAATCAGCACGGCCAGAAAGCGCAGTTCTACATGTTGTGAGCTTAGGATGGACCGGCGAACCGAATACCACGTACCTTGAGTCCAGGCGGAGAAGATGGGCTTCACCTTTGGATTCGACCGAACTACGGCAAAGAGGGAGCCAACAATGATGAACTCGGACACGCGGCGAATGAGCTCCTTGCTGCGCCGGTAATTGCGATCGTTAAGAAACCTGCGAGCCTCTTTCCGGTCCTCTTTTTCCTTCTGTCGCTGGAGGGCATATTCTTCCTGGTCTGGAGAGAACAAGGGCGTGGATGCGCCCGAGAAGAGTTCGTTACGGCCCCTCAACCCCTTGTGCAAGCGCACCTTAGGCGCAGGAAGCCCCTTTAGAAAATGCTCATCGTCGGCTTCGGTGCCACTATCGCTCCCCTGGGACGAGTCCCTTGTGAAGGAGGGGAAAGGAGACGGTGTTCGGCTCGAGTCTGCGGACGAAGTCCTCGGCGGCGTCGGTGTCGCATTAGACGGGTGGCAAGTCAGGCGATGGGCGGGGTGAGGGAGCTCTGTGTTGAGGTGGTGGTAAGGATGGGGAGATCTACTGAGGGTTCGGATGTCATCGTTTTCTTCCTTGTCGTGGGCGAAGAGAGCGGTTGGATCGAGGTGCTCGGGCATGACGAAGCTATGGCATTGGAGAGGGTTGCGCCAGCGTTCATCCACAAGTCATCAAAGGTACTGGGGGCGGGTGTTGGCGCTGCTGAGCAACATGGGATTGGATAATAGTAATGCCACAGGTGTGAGGGTGATTCAGGACGTCGGGACGCGAGTGTTGTTTTGTTGATGTTGTTTGGTCAAGTCAGACCATTGGCGGTTGGGGATTGGGGGGGGATTGACGGCGGGAAAGAAAGCGGAAGTGGGGAGCTCCCATCACATGAAAGATACAAAAATGGTTGCAAACCGCTACCTAGTTGGAGCTGTGCTGTCATCTGGGGCCGGGCTAACCCATACACGTGTAGTGAGTGTAATACTGGAAGCATCGGTCTGTGTTGGGAAAGCGGACGATCAGCCGCGCGGCGCCAGGGAGGAATGCGCCAGCGCGACTGGACGGGACGGTACAGTGACAGCGACAGCAACAGCGGGCGATGGGCAAGACGGCATCCCCACCGGATTTTCCAGGTGCACGAGCCACAAGACCAAACAGCACAGCCAGTGAGTGGCTTAGTCAAGGTTGCTCCTGCCATGCTGCGTGGGCGCTCGAGCTAAGGGTGAGGAAGGATGAGGTCAACATCCTTCCGCCGGGACCGAGGACGGGTCCTTCGCTCGCGAGACTGGCAGACGAGAAACCCCCGCGGTCAAGCACTCAACTCAAACAGCATGCTCATAATACGAAAGGCTGATTCATCAATGAAAGACAAGGCGCCGGTGACCTCATTCCCAGCATCTGGTGAGACGATACCCGATTACTTGTGCGGTATGCTGCCCATTCTTGCAAGCATTGCCCGGTGGTTGCCGCTCTTGGCAAGGACGGCAGCAATGTTGACTTTGCCGTGTCATTTTTAACATTTCTAAACTAGGTACTCCGTACTCTCGACTCGACACAGGTCAGGACAGAGCTCACAACCAGTCTCCCGCCCTTTTGAGACGAAAAACTCAATTGAGCGTCCAGCCGGGTATCCGACCTACCCTGCGTTGCTTGGCATTGTTTGTTAGACCGGAACACGTTGGCCCCATCCCACAATGGTCAAGTACTCACAGTGCACCATCCAAACGGAGTATGTGTACTCTTCTTATTCAACCCCCACCTCACCTCACCTCACGATGATCTAGAACCGACAAAACTGTCTCCACTGTCGGCTTGCAAGAAGAGGTTGCCATGTTGCGGAACAGTGGGCTGCTGACGAAATGACCAAGGGCCGCGGAGAGCCGACGTGGGTCGCACCAGAGGATAAATTGGAGAGGTAGACGATCCAGCATAACCCAAACCCCCACTGAGGTACGGATACTACTCTTCTTGAATTCGTCAAACGGCGCCGCCAACAAAAAAAGCTCTGCAAAAGATAACCGTCGATCGGATATTGCAATTACTAGGATCGTGGGGCGGTCGTGTCGGACGCTGACCGTCTCCCAATCTCGGATGGTGACCACCATCTACTGTAGGTATCCTCTCGTCCAGAGCCCTGGCCTCTTTTTCTCCTCCATCCGCTACGCTAGTACCCGGAAGCTCTAGCGGGCCACGAAGCCTGCATCGACATCGACATCGCGATTACCATACTGGTCGGAGTCCGGCATTCGGCTGTCTCGTGAGAGAGGGCCGCATCTCGTATCACCTGGTCCCTGCAGCGACTCAGGGATTGGCTGGTAGTGTAGTGGACTGGGGGCATGCTGGAGAAACGACAGCACAGGGCCGCTCCCCCCAAACCCGAACAAGATAATGGGTAGAGGAAAGTCAAAATACGAGAGGCTCTGTCAGCCCCATCATGGCGGTTCCGAGCGCGAGTGGCCGCCTCTTGGTAATTGGTCTGGTAGGGTGACGACACACCCTCTGATGGGTCGGGTCTCTGTTTCACACGCACGTAAACAGGAGGTCAAATGGGGCTGAGATATCGTACAGCGGCTTCAGGTGCACAACGCTTCAAACGGGCAACCACCACAGCCACCTCCATTGAGGACAAAACCGGGTGTCTAGACCAGATGGGTACCACCTTGTGTATCCGAAGTGTAGTTGCACTCACCGTTTGGTGTTGCACGTCGGATTCAGGTACACGGGCATGGAGCGTTCGCTTCATAACATCATCTATCGAAGCCAAAACGGGGCATATGTCTGCAAACGCGAGCTCGAGGGAGCGACATTGAGGCTCTATCGATCGGGTGGTAGGGAAACTGAGGCCGAAAAAAAGAAAAAGAAAAAAAAAACGGGACATCTCCCTTGGGATCCGCGGGCGGTGGGTTCGTAATCGACCTGCCTGCATGCAGCGCCAGCATGGTGGATGTCGCAAAAGCTGCAGCACCAAGACCCAACACCCCCCGAGCACTCGCTCGCCAGGGCGGATGGGTGCAGGCCCCGAGAGTCAGCGACTGCGCAGAGTATTCATGCAACCAGAAGTGACGACGATGCGAAGGTTGAAACCAATTGGACGGCAAAGCTCCGTGATCCGACTGATCAGCATCTATCTGCATGGGCATTGGCGGGGTCACCAAATGCGCCGTCGCAAGTCATCAAGACTAACGTTGACACAGACTAGATGGGCTCGTATCATCTATGAAGGCACCCTACTCCGTATGCTCAACCAGGTTGTGCAAATGTGTAGGACATTGAATCAGACGGATGATGCTCTCTCTATGCCCTGAGACGATACGTGGCACGGATATCTGGAGGCCTACTGTGATGTCACCGTCCACTTGACGACAGAGAACCAAACCAGCAGGTAAACAAGCAAGCAGCGTCGGACAGTGCTCTGGACGGGGATATCACGGACGGAGAGACATGCCATTCGTAGAAGACGCGCCGGGGAGGTGTAAACGGGCATTCGACATCATTCTCGACCCATATTGGGAGATGACGGGAGAAGGGGGGAGAAAATTTAGCTGGAACCGAGGATTAACGGTGACGGTAGCTGGTGGGAACCTGCGCCTGTCGATCCCTGTGCGGCGGCCCTTGCCAACACCAGCTGTCTGGTCCCGGCAAGACACAAAAGAGAGAGGGAGAGAGAGAGAGAGAGAGAGACTGTGACGGAAGAGTGGATGGGTTAATGGAAACTGGTGGTTCGGTTCTTTAAGTACTATGTACATTTACTTGAAAGGTAGTTCTAGGCCAAGGGGGCGTTTTGCACTGGGCAATTGGTAACTTTTTTCCCCATTCGTTTTTGAAGGGGGAACACCGTCCGGATCGGCCAGGGGTGACTACGTAACTCGTCACCAGAAGAAAAGAAAGGAAATAGAGCTACTGTACATAGCGTGACGGGTATGATGGGATGAATACGGTAGGTATGTCGACCTGAGTTGGGCCGATAAGACAGGGGTACGCGTGGATGCGTCGCCGGAGCGGCGAAACAGGGAATTCTCTATGTATAATGTAGGTGATGTATAGGTATGCACAAAGATGGTGTCCAAGACTTGCTCCCCCAGCCGGCTGGGGGGGCCGCCGGTGTGTGCAGTTCTGCCTGCCTGGCCTGGGATCATCTTCAACAGGTTTAAACGCCAATCCCTCCCCCCTCGCCCTGATGACATTCTGTTCTCTCGTCCGATCCGTCTTGTCTCTCGCCATCCATCCTCTCGTTCGATTTGGAAACAAAACAAGAAAGGAAAGGGAAGAAAAAAAAAAGACTACCCCGTGGTTTAGTTTACGACGCTCGCTCACAGCCCCATCGCCACCTCGTACCTGATTCTCACCACCACCTGTTGCGACTCACATTCCTCGGCGTGCGCTCTGTGAGATTGGCGGACCTTGCATCAATCTGCGCCCATACCCGTCGAAAGCCTCAAAACATTGAGCAACCGACCCAACCTGTCTGGGTATAGTTGCGTTCTTCTTTAAACGATAAACATCCACCTGGGAAGGTTTTCCGTTCCTTCTGGCTTCTTCTGACAGCGGAACCCTGTGCTCGAAGTACACGCGGTCTTACGCTACGCTAGCCCGCCCGGGTCTCACCTCAATACGCCAGCCACCGACAAAGAGTTTCGGCCGGCCAGGTCCCACGCCGTATCATTCTCTGGGATCGTCCATTTGCCCCATTCCCGTCACATTAGACGCGGCCGTTGCTGGCGACCTATACAAACAACCAAACCTCTCTCCAGTGTTTGCCGCTTGGGCGTCCTTTCCCCTCTTCTCTTACATTCGCTATTGCGTGGTTTCCCCCCCCCCCCCTTCTCGCCGCCTTTGCTGCAACTAAGACGCTAAGTTGAGGCCTGCATATCGTCGCCGGCCTTATCCTGCATATAGGCACTTTGGACGCCATTGGGCCTATCACGCAGTTGTTCCCCTCCTGCCGCCTTGGACAATAAGCCGACTGACTATAACAACCTTACATACCCCGGCTTTGGGTCCTGTTCGCCACCATGGCCTCCGATACCAAGTTTGACCAACACCTAGAAGAGGGATTGCTGCCTGCCGCTGCCAACGAAAAGGGGATTTCAACTTCGAGGCCAACCAGGACCTCAAACAACAACAAGATGACTGCCGCCCGCCGTGTCCTGCTTATCGTCCTGGCGTGCGGCCTCATGACCCTCGGTCTCGCCTCCGTCATCGGTCACCGGGTGAAGCCCTGCACAAGAGATCACCAGAAGCAGGTCCTCCTTGATGGCGGAGAAGCCCAGGACCCCGCCCAAGTGGATCTCATTCACCGGTTGCTGCATGCCTATTTCCCTGACCGCTACCAGGATGGGGTCTATCCCTCGGACAAGGACGCCATCGCTGCCTTCGAAGCGGGTGATGTCGAGCTAGCCTCTGCTCTGGACCAGCTGGCGAAGCGTCAGGAGAATGGCACAACCACTGCTCCATCTGCCACCGCAACGCCTTCGGACACTGTTGCAGCATCCCCGTCCGTCTCGTCGGCACCGCCCACAAGCGAGACCCCAGCCCCGACTCCGACTCCTACCCCGACTCCGACTCCGACTCCTACCCCAACTCCTACGCCGTCGCCATCGCCGTCCACTCCGGCAACTAGCCCCGCCCCTACCCCGGACACTAGAGTCTCTTCCACCCCGGTGCAGCCCAACACTCAGCAACAGACCACTCAGTCACCCGAACCCGCACCTACCACCCCTTCGACTCCGGCAACGTCAGCAGCAGCACCTCCTACTTCTGGTACGTCTCAAACGGAGCAAGCCGAGGCTCCCTCTTCTACTGTTGGGCCGTCTCCTGCCTCTACTGAGTCTCCTCCGACGACCAGTGGGTCTCCTTCCTCTTCTTCTCCCCCTCCCTCTTCTACTGCCCTCTCATCCGCTCCCACTACGGCCTCTCCGGGGTCCTCGAGTGCGTCCACGCAGGGTACGTCTACTCCCCTTCCTGTCGAGACTACTGCGGTTGTGACGACCTCGTCCCCAACGATATCCTCCCCGTCTGTATCGACCGTCTTGCCCACCGGTGTGTCTGTGTCTGTATCTGGTATGTTGTATCTGCGGTTTTGTAGCCCGTCTGGGATGTTTCGCGGGCTCCGGATGGCCGTTGTGGGGGGTTGTTCATGATTGATACGTGGATTCTGAAAAAAAGACCTGGACCTGATCACTCAACCCGTCACCCCGATCCGTCACCAGTTTCTTAATGCAGATTGCTAACCGGTTCACAACAGAAACCCCTCAGCCATCTACCGTCACTCGTGCCACTCCCCGGACGACCTCCTTCAGCGAGGTCCTGGCCACTTTTACGTCGACCGCCTCCAACGGCGACGTTGTGCTCTACACAATGACGTCTTTTGTCGCCGTGGACCCGGAAGCGACCGGCGAGCCTACCGGATCTGGCAGCAGCAGTGGCGGCGGCCTGCAGAACGGTGCCTCTCCCCTCGGCGGTGTTTCGTTCTCTTTGCCCTTCTACTTTGCCGGTTTCGTCGCCGGCGCCATGCTCTTGCTATAAAGCAGTCGAGCGTCATTTCTGGCACTGTCATCCCTGTTTGACATAAAACAATCGTTCATTCCTTTCGCTCTGGTATTTTCGGCACACGGCAGCGGGCAGCGGCACATACATATCCACACATCAGCATCACTTACTCACGACATTCACGGTCTTTTTCGCTCCTTGCATCAACTGGTGGACGACACAGCACACATAACATCGTACATAGACTTTGCGCGGCAACGAGCCGCACTTTTGCGCGAATAATAGACATTGGAGGCATCACAAAAGAAATAGTAGCATGGCCTCGGAGCGGCGGAAGGGAGGAAACAGGTATCACGGTAGCACCTGAAGTAATCGTTGGCAGACGAAAGCAAAGCAAACAAACAAATAATGATGTATCACTTGAGACTTTTTAAGATTCGAGACAGCGCGCGTGCCAGTGAAAATGAGGCCGACATCCATGACCTAATCCCCGGGATTGCCGCATTCTAGGCGATCTCGGCAGTGAGTGTTTTTGTTTCACTTTTCAGGGGCGACGCATCTCGTGTCTGCTGTTGTGCGAAGAGGATGCTCTTGCACGGGGGTTCCGTAAACATTTTCTTTCCCAAAGGACTTCTGGAGGGTATAGACCACAAAACGCCAGGGCCCAAAATAACGCCATTCCCGAGATGCACACACATGATGCGCCCTGACGACGCCTTCCCCTCCCACCAGTTTTCTCCGTTTTTAGCCGGGTCCTATCTTGGGCATGTCGTGGTGCTCGCTCAGCTTAGACAGGTACGTGTTGAGTTCCTCGACGCGCTCCTTGTGCGTCTTGAGCAGCTCGGGCCGGGAGCTGGACGACTCGGCGAGTTCGAGGAGCTGTGCGAGTAAGTAAGCGAACGATCTGGACACCGACCAGCGGGCGAGGCAGACAGAAAAGAAAGAGAAAAAGGGAAAGAAATAAAAAAAAAAAAACCCCCAGTGAAACAGAGTGCAAAACGTACCCTCTTGCGCTTCCTTTCCTCATACCGTCGCTCCGCCTCCGTCTTCCGCACGACCCGACCGTCGTCGTTGTCATCTCGATCCTCGTCGGCACCGGCCTCGGCCTCGGCTTCCAGGTCCTGGCTCACTCCGTCCTTCTTGGAATTCTTCTTCTTCCTGTTGTTGTCGTCGTCCCCGCCAGCGGCCTCGTCGCGGTGCTTCACCAACGCGCCGCTGGCGCCGCCTTCGTCGCCCGTCTCGAGATTCTTCTCCAGGTCGCTCTTTTCCCTTCTCTTCTTCTTCTTGGGCTTGCCGACCTTGGCGCCCTTCAGTTTGAGACCGCCACCGACGGCCGATGCGTACTCGTCCAACGGCATCGTGTGTGGTGGTGGTGGTGGTCGGTAGCCTTTTCCGCGTATTGACGTGGAGACGGGTCCGAGGTTATGCGGTCGTCTCTATTTCGGGTCAAGTTGTTGCGCGCTGGCGGCGGGGGGGACGGGTCGCCAAAGTTATTTGTTAGCAACGCAGCTTCAGCTTGTCAGGGGCTCCCCACCTCTCCCCCCTGTCTCGATTGTCATTGCGCTCCACACTCTTAAGCCGGTGGCAGGCGCCAAGCTCCAACTTGCGGTTCCCGTTCCCGTGCCGGCAAGACAACAAGGCCAATCATGGTTTGATCCGATCGACTTTTTGAGGATCCGTGCGGGCACGAAACTGCTGCGCAACTCGGCGGCTTTTGCAGCAGCAGAGACAGCAAGAGTGTCGGTCTAATTTAGTGCTTCTAGTGATCCCGTCCATCGTTGCAGCCAAAGTCATTCACTGGGGCAAAACACGCAAACAAGGGGCTACTGCCTACCCTACCCATTGAGGGGCTACGTTCACCTTAGGTAAGTAAGTAGGTAATTTACCTACCTACCTACCGTGCTCTCTACTCTGTGCTTTTGTCTGTCCTGAACCCGCTTTGTTCAAACCACCCCAACCTTAAACGACAAACTACCATCCCCCAAACATTAATTGTCTCCCTCGTCGTACTACTTTACTGTGTTCGTTTGCCAATCTTATTCCGACAACACTCTGATTGCGCAACAAATATATCACATTCCCTCATCCCCCTCCTCTTGCGAACATTGGATTGTTTCGATTTTCGCGTTCCAAAAGAAATCTTCTAGCGGGCATAGCTACCTACCTACCTCGGGAGAGGAGAGACGGACCCCGGCGCAGCTTTTTCACGACTTTTATCCGTCGACGAAACGTATATGTAAAACGACGTCACAATTATCTCCAGAGACATTGCTACTCTAATACCCAATTTCGCACACACGCACTTCAGGACGCGGGCGAATCCCCCACAAGCACACCATCACATCACACCTTGTCGGCGCAACATGCAATAGTCCCGGCACCATCTTCCCTCAAGCTGAACCGATTCAAACAGGTCGAGAGTCGCTCACTCATCGCGATCCTCGTTACCTCGACATCCAAGCGCATCCACCATGCCGCCTTACGCTAATGTCCATTCCCACCGCGACTCCCTCGAGCTCGCCTCTCTCGCCTCCTCCTCACGCGCCGACTCTGTCGCCTCGGACATCCCATCCTCGCGGCCCTCCATCTCATCCCGAAAACTCTCCTTCGACGCCGAAGACCCCCTAGACGCCGCCAATCCGGCCTCCAACGCCGGTAGGCCCAACCGTCATGACCGCTCGTACTCCGTCTCCTCGGGCTTCGACTTCACTGCCAACCTTTTCCCCCTTAGCTCCACCGCTGGCGCGGGCGGCGGCGGCTATGCTCCCATTGGCGCGCCGACTTCGACGGCGATACAAAACGGCGGCCTGGGCGGCGGCAGCTTGGAGAAACACAAGACGCTCACGTACCTCAACGGTTTGAGTCTGATCGTGGGGCTCATCATCGGGAGCGGCATCTTTTCCAGTCCCAGCCAGGTGAGCTCCAAAGTCGGCTCGCCCGGCGCAGCGCTGGTGGTGTGGGTGATTGCGGGCGTGCTGGCATGGACCGGCGCAGCGAGCTACGCCGAGCTGGGCGGCGCGATACCGCTGAACGGCGGTGCACAGGTCTACCTCGCAAAGATCATGGGCGAGATGGCCGGCTTTCTGTTCACGTGGGTCGCAGTCTTGGTCTTGAAACCCGGTAGCGCCGCCATCGTCGCCATCATCATGGGGGAGTACCTCGTCAGGGGGGCCATCGGCGCCGAGGCGGAGAGCCTCAGTCCGTGGGTGAACAAGGCGGTGGCCATGGTGGCGCTGATCACAGTGACGCTGCTCAATTGCTTGTCGACAAAGCTGGGCACCAAAGTAAATGACTGGCTCATGTTCCTCAAGTTCATCGCGCTGCTGGGCGTGACTGCAACGGGTATCGTAGTCGCGATTACTGGCGAGACCCTGACGGGCAAGGCCAGCTTGGAGTGGAAAACCCACGAGTGGTTCGCCGGCACGTCGTCGGATCTCTCCGCTTGGGCAGTGGCACTGTATGCGGGCCTATGGGCTTACGACGGCTGGGACAACGTAAGGACCTCTCGCTGCTCGACGTAAGCATGTACTGACCTTTCGCAGACAAACTACGTCGTCGGCGAGTTTCGCAACCCGAGCCGCGACCTCCCCCGCGTCATTCACACGGCCATGCCCCTCGTGATTCTATCTTACGTCCTGGCCAACGTCGCCTATTTCCTCGTCCTCCCCCTCGCCGCCATCAACGCCACCAACACGGTAGCGGTGCAGTTCGGGGCAAAGGTCTTTGGTTCCGCCGGCTCCCTCGTGCTCGCGCTGATCGTCTCGGCGTCTTGCTTCGGCGCTCTGAACTCGTCAACGTTTACGTCCTCGCGTCTCGTCTACGTTTCGGGTAAAGAGGGATACATCCCTTCCATCTTCGGTAGCATCGGCCTGTCCCGGTCAGAAGGTCGCTCGGTGACGGCCTCCCGCACCTCGCGCGGGCGCGTAGCAAATCTCCTCATCCGCGCCCTCGGCGACGACGATATGGGTCTCTTCTATACCCCCGTCTGGGCGCTCGTGCTCAACGGCCTGCTGACGGCCGCCTACATCATTGTGGGCGAGTTTGGTACTCTGCTGACCTTTTACGGAGTCGCGGGGTACACTTTTTATTTTATCACAGTCCTGGGGCTGATCATTCTTCGTGTGCGCGAGCCGCAGCTGGACCGCCCTTACAAGACGTGGATCACCACGCCCATCATCTTCTGCTGCGTGTCCCTGTTCTTGCTGAGCCGCGCCGTGTTTGCGCAGCCGCTACAGACCGTGACGGTGGTGCTGTTTGTCGTTGCCGGCGTGCCCGTCTACTTTTGGCGCATCCGCGGACGGGACCAGCAGGTCATCAAGCGTGAAACGAGGCATCGTTCGGAGAACGACGAGCGTTCATGGTGGCAGTTTTGGAAGAGGTCATGAAGACGAGAAGCGGTTGCATAATGTTTGCTTTCGGCTACGGGAGTGGCCTTGCTTCAAGCGGCTTTGGGTATCATTCAGCGGCATTGCCTTTTTGCGCATCACCTTTTGTGAGCATTAGGGTCCCAACCTCGGGATTTCGGGAGTAAACTTTTTTCTTTCTTGGAAAAGTTCGGACTAGGCCCAGAGATGCTTGACGATAGCATCTAGGCTGGGCAGACCGGCGTCGTAGCCAGGCACGGACGAGCAGGCAAAATGGGCTGCAAGGCTAGCACTGCGGCCAAGAAGAAGAAGAAGAAGAAGAAGAAAAGAATAAGCAAGCCCGCATCAATAACAGCGGCGAAGAGACCCGTGTGGGGGGATCAACTACGGCGCTCGCAAAAGACGTCGAATAAGCCGGATGGCTCCGGGGATGAGAGATGACGACAACAGCGTGTAGACAGAACAACTTGTGGTACTTTACCTTAATAGAAGAAATGCATACGTCTACGGGGCTGGCCTACGTTCCTCGTCAACTCATGACTCTGTTCTTCGAAGCAGCGTTGACTCGAGGCTCGACTGAGGCCGGACGAACACTCCCGGGGGTTGGTTGGGAAAGGGGGGGGGGGGGGGGGGGGGGGACAGAATATTTTGCGTGCCTCCCAGAATGCAGGAAACCTGTCACGACCGTCATCCAAACACAGTTAACCGATTTCGCAAGTGTGGAATGTTTGCATCACATCCGGTAACATTTCTATGTACAGTAACCCAGACTTGACTTCGGATACCCCAGAAGTGCAAATGCAGATGTTAATGCTCGGAAGCAACCATTAAGAAAAATTCAACGCTAAATCGTCACATGTACTAAACATCCCAGATGTCGCCCTTTCTCCGGGGTATTATATCATCCGTCGCTTATTTCTTCTCGCGCTGGCCGTAGGCCTTGGTGGCGTAGTCACCCTTGTGGACGATGAGGTCCTCGGGCTTGTAGTCCTCACGGCCACTCAGGTAGCTATCGATGATGGCCTTGGTACCGTCGGCGTAGCGCTTCTGGGCGTCGAGGGAGGTGCCGGACATGTGGGGAACCATGGCGTTGCCGCCGCCGAAGGGGTTCTTGGCGGTACGCAGAGGGTGGTCGGCGGGGGCAGGCTGGGGGAACCAGACGTCACCACCGTAGCCGGCGAGGTGGCCGGACTTGAGGGCTTCTGCGACATCCTCCTTGACGACAATGGCGCCGCGGGCGGTGTTGATGAGGTAAGAGCCCTTCTTCATCTTGGAGATGAGCTCCTTGTTGAAGAGGCCGCGCGTCTTCTCGTGCAGGGGAGCGTTGATGGTGACGACGTCGCACTGAGCGAGCATCTCCTCGAGGTTCTCGACACGGCGGCAGCCAATCTCCTTCTCCTTCTCGGGAGACAGGGGCTGGTAGTCGTAGTAGAGGAGCTCCTTGCAGTCAAAGGCCTTGAGGCGACGCAAGACACGCTCGCCAATCCGGCCAATGGCGACGGTGCCGACAGTCTTGCCCTCGAGATCGTACTCCTGCTTGGCAACGGCAGCGACGTTCCAGTCACCGCGCTCAATCTGCTCATGTGCGGGGACGAAGTTGCGGATGAGGACGAGGATGGTCATGACGACGTGCTCGGCGACGGAGACGACGTTGGAGCCGGTGACCTCGGCAACGGTGATACCACCGTTAGTCTTGTTGGCGGCGTTCAGGTCGACATGGTCGGAGCCGATACCAGCAGTGACGGCAAGCTTCAGCTTCTTGGCCTTGGCGAGACGCTCGGCGGTGAGGTAACCGGGATGGAAACTTGGGATGGGTAAGTCTGTGCTGGCGCCTCGAAACCTCGGGTAGGCCAACTTACGGAGTCGTAATGATGATCTCGGCGTCGACGAGCTCTTGGTCAAACTTTGAGTTCTCGCCTTCCTTGTCGGAAGTGGTCACCAAGGTGTGGCCCTGGTCCTCAAGCCACTTTCGGATACCAAGCTCGTTCTCGGTGGTGCCCAAGAGGCCGGGGACCTATTTTGGATTCGACAGTCAGCCCAGGCCAGCTCCAAAGATGCGATGCCATGCACCCCGCATTTGGCAATTTCCGAGGCGTATCGCCAAGGGTTGAAAGATGCCGATGTATCAGCGATCGACCTCCGAGCCCCGCACCTTCCCGTCACCCCCGCACTAGCTCTCCATAGTTGGGTCGCGGCGGGGCATAGCTGCGCGGGAGCTATCATAGTGACGTTCTAGGGTGGGGTACTCGAGGGCGCGACGGCTGTGGGCGAATTGGAACAGGGAATAGATGGAATAGACACTTACGTCTTTGGCGTGCTGGCCGCCGTCGTAGAGTACTGCAAGAACCTTGACCTGGTTATGGCGAGTAGTTGTTAGTGTGCGAATTGAATTGAGTTGGCCAGGCATCCTGCGAGGAAGAGTCGAAGATACAACAGCTCGACTAAATGCAGGTCTTGCGAGCAACGATGCCCTGGAGGACGTGTGAAGTCCTCGAGAGACCGAAGAACCAACGGAACGGATGTTACGGGAAAGCAATACCATTGTGACGTCGTTTGTTTTGTAAGACGAAAGTTATCGAGAGAAAGAGGCCCGAGCTGGGGCGGAGGGAGCTTGTTATATAGATGATAGAGATGTGTGAGAGACGAGAGATCAGGTACTTCGGATCTGTGAGATTGCTGACACGATTGTATGAGATCAGAATGAGGACAGGACAATAAAAAACCTGACGGGGCGCGATGTATTTATGTTTGCAAGCATGGCCGGCAATCCGGGATATAGAGGCGGGAAACGAAACCCAGGCAAACGGTGGGCACCAGGAAGAGGCAAGAGAATCCGACAAGCCTCATTCGGTGCATGCTACGTTTTGGTCTGGTCTGTGCCGTACTGGCTCGACGGATGGACGTGGAGCAGCCGCCTCTCTCTCCTCTCATGCCTCGTCCCCGCAGCCGTTTGCCTTCATCACCCATCTCCACCTCCCCGAGATACCAGGTGCCGGTGCCCCTCCTTTCCAGAGTATCTCCTAGACCAGTCAGGCATCGGAAAGGCATCGGGAGTTTCGAGAGAAGAGCGACAGTTTTTTTTTAGTTTTTTTTGCAGTGTAAGATCAGCCCCTGCAGAGCATACGCAGCTACGAGAGGGAGAACACGGTACGTTCACATCAGTCACACAAGTTGGCGGCATCGATGTACGGTTGCTACGACTCGGCATCTCCAAGTTAGGTAGTACTCTCTATAGCCGTGGGGGAAAGCTCCCGCGCGCCACATTATTGGCTTATGGTGCATGCCGCTTCCGTTGGCAGCGCACTCCTCTTGACAGTGAGACGCCGCGACCTCCGGCAAATCTTCATCTCCAACGCTGTCTGCAGCTTACTGCGCGACTAGCTGAACTGTCCCCCGCTTCGACAGGTCGGCTGGCTGACTTGCGTCCAACAGACCACGCAATGCGATGCAGCATCCAGCAACACTCCCATCTACCCGCATCCTATCAACATCGACATCCGGAAAATGAGGGGTAATGTCTTGTAACATACGTGCGCTGTTCCACCCAATACACTTTGGTCCCATCACCTAATCGTTTTGAGACTCCTCCAATCGCTATCCGCTGTTGTCCGCCCAACGGTCTTTTCCCTCCCTTGGTTGAAGCTGCGGAGAACACATGCCCCGGCGCTTCCCGCTGCGCGCTAGGCCGATACGCAAAGCAGCCCGCGTGCGCTGGTTCTAGTCAGTTCGGACGGAGATTTGTCGTCAAGCTCGATGCTGAGCCCCCCCGGTGATGTTTCGGCGTTCCGTCGGGTTTGGAGTGAGGGGTTCACCTTCGACGACGCTTGCCTCGCACCACACATACGATGTACTTGCAACCTTGAGCGCCACCTGGCAGGGCGGTGCATCGCCGGGGTCGTTCGTGGTCGCCCTCTGCGCTGGGCACGAATCTCGGGGTTTCATTGCTCTTTGAGGTACTGACGAACCCGGAAACCCGTCTATGGGGTCGACTGTCGCCGACAATGGAATCCGACATTGGATCACAGCATCAATGTGACGGAGTGAACGTGCCGGAGCTTCTGGATTCCGTCGTCGAAACGATATTACGGGCCACCGCCATCATTGTGCTTGCGGCCCCGTCGTGTGGCACTCGATCCACAGTTACAGACGATGTGGCCCATCGCGGGGTGAGTCTGTCGAATAAGAGTAAAACTAGGAGCCGGTTTCCGCCACTGGGCGCTTGGTCTAGGGGTATGATTTTCGCTTCGCACTTCCGTCAGGAACGCGATATCATTGTGAAAGGTCGTGAGTTCAATTCTCACAGCGTCCAATGGTTTTGCTCGAATGGATCAGACCTGTGTTTGCGGCGGGGAGGCCGAGCCCGCAGGTTACTGCTATCCCCGCGGTTAGTTAGGTCTGATTCCCGCAGTGTCTATCTATCTTTTATGCCTTTTTTAAAGGCGGATGGGTTGCTTCTGTATTCTTCTTGTTCTGTTGTATTTATTCTATGATGGTGTGCGGTTTGCTATATAGGGATCTGGACATGGCTTTACCATACAAATACTTAGTTAGTCAAGAGATAACACTCCTGTTGTCACACCATCATCAGCCGGTTCCACCTGATACTAATTGGTACGCAATCTCTTGGGCAGCTGTGTGCTGCTTGCTGTTCACAAGGTACTCGGAATCAAGAGTTGAAAGGCCAAGGAACAAATTGGACTGAAGACACAAAAAAGCATACCACCAAGTCTCTCAAGCTCCAAGTGTAGATGTGCTGTAGACCTGCTTTAGAACTAGTCCTTTTGGTCTAAATAGGCTATCAGAGGTTAGAACCGCAGCATCGAAAGCACTTCTAGCTATAGGCTATTGCTTACAAGTTAACTGACGTCTTATATAAATCTTTCGTGTGTCTCTGTGTCTGTCACGAGTCGCATATTCAACCAGATGAATAAACGCATGTCTTAGACGTAACAAACAAGCCAAGATGATGGGTGATACCAGAGATCACTTGACCTGTTTGTATTTTCAGTGGCAAAAACAAGATCCAGGTCAACAGGATGGGCTGGTTGACTTTTGCACAGGTGTAGTCGACCCAAGACTGCGAAAGCACGGGGATGCTTTGAGGAGCTCAGGAAATATTCCCTTTTATGGCATCCTTCTGGGCATTACAGGGGGTTCTGATAGCCAACATCATCTACACAGTAAGTATAATATCATTACCTACACAGCGGGGCAGGCCCTCACCCCATACCATCTCACAAGGGATTTCCAGCAACCGACGAGCTGACTCTTTATTCCTGAACTGCCAACCGTCTTCTCCAAGACCCTAACTCCAAGCTGTCTATAGTTCCATGTTACAGTGATAACACGGCGGTGCTTCCCGTCCTTGCCCAAGTTTATCGTGGGAAATTTCTCCTAGTGCTTCCCTATGAGCGTAGCTAAGTGACCGACCCCCTTGAAGAATCTGCTGTATTTAAACGCAAATCCATATGGAAGTATTTTGTGCTTCCAGGGCCCTTCCTTCCTGCAGTTCCCAGCGTGATGGTTGTTATACTCATCAATGATGCAATGATCCGATCTGATGTCGCCGAAAGAAGTCACGGTCTCCAGTTTGAGTGGCAGGTGTAGGAGGGTCAAGGGCAGCAGAGATCCCTGAGAAATACCCTGAGGGTGCCTCCGCTGTCGTGGCGGCGTGGTTTTTGTTGCAGTCCACAATGGTGCGCATGTCGAGAACGGAAACACCAAACTCGGCGACTGGCAAGGCGCAATAACTGTCATCAGAGAGCTTTTTAAAACACAAGTTCACATAGTTAATAGAGAAGAAAACGACGTTCACCTCCCCGAGGGCGTTCCGAATCATACCACATGAGTCCTGGTTGTAGACATGAGGATAGTGTTAACACATCAGAGTATACGCCCGCATATAGTCTTCTTCCTTTCACCGCCACAATTCCGAGTGAACAGAAACAGGCTGTGGATTCCAGTGATGGGATGATAGCATTCTGGAAAACAATGGTACCGAAAGTATTGACGGACGCTAAATGAACGGGATCTCAAGAGATCGCATCCCACAATCAGAAATGGGTTATTAGCAACCTCGACCAAAGGTTCAGTCAAAGACTCAGGTCCAGACAGATACGGTTATGCTGCTTCCTGGATCGGTCCGTGCCTGGTGAGAGAAACAGCCGTCCCAGCCTTTCCGGGTCGTCTTCTCACTACTCCCGGTGCTGAACTGCTGATTTTCTCCGTGGCTAACCCATCATGTTACGAGAGTGAGGTCTGGAAGCGGCGTGGTAGCCTTCTAGTTTGGCCTGTTTCCACATTTGCCAAAGCTTCGAGTTGCATATCGACCTATTCTGCGCCACATGAGCGCCTAAGAGCCCAACTCGGAAGTCACGGAAAGCCTTCGCTCATGTCCACCGCCATGGGTGCATCAGGGGACATTAGTTGAATCATCAGAGACTCTGGACGAAGATGTCATAAGCCAAGAAGATTGCTGCAACATGCCATAGTCTGGATTCCATGACGCAGATAGGGCCTTCAAGGTAAGCTCATGGCGCCTTGTTGCTGTCATACACTTGTTAAACTTCGATATTTATCAAGGTGCATGGTGCGTGTCTGTAATCGAGTAAAAGACATAATAGAGTCTCACCAAACTAGCAAAGACCACATTGCTTCAAAATCACATCGCCATCTATCCCTCTGTTGTGCTCCAGTTCCCATAGACTCACCATGGTGCTCACCAAGTCTCTCCTGACGGCCATCGTCTTGGCAGCCCAGAATATCGCCAACGCTGAAGAAGCTGCCTTGGAGGTTCAGCTTCCCGAGAGTCCTCCCAGGACCGTCACCGGAGAGCAGGGGTGCTACACCGACTTCGCGGAGCGGAAGCGCGACAGTGTCCCAACGTACTCTCGCCTGTACTCGTATACCTTTCCCGTCACCGAATACACCTACACCACGCCGACAACAAGCACCATAACCGTCACCCCCACCATATCCGCCGAGGGCGTTGTCACAATCACATCAACCGTCACCACCACTACGCACGTCTCATCGTTCAGTACCGTCACTGTCGAGGCGCCAACGGGTTTCACGCCCATCTCCGCCGCCAGCGCCAGAACTGGCGGCGCCTATGGCCGCTTGGGGTCTCTAGACGAAGCTCTCATCTCACCGGCAGATGCGGACCACAGCTTCGGCAACAGCCTGAGCGGCGACGAGGAAGGCAGACGCACAGTCAGGCCTTTCCTCTGGCCGCAGGCAGTTGTCTGCGAGAAAGTCGTTCGTGTCTTCACGACCACCACTTCCACGATCACGGTAACCCGGGCCGCCACTACCACGACAACCCTCCCGGGCCCGACCCAGCAGACTACCGTGGCGACGACGACGACGACAACGACAACCTCCACGATCACCGAGGTCGCCGCCAACCCGACACGGACCGTCTACGAGGCCTGCCAGACCAACAATGTGCAGGCGTACCACGGCCAGCCGCGGTCGTACTTCGTCGAGGCTCTCTACTACTGGCCCGTCACAAGTGAGGAGCGTCGCACGGACACTCCAGAGAACTGCTGTGTCGCATGCCAAACGACGCCTGACTGCAGCGGCAGCCTGTATCATCTCTTCTCTGGAACTTGCTACATATTCAAGACCAGGGACGAACGGAGGCAGTGTAAGCCCCCGCTTAAGCTGCGTTCTCAGACGAACATCACCACGAATGGCATATTTTGGGCCAGCAACGGCAGGTGTGGATCGTGGAGGATTACTGAGGAGGAGCCGGGCTCGTCTACAGAGTGGTAGGTCGCGGAGAGGGACTGTGCCTTGCTGATGAATAGATGCCGTGTATCGGGTTGTACCGTCGTCGATGGCTTCTTTCTGTTTTGTCACGCGAAGCCAGCCTTAAGGCATGTAGCACAATACGAAGAAGGGAAGCATGGCATTTCCACGGATGACAGTGAGAAAGGTTTCTTCCACGTCTGACCGTAGCGATTTCTTAATGTGGAAGGTGGATATTGAAAGCGAGTGCGAGAAGTCTTCGTTAGCATTAGGACATAATAATGTCGGCGGTTGCGGTCTCGGCGCAGGACAGTTAAAAAGTCTGGTACTGATAAAGATTGATTGCATCTCTGCACATGTATAAAGTGCGGCTCGAGTTCGCCGATCCCGTACCCACCCCATCTGACTCCGTTACTTACCTATCGGGATCGGGACCGAGGACCGGTCTATCGGAGCGTGCCCATGCCGAAGAGATAGAGTTCTTCACGTACCATTCGGCCTCCCGCTCTCTCCGCTCTATACTCTAGGGTGATCGGCAGGTCTAAGCTTCCAAGAGCAGCGGAGACAGCACCGGCGACTACATGCATACGGTGTACGGATACACGGTACGGCATGTCATCGTCTTCCACCCAATAGTGCGTACTTGAGTTGGGCTTCGCCGTTCCGACACAGGAACGCCAATGCTCGGCATTCGACAACATTCGGGCACGTCTCCTCTTGCCCACCAAGCCCCGATGTAAGTAAGCGCCAAGTCAGCCCGTTGGTACACCAAGGAGCCCAATGGATACCTCCCACACGCGTGTGTGAGCGATTGGAGCTGCGCGCGGCTGAGTTCTCGCGCGCGCATATGGTCGCTCGACAGCGAATCGTCATCCGCCCCGTTGAAGCAATCCTCGGCGTCATCGAATGGGCTGTGAGCCATCGAACCACTCTGGGGACACCAAGCCCCTGGATACGGGCACCAGCCCCCCCCTGTCGTGTGTGGTTTTTCTATTGTTGCACTTCCAGCCTAGCCCCCTCGCCACGCTCTCAGCAGCAGTAGCGACGTTGCATTTTCGGGCACATGGACTGCTCTTGGCAGTCTCTTTAGGCATTTCCAGTCCTTTTCTGCTCAGGAGGTCCCCACGCTGCGCGGCTTCTGGGCCCGCAGCGCCCACTCGTACCCCTGCGATGTCATTTCTCTATTATGTAGGATCGAAGGGCCAACCATGCGGTCGCGGACGAAAAACATTACCCGTCCTTTCTCTGCCGCGGACGTTGCCCCCCCCCCCTTCCTTAGCCCTGTCGCCCGCCAACAACGACCCAGACTCGACGACGACCACGACGACGACAACGACAACCACGACGACCACGAGGCCGCGACCGCATCCACGATGGCGGAACTGGACCCGAATGCGTGGTACCGCCTTTCGGAAACGCGCGTCGACAACAGCACTGGTCCATTCGCCCTCAACCTCATCCTCCGGGATGTCGGCCTGCGAGTCCATCCCATGACTGACGGCACCGCCGCCTGGCAGTTCCAACCCTTTGGCGAGGTCAAAGGTCGTTACCTCATGCGCCTCGACCAGGCGGGCGTGAAGCAGCAGCTGGGAGTGTGTTACGATGCGAGCGAGCCCGCTGTCGGGGCCACTGTGGCGTGCCTGCAGGAGTCATCCGTCAGCGACTCTCAGATTTGGGAAATATCACCATGGAGCGGAAGATCGGGGGAATACAAGTTCGTCAACGTCGCCAACGGCACCGGCTACGTGCTCGACGTGCATCCCAAGGCCAATCTGTTCATGAACAAAGACGTCGAGGGCTCGGCGGGCGTTGCGGCGACGCAGCCTGCGCAGCACTGGGTTATCTCAAGCGTCAGCCCCGTCAACGATGGGGCCTATTCGACCATCTACTCCGCCAACGTCGCCGTGAGCACACAATCGGCGACGCTCTCTACGGCTTCGGAGACGACCTCGGCCGCGGCAACTACGTCTGCCCTGACGACCACAGCCGTATCGCAAACAGGCACAGCGACATGGACCGACGGAGCGAGCATGTCATCCGCAGCGGCGGTATCGACATCGAGGGGCGTCTCCCCCGCTGCCGGAGCGGGAATAGGCGTCGGGGTTGCGATCGGGGTTGTGGGCTTGATCGGGGCTATCGCCTTCTATTGGTGGCGGCGCCAGCAAGCTGCCACCACGCAGTACAGCGAGGTCGACGCAAAGAACCGTGGCAGCCCCGGCGCGGGATCTTCCTCGGCAACTGGGTCTCTGGAGGATGGAAGCGACGCACTGCCGTATGGGGTGCAACGGGCCGATGCGAGCTATCCGGGATACTCCGGCGGGTTTCCTGCAACCTCGAGTTACCCGGTACCGGTCAGAGGTGGAGTGTCACCGGTGACAATACCCGCTACCGCGACATCTCCATCAGAATCCCGCAGCTTGCGCTCTTGGTCACAGCATGCACCCGCGAGTGGGCTCGCGGTACCCCCGGCGGTGCCTCGTCACCAGTTCGACCATCCCGATATACACAACGAGTTTGCGCCGGCTCCCTCGAACCCATCTTTGGAATCAACATCGCACTTTGGCTTCTCGACAGCCGCTTCGTCGCAAGCCAACTCTACAACGAATCTCAACGACCCTGACCCCCTTCCAAGCGCACACGAGCTGGAAGTAGCCGTGCGAGATGTGCCTCGGCGCCAGCATGAACTCGGTGATTTCCATCACGGACCGGAAACATTTGATACCGGTGTTGAGGCGCGACCGGACCGGACTCCGGCTTCCCACGCCGAGCTGGGCGCCTTCCAGCACGGCCCCGACACATTTGCGCAAAGCCACGAGGCCAAGATGCTCGGGTTGCCCAAGGCGGAGCTCGGCTCGTACCACCACGGCCCCGATACTTTTGCGGACGGACACGAAGACAAAATGCTCGGTGGCTGTCCTCCGGGCGCCGAGAAATTCCAACGCGAACGGGAAGACAAGGTGCTGGGGAGCTTCCACGAGGTGATGAACATGGCGCCGAACGGACGGAGCGGTCGGCAACCCGGTCCCTCGGACGCCCCGGGGCGGCAGACATACGAGATGCAGTCGATTGGGCCACGGTAACACTACGGATAGGCGTTGACAACATCCGACGTCCGAACGAACAAAAACAATACACGAGAATCGACACGGCCCCTAGGCGGAGGAGCTGACGAACCCAATGATACCCACGCGAAGGTCCGCCTCCCTTTGCCTCACATCACATCCATATTAGTCGGGATACAGTAGTTGGTCCCGGCTCACGCTGCATTTTGTCTACGTCACAAAAAGCCCCATGACTCCGTTCGACACGCCCAAGACACGTTTTGCCGACAGCACCACTTTCTCCCTTTTAGGAACGACGAAGTCGAGTTAAAACAATGCACCACCAATGGAGGCCTTGCACAACGGCGAAGATACCAGCGCAGGTCTGTTATTTGACACACACACACACACACACACACACACACACACACACACACACACACGGGAAATAACCTGGAATGACAGTGGACGGCCGACCCTTACGACGAGAGGATCTCGCCAGTGCGCCCAATGAACAGCTGCTTGACGACCCAGGCATACAGAAATGTACTACAACCCATGTGGTTATGCGACTTCGACTTGACTATATACTAGCATATAGGTATACATAAATTACTTCTAATCAATGATTGATTGTTGCACAAGTTTCATGTCCACTAGTGCAGTCTAGAGGCTATATCATATTCCTGCTCGCTGCTGGCTCTTTCAGCTGAGTGTTCGTGTACCTATACCGGCTTTTATTTGCAGTAACGAAACCGTGGCTCACCGCCTCCTTGGCGAGCATGCGTGCAGTCGTCGTCACCAAGGTATGCACTCCCAGCCTGCGAAGGTGAAATTTCAGGAAGCCAAAGGACCCGACGCGCGCGGTCTGCGTTCACACTGAACGTCGACCCGGGAAGGGGGGCTATTGTCGTCCATAGTTGTACTTGGTTACCGAGAATGGGTGACGGAGAGAAAAACGCCTCAAACAGCCTCTGAACCAACGACACACACCGACTGAGCGACATGATCGACGGAAATAACGTTTGAGAAGCTTGCCAGCGGCTCGACCGGCCGACGCCCACCACATCGTGGGCAGCAGCACAGTTGGATGGCCACCGAAAGACTAGGCCCCCTCGGATCCCGCTCGAACCACTCCATAAAACCCCTCCGAGCCTCCTCCACCTGAGCATTTGCGTTTCGCGTGACGGCCGGCAGCAAGGCCCGGCGTTGCCGCCGCAATCCCCCCCCACCCCGCCAGCGCGGAGCGGAGGTGTCGACCTCAGCGGGAATGCCCCAGGCCCGGCTCTCATTCCCGTGTGCGGCATTGTTTGGCGGGGCCCCACCATGGACGGACCCGACACCTCTTCCTCTGTCGTTCCGATACGCCGGCCCAAGAACGAGACGGTGGAGTGGCTCAATCGACGAGAACTTGGAATCAGAATGTCTCTTTTTCGGGATAGAGGCAGAATGACGACAGAGACTTGCGATCACTTCAATCGGGCCGAAGAGCGCCGCGGAACCATGTTGGCAGCACTTAATCCAAAACCTGGTCAGCCTATTGTTATCCTGCAATCACCTCCATCCGATCAGAACAGAACCCTACGTGCAGCTATTGGGGGAGAGCCCCCTCCCCCCCGCTACAAAAAAAAAATGTCAAGGCAATGTTGGAGATACCAAGTAGCGCAAATTGGGAGAAATAAAAGTTGGGGGGACAGGGAGGGCCGTGTAAGTCCATTGGTTTCTTCTGCAGGGCCGATATCGCACACCAGACAAACAAAGCTTTTTCCCCACACCCCAAGATCTTCTGGCGGATCGACGAAGGGACTCTTACCAGCCATTGCGAACAGTACGACCGGTCAGTTATCACGTCAAGGACTTATGGAACCTGATGCCCTCATAATAGCAGGCCACGACTCGCGACACTTTTCAAACCTGTCGGCTTCGTCCGCGAGGAGCTCCATGACCAGCTCTGCTGTATCTATCGGAAGGACTCGGGAAGCACGTCAGACAGCTCTCCCCGGTGGCTTGATCACGAGACTGGTTGTTGTAGTGATGAGGGGCGAATGTGGACGCACAAAACTCTAATCGACACGATGGCCATCTGGCAATCCCATCGTGGACCCGGACAATGTCCGAAAATATCCCCAGACTAGAGTTTGCAGCAACAGAGAGACCCAATCAAGAGCAGCAATATGAAGTTGATCGTAGGTGCCCGAGAGATGTGGAGACTGGGGAAGTCAAAAGCCAATTTCTTCTTTTCGTTTATTGAAAAAGTCTCCATCCAAAAAAGTTGGCCGGCGGGTACCAGTCAAACCAATTCCGAGTTACGGAGACTAGCGGAGCTTGTCGGAAGCACGACAACTACAAATTGCATCGTGCGGGGTGTGACGTTCCCCGTGTCTGGCTTCATGCGGGGCCGGAGACGGTCTGAATCTCTGGTGTCTAGCTTGGAAGAGCCGCAGGTGGAGCCGGCTAGAGACGCGTACAGGATGGCTGGCATGTGCGCGACGCGGCAATTATCTAAAGACCGACGTTTATCCGGGCGGTCCACAGACCCTAACAGGGGAATGTCGTTAGAGCAGCATATGAAACGCGGCGACGTTGCTAGCAAATCTTTTTTGCTGTCAGGAATGCGAACAAGGAAAGTTCGTTAGGTAATTCATATCGTAATTAGCGGCAGGCTCCTGGTCAGGTGGACGGCAGCGTGACCAAGGCGGTGAGATGGGCCACAAAGTGTTGGGTTTAGGTTGACACGTCAGATCGTTGTTGACAAGAAGCTTGGCGGTATGGTCCGGATGCCAAGCTCGCCAAGGCCAGGAGGGGATCGCGGGTGAAGAAGGTTGTCTTGGCACGTGTAGAGGAGTCTGGGGTGAATCACGATATGCTATCCGCCGCTACCATGATGTCTCGGACGTGGCAGTCGATGCTATGGCGGCCGGAAATCGGGCTCGTCCGCAAAGACCAATGACGAAGGTTATATTTCATGAGTCCACAGGCGGCCGTTTTCGCGAGCAATGGGATGGCGAACAAGGTTGAGCTCCGAGTCTCGGGTCAATTACCTTTCTCTAACGAACCTTGACTCTCGCCTAGACGCGCAGCGGCCGAAGCTGGCACGGCGCCGAGACGAACGCCATGAGCGCGCTCAAGTACCGTGAACTGGGTAGAGCGATAGCGGTTGATATAAGAACATGGTCGTCCGTTTAACTCGGTTTCGTCTGAAATCTTGATCTGAAGTGCTGTCACCAATAGGCTCGTCTTGGCCAGTGGAGGTTGAGTGGCACTAGGGCATGATTTCCTGTGCGTGCTTCAGACTGGCCGAAACCGAGATTTGCGAGCGACTTGGTGTTTGAGATGGGAGGGGGGGAGGGGAGAGTCGAGACTGTAGAGGCCTTGGAAGCGTGTAAGTCCTTGTTTAAATCCGGGCAAGATGCTTATTGCTACCAGGAGTGGGGGAACGGGGGAGAGGTAGCCCGGTCAGGGAGGCCAGTGTCAGGGGGGCATGAGAATTCTGGAGCCAGGGACTGGCTTTCGGTATCGGTGGGGTCTGTCGTCGGCGTGGGCTGGATGCAGGCTGCTGTGGCTTGCCGTTATAGTGGATCCCATGTGGAGTGTGATCGGGCAAAGTCGGAAACCCGTAGATTTTGCACCCTGGAGGAAGAGTCATGCAACCCTGCAGATGTCTCGTGCTTCTTTCTCAACTTGTTCCCCCTTTTTGCCATCTTTGATGAGTTGGAGATTCGGGGCCTCTGGTCCACCTCGCTCACGGCTTGGTGTGAAGATGGTGGGCAGTACGGAGTAAACGGCGCCAAATCGTGTGTCGAACACGAGATGCCCAATGCTCACTCAACCTGCGGGATTCGGGATATCGGACGCTCTGACGTATGGTGTTATCATGGAATCGAATAACTTGTATGATGGGAACTGTAAATCACCCAACAGACTGTTGTCACAATATCCGGCCGAGCGTTTGTGGCGCTGAATCCGTATCCATCGAGGAATCGGTCTGGCGAGCGTCGTCTGTTCAGGCTCGGCTTGCAAACTGGCCAGCCAGATTCCAGAAGGTGTCGTGAGAATGCCAAGGGGCATGGGCACGCACCTGCAGGCATGCCGTCCGTCCCATTGCAAGACAGCAGGGGTCAGATTTCCGACGGCCGACTCGGGCCCAACAGGCTGTCGGCCGGAGGCACCCCCTTCTGCCAGCAGTGCGACGCACTCCTACACTGCCCACGGACTCCCAGCTCTCGAGGACAACGGTTCGGGACGTAGGGACACAGACTAGCCTGAGGAGGGCATTGACCAAGGGAATAGCGTGGCCATTATTGGCTGGATATTGAAGATAAGATTTTTCCTGCTCTGCTCTCCGCGTTTCAATAATTGGCATTGAGACGTTTTGCCTTTCCCCAACGACATCAACCAGCGTGGAGTTTAACGCATTAGCCGTCGTCCATCATCCCTTGTCTGCGGGTAGAAACTGCGACGCGAAAGGTATTGGCCAGGCATCAAGTCGCGTGCGCACGGAAACGTGGATTGGGGAGAGATGGAAGACTCCTCCGCGACCGTTCCGAGAGACCATCACCGGACGGCGGGTTGCAGGTCGAAGGAGGCCGGATGGGTCATATCTAGAAGGGGTTAGTGTTGTCATCGGCGAGATGTCCGGTCGGCGACGGAGTAATAGTACTGCACATTGAATGAACGAGGCGTTCCCGCCTCACAAGAAAGACCAAGAGTGGATATTTGCTGGTGGAGTAGCTCAAGGATCGTTGTGATGGGGCGGGACGCTGCTGCAAGGCGCGGTAGGGCCGAGGACGCGCAAGTGCAAGGACAATCAATGGACGTACACCGAGCTGCATGGCTAGCTGACTTTCTCTCGATGGCAAAGTGCCGAAAGTCTCAACTCACTCATTGTGCCGTAGTGTTTGTGCCGACGTCGCGCATCCTCACCGGTTTGGAGGCGCGGGCCCCTCAACAAAAGGGTGTGCCAGTGCCGGTGCCGGTGCCAGCACAAGCACAAGCACAAGCACGCGGCATCTAGGGTAGGTATAGCTAGCCAGTGTTAGGTACAGGTGAGAGTAGGCACCTAGTGTATGTATGTAGGTAGATGATGACGGTACGCAAGGAGAGTCTGTCCACGGGTCCGATGCCGTATCGACGTCTTATGCGTGTGTCTCGGTGCGACTTGTGAAGCTGCTGCTGGGTGGAGCCTAGAGGAGGGCATGGCTGGAGAGACAAGTGGGCAGGACAGGATACCTAGGCTAATACGAATAGTGTACAGGGGCATTGGACAGTCGGCCAAACGGAGAACGTGGAGTGGAGTGACTAAAGCAAACAATCCGTTCGGGACAAGACCGATTGGCGTTGACGATGCTTGCTCGCTCCCATATTGGCCCTTTGGGAAGAACCTTCCCTTTCCTTTGAGTCCCCTCACAGTTCGCACATAAGAAACCACCTAAATGTAAGTAGGCACTTTGTAGGGCAACAGCGACCGACCCGGTCTGACTGATTGAGGCAAGATCGGTCCGGTGATCGGAGGAGGCATTCGGTAATTACATAGTAGGGCAGGAACGCCCTCTCGACTAGAAATACAACAGGTAGGTACGCGTGCGTAGGTAGGTATAGTAGGTATGTATCAGTCAGTCACGCACCTGTCGCCGAGGGTCAACCCAACTTTGTCTTGCCGCCGCCAATCTTGCAGAGTAAGAAACATTGGAACCGACACAGCTGATTCATTTCGACCGCCTCGGGAGGAAAGAAAGAACATCAATCGACGGGCATCTCTCTGATTTACACGGGTAGCACTACCCCACTTGCCCGCCCGCCGGACACGCCGGGCTGGGCCTGCTCGCCGTTAGTTGCTTTGGGCTGACATCCCATGCTCTTCTTAGGCCATCTTCGGGTTCTGTCAGCTCAGCTCACCTCGCATCATCCGTCGAACCTATCCAAAGGTAATTACGATCTCCCCATCATGAACGGTCCGCCATATTGCATCGCTCGTCGTTTGTCAGCCAACCGCCCGTGCTTGCACCGCCGATGCCAATCAGCACCGCATTGCCTATTCGTATGCTCTTATGAGCTGACAGAATCATGCTTTTTGCTAGTGTACTTCGTAAATCGTCTCCTGTCCTAGCCTTGCCGGATACACCGTCCCGGCGGCATCACGTCCTCAACCTGCCGCGCCTCCCGTCGTCTCACCGACGCCCCTCTCCCTAGCCCCTGGTTCACGTTCGAGCACGCCCTGTCTTACCGCCTGAAGGTGGTCGTGACCTCAGTGCCTTACTCCAAATTGAAAAATTTCCACTCGGTCTTCTCCAATCCAGCCCAAACTGGGCACGGAAAGCAGAGAAACAACCATCAACCAAGAAAAAAAGAAATTGCCAATTCCTAGGATCGGGTCTGGCTTCCGTCTTCTCCCATACTCCACACACAAACGCCCCCGGTTCAACTTCAACCCCTCCACCATCCTAGTCTCCCGGTCCCACGCTGCACACCCTGCTACACGCGTACGCACATTCACACACCCTGTCCGACCCTCGCCCCCCATCTCGGGTACGATACGGCCTGCACTCCCTTCTCCTGGACCATCGCGGACGCACATCACACAACGGCGATTCGATTCGAAGCTTGGAGCACCTCCTCTCCTCCCTTGCTCCCGCCATCCCATCTTCAGAGTGCGCCATCCCATCCCCAATTCTTGTTCCTCGTCCGCCCGTCTCCCGCGCGCCCACGCTCCCCCAAGTACCCGGTACCTCTGCGCCTGGCCTTGCTGCCATCCCTTCTTCTTGAAACCGCCTTGAAACCCCCCAACTCCCTCTCATCTTCAAATCCTCCGCTCACATGGGTATAAGTCGAGGTACCTGGCTGCCGCCTCCATCGCGAACCGGACCAGTTCACAAGGTTTTAAACCGACATTTCCTCGTCAGCGGTTCAGTTGCAGGGACCACATCGCCTTTCTTCTCTTCTGGTCCGTCCAATGCCACAATTACTACTCCACGCCCTCACCACCCCCTAAATTACTCTCCTGCACCTTTTCCGAAATCCGCTCCTTCGAGCCCTCCTCCTCAACGACTAATAACAACACGTACAGGCCGGTCCCATTACACCACTATCCATACTCCTCATCACGCTCGTCTGCTTCGCCCCCGAGCTTCCACGACTACTAATTGCCTCACCCCGTCGCCCATTTCCGCCTCCTCTTTCTTCTCTGCGTCTCTCCCACCAATACATGCGCCGGTAATGTCAATGGCGTCGTATCCTTTCAGCTCAGCCAGCTCCTCAGACATCTCTACGCCCCGGTCCCATTCGCCGTCGCCGTCGTCCGTTATTTCCGCCCGCTCTTCGCGCTCGTCTATATCTAACAAGCGCATGTCCATCTCCAGTCGCAGGATGACTGACTTCAACCCCATGTCCGCTGTCGACATCTCCGCCATTGAGGAGAAGATGAGAATGGCCGCCCTTGATCAGCACCGCGGATACGCCCAGAACACCTTCGGCGAGGTCCAGCAATACCGTGCCACCGAGTACGTGCCCAAGACCCAGGCCACCGCCTACCAGGTTCTGAGCGAGCCCCTCTGGAACAAAGGTGAGTTGATCGCAGCCAACTCCACTTACACCGCACAAAACCTACTGCACGCACTGGCTTCCCCAACCCAAACAAACACGCCGTATCCCTTCCTTTGCACCCGTCCGTTCACATCAGCCTTCCTTCTTTTCTTCCCAACACCATCTCGAGCACTTAAACTGCCATGGCTTCCCTACTCTTGAGACGTGCGAGTCGTCTCACTCCCCAACTTCTCCATCGTTCCCCTATCCATACCTCCTCCAAGCTAACCGCCATGGTCGAATCAGGCCTGTCCTTCACCCCCGAAGAGCGTGTCAACAAGAACCTCACTGGCCTCATCCCCCACACCATGGAGAGCCTTCAGACGCAATGTCAGCGGGCCATGAAGATGATCAACACCCGCCAGACCGACGTCGACAAGTACCTCTACCTGTCGTCGATCAAGGCCCAGAACTTTGACCTCTTCTACCGCCTGCTCATCGACAACATCCGTGAACTCATGCCTCTCGTCTATACCCCCACCATCGGTGATGTCTGCTTGCAGTACTCGACCCTGTACACCCGCCCCGAGGCACTGTACATCTCCATCAAGCAGCGCAAGTCCATCCGCACCATGCTCCGTAACTGGCCCTACCCCAACCCCCAGATCTGCGTCGTCACAGACGGTTCCCGCATTCTGGGTCTCGGTGACCTTGGTGTCAACGGTGTTGGTATCTCTGTAAGTGTCTTTCCCCTATTCTGTCACGGTGCACGGCTAACAAACCCCCAGATCGGCAAGCTTGCTCTGTACACTGGCGCTGCCGGCATCCACCCCGAGAACACCTTGCCCATTGTTCTCGATACCGGCACCAACAACGAGACCAACCTGAAGGACCCTTTCTACCTGGGCATCCGCTCCAAGCGTGTGCCCGTGCCCGAGCAACAAGCCTTCATGGACGAGTTCATGGAGGCCGTCACCGAAGTGTACCCCAACATGACCGTTCAGTTCGAGGACTTCGAATCCGAGAAGGCTTTCAACTACCTCGACCGCTACCGCAACAAGTACCGCTGCTTCAACGATGACATCCAGGGAACTGGCGCTGTCGTTCTCGCTGGTTACATCAATGCCGTCGAGCTTTCGGGCGTCCCCATTGAGGAGCAGCGCCTCGTTTTCATGGGTGCCGGCTCCGCTGGTGTCGGTGTTGCTAAGCAGCTCGTTGAGTACTACACCAAGCGCGGCATCAGTGAGCAGGCCGCCAAGGACAAGTTCTGGCTCGTCGACACCAAGGGTCTCGTCACCAAGGACCGTGGCGACAAGCTTGCCGAGCACAAGAAGTACTTTGCCCGCACCGACAACAACGGCCACCAGTTCCGCTCGCTCGAGGAGGTCATTGAGTATGTCAAGCCGACCGCCCTCATCGGTCTCACTGCCACCTTTGGCGTTTTCACCGAGTCCGTCGTCCGCGCCCTGAAAGCCTCCGTCGACTCTGGCGGTCTTGGTCGCCGCCCCGTCCTCTTCCCCCTCAGCAACCCTCTCACCAAGGCCGAGTGCACCTTCGAGCAGGCCGTGCAGTGGACCGAGGGCACTGTCATTTTCGCCTCCGGCTCGCCCTTCTCTCCTTTCACCATGAAAACCCCCGACGGCCACGCTGTCACCTACCATCCCAACCAGGGCAACAACGTCTACGTCTTCCCCGGTTTGGGACTTGGCGCCATCCTGGCCAAGGCCTCCAAGGTCACCGACGACATGGTCTACACCTCTGCAGCCGCCCTCGCCGCCGGCCTCACCGCCGACGAGATCCACAAGGGCCTCATCTACCCCCGCATCGAGCGTGTCCGCGATGCCAGCGTGCTCGTCGCCCGCGAGGTCATGAAGTCGGCCCGCCGTGACGGCGTCTCCACGTTGCCCGAGTCCCAGTGGATCGAGTGGGAGGAGTGGGGTGACGTCGCTCTCGATGCCTGGATCAAGGAACGTGTCTACGACCCTGTCAGCTTCTCCGAAAAGAGTCGTATCTAGAATTGTGCGATGAACAGATTGAGTTGCATTTACGGTCCAAAAGGGCCCGGACAGGGATACATGAGACGTTCTCAACGGATTGGGTTTCGGCGTTTGGGTAGGCACTGTAGGGCCTTGCTTTCATCATCCCGAGAAATCAGCGAAGGGATCACATTTTCATCATCACTAAAAGGATGACAATACTTTTACACAGGAACCCCCGCATGCCGCGGTCATCGAGCGCTTGGTCGCGTCGGTCTTTTATTCCCGGCATTATTGTTACAACTTTAGACATGGGGGAACGCGTAATTTAATAGTCATGGAAACGCGACATAGAAATACATTTATGCCTCCAGTTTTCACTACCTATTTGTGCTTCTAATTTGTGAAAGAACCCAGCCTACGCCATGCCCCCCGGCATGCATTCGTCAAGCAGGGGATTCGACCTTGAAGAGGAACCGCCTTCACAACGTACCTCAGTCGAGCAAGTGATGTTTTGCATCGATCGTCCCCAATTCTGGCAGTGGAAGCTTCGCAGATCCCCCAAATTCTCTCCGCACCAGACGAACCCCACCCGGCGCGCCGTAGCTCTCCCCCCAAAAGAGGGCTGCCCCAAGAATTCCGTCTCCAACTGGTGAACTGTCTGAAGTGTGTTGGGGGAAAGCTCGGAACCTGTTGGGAGGGGGGGGCTTCCAGCCGTCGTCTCTCGGGCTAGGCCGGACTGGGCAGGCGGGCGCATGCGCAGAGTTTTCGCCGTGAGGATCGATTTCCCCCGACTCGCGGAGACTGACTGACTCTCCGCCGTGCATGAGACAATCGACGAACAAAAGCCGGGCCGGGAGCGGCGCTAGGGAATCGAAACCAAGACAGCGCAGCAAGGCACAGTGGGTGGGTGGGGGCGGATGTTGTTGCCATGCTGCGTGCTATGTAAGTACAGACGCTTTCCGGGAATGCAGTTGGACGGAACATGATAATGTTTATGGTTTGGAAGTGGGGGGAGGGGGTGTGTGTGTGTCGCTTCGGTCCGGCTCAGTCGCACCCCCCTCTCCTAATCACTTAAAGGATAAGCTCGGGGGGGGGGCCGGCGGAGGTCCAACGGCGTCTTAACCTACCTACCTATCTTCCTGGACTCTGGACGTTGACAAGTAGCATCTACATGTCCATCACCTCCAGCCGAAAGCGACAGGTCGCAATCTCACGCACCTCCTCCTCCTCCTCCTCAAGCAGGATATCGGATGGTCAAAAGTGTAAATTCTCCCCTCGTTTGAACCGTCCTCGGGCTTCATCAACAGACGCCGTACCCCGGCTCTCCCCGTGCCGGCCAGGCCTTGACCAGGCGTTGCGATTGTGAGTTGCGGATTCTGTCATCACCGATTATCCTACTTCCCGTCATGCCTTGATTCTACTGTCCGTTCGGGGAAGCGTCATGCGGAGTGCATGCACGCTGATCGGTGGGTGGTAGGTAGGGCGAACAGGGGTGTACGGAATGCTCCTACCGGTAGTCCTCGGCGGGTGTGTCCGTCTGGGGTTTGGATGATTTGGATCTAAGCCATAAAAGGGGAGGGAGGGTGGATGGGATGCTGGTCATGCTTGAGCCAGGATCGCCCCCCCCCCCCCCCCCCCCCCCCCCCCCACGCAGCTGCCGGGAGTGGCTTTGAATTTACACGTCAGTCGAGGACTGCTATTATTATCGATACATGTTGGTAGCACGATGAGTGCGAATTTCTTCGATTTCAATTATCTGGGACTAACTCGAGCAATGTATCGAGGGAGAAAGGGGGTATTCGTGCGAAGAGGACAGCAAGGAAATAACTACTGGCAATGCTGTGAAATGCCTTAGTAAGGAAATGTGAAAATAGGCCACTGTGCCGTTACGGTGAAGCGCCCCCCCCAAACCCCGGTGGCATAACGAAATGATGATCGTCCATGGTGATTTACGCCTCATGAGAGTCAAAGACACGTCCCCAACTCCATGTGTCACGTGAAGACAGCTTGCCTAAGTGTCCCTGTCCATCATGTAGAATGGTCTCGTCTCGTCCGAGCAGATAGTCCAACTCCCTCCCGAAACAAAATAAATTGCACCTTGCCGATTGCGCCTCATGCGCCCTTTGGCGCAAGCCCGTTGTTTTTCAACCCTTTCGAAAAAGCCGTTTCGTGCCTCCGACCTTACCCATGTCACCAAACTGAGAAGTACTGCGCGCCTCACCGCTAGCAAGGCGTACCTTCTCCTTGACGCTCTCCACCCACGCTCGGCTCTCCTCGCTCATCTCGACCTTGCGGCCTGTGGGGCCCGCAAGACCGAGGAACGAGCTTTCTTCCTCCCAACTAATGTGAGAGCTGGACCGCGACCGGTTGGAGTCCTCCGAGGACGGGGTATACTTGTCCGGAATTGGTGGGACCGCCGGCGTGTTGGGCAGCAGTCTTGGAACAGATGAGGCCGAGGTGTCCCCAGCGCCGAAAGACTTCCTAGACTTTCGGACGTTGAGTGGCGTCATGGGAGACATCTCCAGTGCCGACGCCGGTCGGCTCGGAGGGCTCGAGTTAGCGGCATGGCTGCTAGCGCGCGGCACGTCTTGGACCTCGACCTTGGCTGTCTCCATGGAGCCGGCAGAACGACGGCCGTGGTGGGTGGCGTACTCCTTGAGATACTCGCCAAGGTCGGCCCATCCGCCGCCGACACGCACCATGACCCGTTCGCCGTGCTCACCGACGCAACGGATGAAGAGCTTGATCGGGGCTTCGCCGGTGGAGCGGGATAGGTGGTAGACTCGGATGTCATTCCTGCCCTGGGAACGCTTGGGCCTGGGGTTCTTGGCGTATGCAGGAGCGAGGGTCAGCCATGGCGTGGGTGCACGCGAGGACGCTCTTGACGCCATGGACATGCTGGAGCCTGTGCGTCGAATAGTCTCCCGCGAGGGTTTTCTAAGCCTCTTCGCTGGCAGGTCCGGCGGTGGTGGGTTCAGATCGACTTTGGGCGTGGCCTTGGCCAGCTTGATGTTGGCAGGGATGGACTCCAAGATGTCGCTGATTTGCTGGCGAAGGTGATCGTCGGATGCGTTGGACTCTCTTGGTATTCCCACGCTGGTGAAGGAGTGGTCGTAGTCCTCTTCGATAAAAGACGACTCAAGAGGCAGCGCTGGCAGCAGTCCCTCCTCCTGAGGCCTTATCATTGGACTAACGCCATCATCTCGCATGCTAGGTTGAAACGGCGGCGAGCTTGGGGGACTGATGCTCATGAAACGGCCGGCAGCGGACTTCTGGCCCAGGGTCTCATGACGATTCTGACGCGGCAGAGGTGGTGAAGCAGAGACTTCGGGCATGTCGCTGGAGCCGTCTGCTAGCAGGCTGGTGTGGCCATGGATGACTGTCGACAACTCCGAAGCGTCGCTGCCGCGTCGGTCTGGACGGATCAGAGGGGGCAGTTGGACCTCGTCCTCGTCATCTGGTGTGTCGGACAAAATCTCCACGTCGTCGAGAAACGACGACTCTGATCTCGTTTTGCTCTCAAAAACTGCTCTAAGTTTCGATACGACAGATTGCTTGTTGCTTTCGGGTGGGCCGGTCTTTTGGATGCTTTCATTCAGGACCTCGGCTAACGGGGTTCGTTTGGGCTTCAGTACCTCGTTGGAACCATCGAAGCCACTGGTAGGCGGCTGTGTTGTTCTGTGAGCTTGCAAATGTGAAAGTGACAGCTCTATTGAGTCATCCTCATTTGCCTCATTGGATTGTTCTGGCGTGGCCTCGCTGGAACTGCCAGAGCGGCTCGTCTCCCTCGTCTCCTCTTTTGGCGGATCAATGGTGATGGGCACCGGTAAGGTAACAGTGCTTGGATCCTCGTCGAAAGCTGGCAGAGCCAAGGGGGGCTCAACTTTGATTTTTGCCATTTGCCGCCACTCCCCTTCTGTTATCTTTTGCTCGCCAGAGGCCACCCAGTGGGCGTAATTACGCTCAACGGCCTCCATGCGGTCAAGCCAGATTTCTGGCAGTGTGTCCTGCAACCCCTCGAGGTTGTCAAGCATAAAGTCAAGACTGCGGCCGGATTTGGTGATTTGCTTTTCCAGCACTCCCTTGACCACGGTGAAGGCGTGCTTGAACCGCGAGAAGTCGTCTTGCGCTTGTTGTTCGAGGTTGTCCTCGATCGGCGTTCCCGCCGGAGATGACAGCACATTCCACGCCGACTCCAGGGCGAATTCCGCCTCTGCAATTCCAGTCAACAGCGCAGGTATGCGGCGAAGCACAGAAAGCCGAATGTACCAGACTTTTAGCAGCCGACACAGCTTGGACAGATTTGGCAGTGCTTGGATAATGATTGCGGTTAGAAGGGCCGTCAAATCGTCCATCCGGTTGTAAGAGAGCGCCGCCGCGATGGATCGCGAATCCATATTGGGTGTCCCGGGTCTCGAAAGCGGAAGAATGTGTGTGTGCATGACATGAGCCTTGATGTCCTCAATACATAGCTGGTCCATGTCATGAGAGATGCCGTCCACGCGCTGCTCGTACTGAGTCACATCCTTAGCTGGAAGGCACCCCAAGTACTCTGGTTCGGAGGCAGCGGCATCGTCAAGTTTCGTCCTTGGTACATCTGGCATTTCGAAGCCGGCAGAGCCGCTGGTGGACGGCCAGGGCCAGTCGGAGAGCTCCTCGAGCCACACATAGATCTTGCGGCTGGCCATCGCGGCGCGCAAAGCGAATTCCTGTTCGCTAACGGTAGAGTTGTCGAGGCAATGCTTCAGCTCGGCGTTGGGCATTTGAAGCATTTCAACCGCGGTCATGGGCGTAAGGCGGCTCAGCAGGTCGTCGGTATTTCGGGTACGGCTGGGTGAGTGCTCATCGGAGAGACGGTACTGGCGCCTAGGCGGCCGCAGGTGCTGGCCCAGCCCAGGAGGAATGGGCGGCGGTAGGGGGTCGGTCATGATGTTGGTTGTGAATTCAGGTGTCGAACGATCGGTTGGGTTGTCGAGCAAGCAGGCATGGCTTGTTTCTATGAGCCTGGGAAGAAGACGTCTTCAATGAGGATGGCCATGTCGCGAATCATCGGTGGTGCTTGTTGACTTTGATCATAAAGAGGCCGCAGGGGTCCCTTCCTGGATCGTGTTTCGCTCTTGTCTAGTGCTCTTGACTATCGAGAGGTGGAAAAGAAGCCGGTCGTACGCAAAGTCGCCCCGTCGGAAAGCGATACCGTTGTTCGCTCGGGTAGTCGCAGGAGAGGGTCAATGATGGCGGGAAAAGAGAACAGGGCGCGACGCGGTACGGGTTCCTGAAGATGTAAGATGCAAGGGAGCACAGGGATCCGGGGGGAAGGTATTGTTGAATAAGGTAGAATATGTAGTAATGTTAGAGCGAGTGCCTGGATGCCGCAGATGTGTATTCAAGGAAAGAAAGGGCGTGGTAGGTAAGATAGGCAGGGAGCGATAGTGAATGAAGAAAGAACAAGGTAACTGGGTAACTGGGGATGTTTCGCGAGGGTTCGCAGGCACAACAACGACACCAGGAAGGGAAGGGAAGGGAAGGGAAGGGAAGGGAAGGGAAGGGAAGGGAAGGGAAGAGTGAAAGGCTGGTAAAAAAGAGATTGGCAGTTTGGCGTGGTCGTAAGAGAGAGGAGATTTATTAATGAGATTTGACGGATATTGGTTGCAGCAAGTACGGGGATGGGGGTGGGAGAGCCAGGTACCGCAACCCGGACGCAGCGGGTGTGGTACATGGGTGTGGGCTCATGTGCGTGTGTGTTGGAGATGCAGCTGTTCTAGGTATAAACAGGCCTGCCTCCAAAATCCCCTGTGCAAGCCAGCCCAGCCCAGTCTGTCTTGGGAACCCAAGACGCGCCAAACCAGGTTAATTATACCATAACTATCGAATCTACCACCGGAATCCGTCCACGTCGTGTCCCCGCTGATCCTCTTCGCGGCACGCACCCTGACGTGTCGAGAGGTTGATTCGCGTCGTTGGCCATTTGAGCGGATCGGACTGCGGTAGGCTCTGCATGCTCCTCGCGCCTCGAGATGCGGCATCCTGCATAACTAGTGCTGAAGACCTCTAGGACACCCATGCGGTATACTAGCATGCTGCTATCGCCGCATTTTCACGTCTTTCGCAATCATCATGCCGGTTCTGTGATGGGTGTCCCTGTCTGGTGTTGATGCACCACCCACTACCAGCCTCTGCAGCTTGGACCAACAGAGTGCCAATTTCTGAACGCGGTTTAGACTGTTCCAAAGGTGGTGTTTTTCTTGATGCTCTGGTATGTCTCGCTGCGCTACTGCACCGTCCATATATTTGTAGAGGAATCTATCTGCATTGCGTTCTTGTTACGCCGCTTTGTCGTGCAGCCTGTCATCTCATGTTGCTCACTAACCTTGTCATCGATGCTCGGATACATGGAATTTCCTTGCCAGGCCTGCATGTTTCGTTCGACAAGGCGACACGGCCCGCCCGCAAATGGTGTCAAACGAAGCTCTGCAAGCTGTCACAAAAGTCTTTTTCGGTAGCGGTCGTAAGTGGCGCGCGCGAAGCTGGCAACGTGAGCTCCAACAGGGGACGGCTTACATCAGCGCACGGCACCAGCCCACACCAGCCCACACCAGCCGCCGCTTCCATCGTTTCCGGCGATCATCATCCCCCACTACGGTGACCTTACCTTGCCACTAGTAAAACTAGGTAGGTACCTACCTAGGTAGTTAGTAGCTTCGCGCCCAAGAACCCAAGAGACGAGGCGCAGAATGTCGACACGTCGCAGGCCATTCATTGCCATTGGTCGCCGATGCAGCTTTGCGATTGTTCTGGGACATCGTCTTTCGACACATTCCAGAGTCCAAACCCCAAACAGCCGCGTCACAACCAAGCAGATGCGATGGACTCCGAGACCTGGCGCGGCTCATTTCCTCTGATTGCCCAAGAAGAAAAGAAGAAAAAATGTTTCCCCTGCCGTCATTAAATTGCCAATGGCTGGCCCGGAAACGCGCTCGGAACTATTTCGCCTAACAGCTCCCCCTGTCACGCTACTTCGGATTCGGCTACCTCCCCTGGAGCTCTTAGATTGAACACGAGGGGTCGTGGAGCTTTCCTGGAGCTCAGTAGACAAGCATCCTGCAGTTCCCGAGGCACGTCGCTCGAGGTGCAGAGTTTGGACATTGCGCGACCGTCTCACCACGATTGGCGAGGCTTGAATTTGCGCATGGCTGATCAAGCAACAAGGTATAATTATAGACTCGCTTGGTGATCTGGACTCTGTCGCTTGCTATCGACAACGGGATTCAACAGCTTCGGCCCCAAATGCACCCACTTCCCCACTCCTGGATACACAAAACCAATCTCTCGAAGAGTCGTCGCAGTACCCCCTCGCTTCTCGAACTCTTGTTTGCTAGGCCAGTAGACCCCCCGCTCCCAAAACTGCTCGTCGCGCCAGTACGGAGGTTCTTTGCCTTTCTTGGTCGACTGGGCCACCCAATCATGCAGCATGTTGATGTAGCGGCCATCGTCCCCGTTGTCGAGCAATACATGTATGTTCTTGTCGCCACGTCTTTTGAAGAGGTCGAGCTCCCACTTCTCCTGGTCTTCGACGGGTGGTAACGTCAGCCCGTTCGACCAAACCGCCCCAAGGGCTGCAGCCTGGTTCTCAGCCACCGGCCATGGTACCGTCCTGATAAGTAGCCCGGGAAAGGCGAGGGTCGGGTGCTGTATGAGAAACAGGTGCTGGTACAAACCTCGGATCCCTTTGCCAGATGTCAAAAGTGTTGGCTTGAGCAGCTCGGGGAGGAACGGGAAGCTGAAGAAGAAGCCGGTGCAATAGATGACAGCGTCGACATCTTCCTCAGTCTTCCCCCCCTCATAAACAACAGCCCTCTTCCCCGATACAAACTCCACGATGCGCGGGACTTCCGTCACGCCAATATGATGGACCTTGTCCGGTGGGGTCGGGTGCCGGACAGACAGATACACCCTGTCTGCTACCTGGCTGATTTGACGGGCGATATCCAGACCTGACGGTCCGTTACCGACCACAATCACCTTTTTCCCCGTAAAGGGCTTAGGAACGCGGTAATTTTTGGAGTGCAGGATGGTTGAGGGGTGAGCCTTGTGGAATGCCTCGATACCCTTCACTTCAGGAATGAAAGAGACGGCGTAGTGTCCATTGGCGATTACAACCGCATCGTACGTGTCCGTGAACTTGCGACCGCTGATGGTGCAAGCTGCCTCGAGGTCCCATTGATCTCTGCCGTCCGTCTGTCGGAGGGCTAGCGACTTGACTTGGTGGGAGAACTTGATGAGATGGCGGACGTCTTTGGCGTACCCCACCAGGTAATTGTAAATGGACTGGCGAGACGGAAACACCCACGTGTCGTCTGGGAAGGGCGCATTCTTGTAATTCATTGTCGTTTTGACGGTGTTGGCGTGAAGTGACTGGTACATTGGGGTGGGGAACACGGGAGGCGCGCCGGGCTTGGACCGGAGCGGAGGGTCTTGCGGACAGAATGGATCGGTTTGAGGCACATGGAGAGATGTGGTTGGATACTCGCTGTAGTTCCAGACACCGCCTACTTCGGCCTGCTGCTCGAAGACAACCACCGTCTCAAAGGCCCCCTGCGCTGAAAGGTACCTTGCGGCCGCTAAACCAGTCGGCCCAGCACCGATGACGGCAATCTTCTTGATATCGAACGGGGCAGTCATGTTGATATGAGACACAAGGTGTGCGTTTTTGTTTGTTTGCAGGAATGGACCGGTGCTTCTTAAAAGCAATGCGACACAACAGACCATGCTCCGCGGGGTGCAATGCGTTATATCGGCGGCAAATCACCTAATCGGACCCTTTCAGACCCTTTCGGACACATATGTGGATACTGCCGGGCGACGGAGATCCTCAGCACGTCCACCATATTTCCTACAACTGAGGGAATGATTGGATTGGATAAGATACATTCGACATTGCAAGGGATGCCTATTTTGATCCGGATAGGTAAAAGTTAAGCTACCTAGGTAGGTACGCAAAGTTCACCTGAGCTTTTCGTAATGCGCTCGATGGAGATCCGAGAGGTAGCGGGAGGCGCGCGCTTATCGATAAAAATGCGGCTCCCGCTATCCTGCACTGTACACCGCCTGCCATTTATTTCTATTTGCCATCTGGACCCACAGGCAATCGCGGCAGGTGAAGCTTAAGCTTCGTTCCACTTTCCACCACCAAATTGTTCACGACGATGCCGTACCGCAGAATCAACCTTTGCGGCCGGCTACGCTCGATCCCTTCCTAACAACAAGAAACCGAAGCACCGACGCTGTTCACATCCACCGCTGATGATCGATAGCCCCGAACGTCCTCCCTCTCAGTATAACCAGCTACGCCGCGTCCCGAGACCCATGACGCGATGTCTGGGGTTCAGCTACCTGCGCAGCTCGAAGCTGCCGAAGGCATTCCGATTGCGCAATTGAACCCCGATATACAGAATCCAAAGAATCGTGTCGCTCGGGGTGTCGTTACCATCACATGGCCGTACAGTATTGTCAAGAAGACGATTGCTTTCCTCCTCGCCGAGCCTGATTATCGACTCCGTCGCGCCAAGGGCCAAGTGCGCGTCGAGTTTAGTGGATCAAGCGCCAAGGCAATTTCCGAAGCAGCTCTTGGAAGTGGCGATGAAATTACACTGTCGTTGGATGGAGTCAAGTTCGTTGTGGACGACTCCAAGACGCGAGTTCCGGGGACAAGCCTGGATTGGCAGTTGAGATTCACGGAGAGGGTGCTCCTCCAGGTATGTCGGGTATAGATTTGCTTGGTCTTTGCTAAGTTTCAAAGGCCAAAATCAGCGACTCTGACGACGTAAGGGTCATCGATGTCGATCACCCTGTCCAATCCGAACCAGAGCCCGACCTTGAGCTGTCACAGTCAGCCCTCGACCCGTTTACTGAGAAAGAGAAGACACCCGAGAGAATAACAACACCTATTGCGCGTTCTGGCAAGAGACCCATCGATCAGAGCGTTGTGGCGGACGAATATGCTTCGCCTGCATTTCTCAAGCGTGCTCGGATGTCGTATGGGTCTTTGTTTGATGGCGGCATGGATATTTTTGACGAAGATGTCGCAGCAAGAGTGCGTTCCGAGAAGCGATCAAAGTCTAGTCGATACAGCGAAGTCTGGAGATATGCCAGTCAATCGCCGAGCCCCGAGCCGGAGAACCCCGAAAAGGAAAAGACCGAAGATACGCCAATGATGGAGGAACAACCGGCGGAACAACCGGCGGAACAACCGGCGGAACAACCAGCGGTAGCCACGCCTTCGCGGCCGAAGATGGTCGATGATGGCTGCCAGACAATCGAGCGGGATATGAGTCCCCTCATAGAGGTTCAGGTTGCTGCGGAGGCTCGCGAGAACGCATCGTACTGGCAGACACCTTCAAAATCAACAATGGTCGACTCAGGGGTTCAGTCTGATCTACGCCACAGTCCAGATGTTGAGCTACCTCCAGGTCTCTCGTTTGGACAGCATGCGCCAATCCCCATGTTTACCTCGGCTCATGAACAACATTCGCCAGCTTTTCAGCAGCCGCCCCTCGGCCCGGTGTTTGGCCATGATCTCCAGGAAGGCATGGAGCCACATTACGGCGCTGAAGGGCCATTCCATGAGCATCCGAGCGCATACCCTGAAGCTGGGCTCGACCATGGTCTTGATACACATAGTCATTACCCGACATCTTTTCTCGATGGTCCCAACTTTGGACCTCATGCCGCACTCACGTCACAGCCTATGTCTGAGCCAATAGCCGCGTATCAAGACCATCCGCAACAGCATAGCCTTGAAGGGGAACGCCACACAGTCGTCATTGACTCTGTTATTGAGCCTCAGCAAGTTCCATGGGGGCTTACATCCACACATTATTCCAGGCCGCCTGTGCGATCTGGAGATGCAGCAGCTGAGGGACAGGAGGCAGGACAGCAATCTGAGACACAAGCCATGTCCAGCGATAGCTGGGCCGAAGAGCGCGAAATCCGGATCAAAGAAAACTCCGAGGACCCAGAAGGCGAGCAGGCGGCTTTGAAAGTGGAGGAAGACCATGCTTCGGAGGACGAAGATGGCGCCGAGCAGGAACTTCCTTCAGGGACGTACGCCGAGAGACCCTCTAAGCATGCAGAGAACGAAGCTGTAGCAGGCGAGCAAGAAGGCAGCAGCAGTAGCAGCAGCAGCAGCAGCAGCGAAGACAGTGAAGATGAAGCCGAGCACGATGCCGACGATGCTGGTGGAGACTACGACATTACCAATTACCGCAATCTCAGCAATAACCAGGATGACGACGATGGTACAGATTTAGAGTCGGACTATGGTCAAGAGGAAGATGACGAAATTCTTGAGCCTGAACTTCAGGACAATGAGGAAGATGAGGTTGAAGAGAATGTCGAGAACTATGGAGAAGAATATGATGAATACGACGAGGGGGAGGACGAAGAAGAGGAGGACGAAGACGACGAAAATCGGCCACCACCCACTGCACCACGAGGAGGAGCGCCGGAGATAATCAGTCTGCTTTCGGATTCCGAGGACGAGGACGAGGACGAGGCTCCGCCTTCCCGACACACTCCCACTCAACCGCGACAGATGCCACAGTACGACGGGTCCACTGATGAAATGGAAAAAGACGATCCGAGCGATAGGGACGAGAGCGAAGCAAAGTCCGCCAGCAATGAAGATGACCAACAAAGCTCCTCTGACTCGTCTGGCGAGGAGAGTGAAGAGGAGGCATCCCGCGACGGCACACCAACACCGATGCTTCGTTCAATGTCTTCGAGATCTGCTTTTGATGCACCGGACATGACATCAGCGACGCTTGGTGACGATCTCGAAACGATGAGTCCCATCAAGCTGCCACAGGCCACGAGCCTCCGCAGAAGCTCTTCCCGGCCTAGCTCAAGGGGTGACTCAGACATACTTGCGGCAGACTTGGAGAAGGGATTGGAGGAGGACTTGGCCGCGGACGACTTCCAGGATGACCGGAAAACTCCAGAGCGGACAGACATTGAAACAAACATGGGCTTGGACGATAGAGTTATGGAGACGGAATCTGTGCCTTTGGCAAAAGTCCCAGCCGAGCTTAACACGGTACAACAGGCATCGTTGCGCGAAGATTTCGCCATTCAAGAGGAGTCTGAGGCACAAGACCAAGAACCCCAGACTCAACCGCACCAGCCAGCCATCGAGAGCAGACACACGCCGACGGTTGGGACGGACGAGGGGACCAAAGATTCAGTGCATGAAGAATCAAGTATCCCAGCTGACGAACACTCGGAAGTCCCAGTGGACAGCAACCGGACTCTTCTATCCCACCCAGCTACAATGGAAACCGAAAGCGAACAGATCACGGCCTTGCCAGGATCCGAGACGAGCATAGATACTGAATCCCAGGTTGGAGACTCCCTCCCTCCCGACCACGGTGTGAACAAAATCGATGCTCAAAAATCGCCGGAAGAGTCGGTTATCAATTTCGAGGAGGCTCATGGTGACCAAACTGAGAAGACATACGCCGACTCTGATAAGGGTATCCATGCCGTTACCGATGATCAAGCGACGCGAGAGGTCGAAATCAACGTAGCCGAGGTTGTCGAAGTACAAACGGAAAAGACTCAGTTCGACAAAGTTGTTGGCCAAGAGTTGGTCGAAGAACCAACATCGGATATGCTCGAAATCCAAGCAAATGAGAGCGAGGTTGAAATCTCAGAGGCTCAACTGAAAGAGGTCGAACCCCTTGAGGACGACCGAGGCATTACTATGGAACAAGGATCCGCCATCGAGTCTGAGATCGACACGAGAGTCACAAATTTGCCCGACACTCCAGTCGAGGTAGAGATGGACTCTACCAGCGGGGACTCCCCTAGCCCTACTGATGTGGACATGGCTGACACTGAAGCGATGTCCGTTGACGAGACGAGAGATGAAGACTCCGATGTGGATATGGATGAAATGACCGAGGAGCAACTCATCCAAACCCAGCTCCAAGAGGAGTCAATGATATTTGAGGATCAAACAGTCACAACTATCACGACACTGCAGACAGGCGAGGAGCGGCCAGTCTCGCAAGACAGCGAGACAGCTGGCGACGCGTATTCTACCTCAGAGACAGAGGTTATTGAAATATCACACGTGACGGTTGAGATGTCTATAACCGAGCCCCAGGCTACTACTGACGAGGGTTTGCTTGAGGCAGCATCTGAAGACGTAATGGATATGGATCGTCCGGATGATACCATAGCAAACGAGATGGCGCCGTCTCCTGCAATGGAACATGGGGAGGTCGAGCTTGTTGAGATGCGAAGCTCGCAAGGCAGCGAGCAGCTCGACATGCAGGATGATGATGTGCAGCTGCTCACAGTGGGTGGGTCGCAACAAGCTGAAAGCATCTCGCAGTCTTTCGTCGAGACCCAGGCCACAGAGACCACAGAGATTCCAGAGGCCAATACTCAGGTCACTGTGCCAGAGGTTGATAGCGAAGCTCCATCGCAGATTTGGGTCTCTATGTCAGAAGATGAGAGGCACTTGCAGGCTCAGAAGAAACCGGAGAACCAAGCAGCAGCACCCACAGACCCGGTCCAATCTCGACAAACCATCGAGCCTTCCCTGGAGGCACCATATGAAGCCGATGTGACTTCACCTACCAACGACGAGTTATCACAAATCCGAGACTCGTCGGCACAACCATCTGAGGCGCAGTCGTCTCTTATCGCCGAGGATGCCTCGGAGGAAGTCCACGCCGCGCAGCCGTCTCCGAGGCGAGCGCGCGGACACCGAAGAGACAGGTCGGATACTGCCAGCAAGGATCAGGATCCTAGCGTCACATTGGCCCGTGCGTCCATCGCATCGCGACGGTCGACGCGCCTATCAGACCGCACGACTCCTGATAGCACGCGAGTTACCTGTGCCAGACCACAGAGTCTGGTCTTGAAGAGTGATTCGCCAGATGCTGAGGACGATAGCGTGCAGCTCGCGAGGAGCGCCATCAAGTCGCCATCGCGGGCTTCTAAGATGAAGGAGCCCAAAGAGAGGGATGTCGCCAAGTCGAAGCAGAGCAAACGAGAGGCAACACCGAAAGAGACTGCCGAGCAGACGCCCGCTGCGGTTAAGGCGCAGCTCACGAGATCGCTGCGCGCCGACGTGCCAGACTGCATCTCGCTCAAGGTGCTCCGGAATCATCCGGGCAAGACCGTGGACGTGTTCGCGGTTGCAACGACAGAGCCGCCCGAGGCCAAGCGCGCCAAGGGAGGTCCACGGGGAATCATGCTGGCATTCAACGTCACAGACCACTCGATCGCGCCCGCGCAGACGGTCGCGGTTCAAATTTTCCGACCGCACAAGGCAGCGCTGCCGGTGGTACACCCAGGCGACGTGATTCTGCTGCGCAATTTCAGCGTCATGGTGCTGACGGGCCGCGGGTTTGGGCTCCGGGCCAACGATGGATCCAGCTGGGCCGTCTTCGAGCGCGAGGGCCAGGACGACCTACCGCAGATTCGGGGGCCGCCGGTGGAGCTGACGGACGGGGAGGCGTCGTATGCGGCTCTTTTGAAGCAGTGGTACGCCGGCCTGGACGCGAAGTCGCTCGCGCGGTTGGATAAGGCTAACGAGGCGGCGCCGGCGGTTGGCCAGTAAAAGGGCGTCGACATATCGTTCACTTGTTTTTTTTTTTTTTTTTTTGGTTTTTTTTCTATGCATAGATGCTGGATGGTAGACGTTACGGCGGTCGCGATGTAAAATTAGGCAACTGATTGGCCCATATTGTCGATGAGGCAGCTGCCAGAAAGCTAAAATAAAACAAAATTAAAATGGATAGTAATGAACATCCGGGCAACGTATCATCGAAAAAGCCAAGCATGGGGTTGAGGCGGCTTACCCCATGGAGAAGGCACGCACAACCGGTAACGGTAGCGGCAGTAGCAGTCGTAACCCATATGGAGGCCAGCTATGGACAACTCCCCGCCCGCTTGAAGTCTTGGACCGCCCGCTTTCGAGAGCGCTGCTCGACACTAGCCCGCCCAACCATTGGTGAAGCAGGTATTGTAAGCAGTAAGCGGAGAACGAGAGAGCGGGGAGGAGGCGCGTCCGTCGGTTTGACTTGTCGCAGCCAGCTGCCCCCCTCTTCCCGCTGTGCCTTGATTTGCAAAGGAGCCGTGGAGACGATGCCGGGATCATTGGGGTAGCAAACAAGAGTGGAAGGAGAGAGGGAGGGGGGCCCAGTGGAACTGCACGCAAGGGCAGATTCGGATATGAGAATCGGGGCAAGTCGGGGACCCACCCAGGCCCGGCCGGATCCGACCCACACCGGCGTACATGGTGATTGGCGAGAGGGCTTATTCCCATGCGTTCCCTTCCTCCACTCGGTGTGTGGTGGTGGGGAGCTCGTGTACCAGCGCCAACGAAGCGGAGGCGGCTTGTGTTGACCGGAAGCCAGATTTTGCCCCGGCGTCTTGATGATGGTTTGTATGTATTGGGGTATGCCAGTTGTGCATTGAGATGGCACGGCCATGGGGTGCCCTTTCGGCTTTCGTGACACTTGGCTTCGAGGGCCTCGGGTGCGTGAGTGAAGCCAGCACGACATACTGCTGGCAGCAACGGTACGCGTTTTCGGGGCGGATCCTGATGTTTGAAGATCCCCCCACCCTCCCCCGGTGTTGAGGCCGGGATGGACTGCCCCCGTGTGACGGAAGCAGTATGGAGGGCGCGCGTCATACTAAGCGGCGCGCTCGCATTCACGGCAAGTTATATCGGAGAAAAGGGAGCGTATGGACCTGCGACAGCCAAGTGTGGCAACGGTTGGCTGCGAAAGCCAGCAAGGAAAACACCCAAGGCAACAAAACTTCGGTCTGTTGCATCATTCTATCTCTCCCTCTGTCTCTCACCCCAAGGTTTAGACGGAGTCAGGATATGGGCCGGCATATACTAACGGGAATTGCACGGCTGTACGTACCGGGCACCGGGACCTTCGCTAAAGTTTCGACAGGACGCAGGGGTGGTGGTTGACACTGGGCGAAGCACATCGTTGCCTCAGGGGGTCCGGGCTGCATTTGGATGGATACTTCACCAGTGTTTTCCTTTTATCCAAACTCTTTTCTTCGTCTTCTTCGTCTTCTTCTTCTTCTTCTTCTTCTTCTTTACCTGCTCTTTGTTGTCAAGACCTGGAGACGGGATCGTGATCGAGAACCGAGAGTCGAGGTGGCCAAATAGGGGGTTGGCGGCCGTCCCGGCTATTGCCGGATCCAGCTGGACGAATGGAGGTATTTCCAGGTATGGAATGGGACGTGATTGGAGGGTGACACCATGGTTTGGGTAGCGACAGCGGATGAATTGGGAATTGTGCATTTTATCCTTCGGACCAAAGGGCATGGCATAGCGTATGTACATTGCAGTGGACGAGACGGCGACGACAACAACGATGACGAGGCGAAACCCTGATGGATCACTAGAGCAAGGGAGGCGGGGTTCGAGAAGCTGAGCTGTGAAGCAACAGCAGACTTTATTCAAATCTTGACGACGAATTCTCACTGGACAATGATGAGTACCATAATGTGACGGGTGATTCATGATGCTGCGGGACTGCACAACTTATGGGGGGGGAGGGGTGTCCTCAAACACACAAGACACCAGACACTCCAGACTCCAGACTCCAGACTTTGATGGAGATTGTCGAGACGCCTAACTGTCTTCGGACATGGTCCGTCGCGACACATCAGCTCGGTGACTAAGGACAGAAACAGTTGACCTAACCCAACAGCACGGGTGGTGTTTGAGATGAGGTGTAAAAATTGCACAGCGGCTCGTGATGCTTTAAAGTTGAGGGGCCACTGGGCTAGTTGAAAGTTGCGATGGGCTAAGAATTATGTAGGCGTTTGTGGTTGGTTGGATGCCACGGTAAGGGCTGGGGTGGACCGCAGCCTGAACATAATCCTTGACGCCCACACCGGGGCTGACTCGATGGCTCCTGACTCGCGAGGCTAGCACTGGTGTACTCTGTAGTGTACTTGCACTATGTAGATTCTGGTCAATGATTAACCGGGCAGAAGAGCGAAAGGCGAAGCCCAGCCCCGGAGGAGGGGTTGGCCAAGCCAACGGCACACCCAAAAGTCGTGATTGGCCGTCTCCGCAAGGTGGGAGTGATGATGGGGAGAAACGGGGAGGGGTCGGGTTTCTGCGGTGTAGTGGAGGTTGTGGAGGGGAGTCGGCGGGTGTTGGTGGCTTTCGGGGGTCGAATCTTGACGATGGAGATTCAGAAACGGGGACCACAAGGTGTGAATTCCTTTTTGCGGTGAAGAAGACGGTCTGCCGGTTTGGGTTTGGGCGTATTGTCGTGAGGTTGGTCCTGGCGAAGCCGGGCTGATGATGAAGTAAAGAAGATGCTGGATCGAGGGGGGGGGGGGGGGGGGCGTGGCACTGGGCACTGGCACGAGCTACGTACTAGCGTCGATGCGGCAAAGTCGATTTGGTGCAGCTTGTTAAAAACACGCCACGCCATATCAGACACGGTAAGCCGAGTTTTATGGGACTGGTGATAAGTAACAAAGAGGGCGCCTCTTGTGGAACGACATCTGTTGAGTGAAAGCTGGCGCAATGAGTAAGTAGCACACTGTGAGTGGTCTTGGGAGGCGAGGCAGCCAGGCAGCATCAGAGAAAGAGTAGGATCGGCCAGCATATGCTACCTACGTATCCGTACGCAGGTAGGTATAGGTGCAGCGGGCGTGCGGAAACCCCATGGTAGTTAGTAGGTAAGGTTAGATGGTTAGTTTATCATTGGTTGTCTCATCGGCCACGAGCACAAGACACTACCTAATGTACGGGGCTGTAAGAGTCCTAGGAGTTTGAAGACAATCGATGACAACGAGAACGGGCTTGCACGGCTGCGGCTAGGGTAGGTACAGATAAGCAGGACCCAAATCGTCGAGATGCGGCGGAACAATCACCGCTCGATGCCCTGCCTTACCACCTACTGCTACACAATTTACCAAGTAGGTAGGTTACGCATGTACGCCTACGAACACAGCAACAAGAGAGACGGACAGGCGTTCATCCCCGCACGAAAGCGCCCCTCATCTTCACACCCCTCTTCTTCCCCTTCCCCCGACCAAGGCTCGAGCTCCGACCAAGACTCGAGCTCGAATGCATACAAGCTTGGCTGGAAGAGGACAGGGGGCTCGTGGACGTTTGATTGTTGGCTTCACATGCAAACACGGCAGCCGTGGCGGTTGGCAGATGTGGGGGATTGGCGCTGGTCATCTGCTGATGCGTGAGGTATGAGATGCAGACCGAGATGAGGTCAGGTTGCGTCTTGAATGTGATAGAGTTGGAGGTTCTCCGGATTGGTTCGACCGGATAGATGGAAGAGGGTGCGAGGGATATATGGGATGGGAGAACACCACGGTGCACACGCGAGCGAGCCCGCGGTGGCGGACGGGGGAGGCGTAAACTCACGGTAAGATGGGTAGGGGATGTGGGATAGGTACTGTGTACACCACTCACTCACGACAAGTAGGTAGGTAGGTGGTTTAGGTAAAGAAGAGGGGGGAAGCGGTTTGTGCTGTGTACGTACATACATCGCTGCATACAACACACATGTACGCATGTATTTGCCAGTACAGGCGAGCTGACTTGAAGAATGCTCGCGTATGTACGGATACGTGTAAAATATGCCCATCTACACAGAAGATATAAAGTCGCATTCTGTACACCTACCTAGTCAGACATGTCATGCACGGATGCGACTTTTTTGTCATGGAAGAATCGGTTCCACGCTGGCTCCTGGCCAATGCTCGGCCGTGGCAGACGACGAGACGTCCCGTGGCCTCTGTGTACAGGTCACGGGGTCATCGAACAGAGAAAATAGATGACAGCTCGACAAGTCAAGGCGGCGACCGACAGTCGAAACACTCGAAGCTCAAAGTACCTATTCGCCAACGGCCACTAAAGCGGACGAGCGCAGCGCAGCAGACAGACGGGGCCAAGGGGAGGAAGGGGCAAAGCAACCCGGCCGTCATTGTTTTGCATCGTGAAGTGACGGACGCTCCGGTACGTGTTGTAATGAGAGAGAGCAGAGAGGCATCTCGTCCGCCCGCAATAGGTAGGTACCTAACCTGGACAGTAGCGGTACCTGCCTATTTTAGGTCGTTTAGGCAGGTAGCTAAGTAGTGTGTACGTATCTCTCGATCGGAATTCCGTCTCATCCAGTATCCTTGTCCCATACCTGACTAACCTACCCACTCCGTCTCCATTCCTTACGTGCTGTTCGCGGTTAGCTTCGTTTCCCCATAATTCGGGTACGTAGCAAGGTACGTACGTTATTACAAGTATGTATCCGTACGATGTCGATACTAGCAGGTAGGTAGGTACAATCGGTAGTCGCCGCCGCCGCCGCCGCCGCCGCCGCCGCCGCTGCTGCTGCTGCTGCTGCTGCCGCTGCTGGGGATCCTGCTGGGGATCCTGCTTTAATTATCACCCTCCCCTGCCCTGCCCTGTGCCTACCTTGCCAGGTGCAGCGAGGTGCTGGCCTGGCCTGGCCTGGCCTCCCTCGTTTCCTCGCCCGGACTAGTCTCGCTGATGGATCGGAGAGGAGTGAAAGGGCCCAGGAAGAAGAAGTGGAGGGACGGACGACAAGGAGGAGGGTGGGATGGGGCCGCCGTCCGGGGGGGGGCGTGCCTCATGGGGAATTCAAGATGAAAGAGAGAAAGAGAGAGAAGGTGTGTGTGTTTGTGTTTGTGTGTGTGTCCGTTCCAAGCTCCTTGTGTCAAGCTCAGCGCTGGTGCGAAAGATTGATTCCATTCTGAATCATACAAGTATAATACCTCTCCCCCTTCCTCTCCGTACCCTTGGACCCCCACATTCCCGCTTCCCCTTCCACCAGCCCGTAGCTCCGGCTTTTTCAATACATACATTTCGAGGTTGAAGTTGCCTCGTCTCTCCCGAACTTGGACCCCCAAAAACAAACCTTCCAAGGCACACTGCGCTTGGCACGGGACACCCATTCTAGAGACACGCGAGTCTGCTCATCCGCCGCAGCATTCCTCGCGGATCGACACCACGTAGCTTTTTCTTCTTCTTCTTTTTTCAGTGCCAGCTCGGAAACATTCAATGCTCATCTCAACGCGCCCTCGTCCCGCTCCGTTCTGTTGTTTACGTTATTGTCCCACGCCTCGACGAGCCTTTGCTTTGACGACCAAGCCTTTGTCGCCCAAGGCCTGTATACAGGAGCCCCTGCCATCTGATCGAAGCCATAGCTACTGAGCGAGTTCAGTGGTTGAGACCACGAACCGTGTCGTCTGACCTCGGCCGCTCCTGAGAGTCCCCATTCGACATCACTGTCAAGGAAGATCAAACATCGCCATTGGCAAGCTTTCTTCGCTCACTCCCACTACCAGCCCACACGCCGATTGGCATTGCAAGCGGTCTCCAAACAGGAGAGACTGTTCCAACACGCGGCGATGGCGACCGAAACGACCACCACGCCAGCCCTCGAGGCCACCCCCGCCGCCGACCCGGCCCCCGATCTATCGGAACTAGCGACTACCACCGCAGAGGAGCTGGCGTCGGTGGACCAGCACGACCAGCACGACCAGCACGACGACTCCAACGACACCTCGTCGGATCAGGAGCAGAGCAAGAAGCGCTCCTCGGAGGCCGCAGACCTAAAGGATGGCGCGCCCCCGGCCAAGGTGACGAAGCGCAGAGCCGCCCGCGCCTGCGTGAGCTGTCGCGCACGCAAAGTTCGCTGCGACGTCGTTGAAGGCGCTCCCTGCGGCAACTGCAGATGGGACAATGTTGAGTGCATTGTTCAGGAGAGCCGCCGACGAAAGTGAGTCTAGCTTTTGCCTGACCACGTCCATGCCTTCCTTCCGTGTGGGGAATCTGCACGCATCGCAAACTCGATTTCGCCCGAGGCGCGACGCGACGCAGGCTGGGCAATCGCAGCAATGATCAAGACGAACTCGACTAACATGTTGCCCTAGGAAAACCCTCTTGACTGCCAGCACGGCGGGGCACTTGGGTGTTGAGGCACAATTACGCTCCAAGGGCGCGAATCCAATCAACATTCACAGCAGTGCCGAGCTGCGCCGACCCAGCAATGCCTCGGCAGCTTCGGTCAACGGATCAGTTGCAGCGACTCCCGTCCCGGCTCCTGCTTTGCCCCTGGGCGCGACTCCAACAATCGGCGCCGGAGCTGCAGCTGTGACTGGAATTGGCCCAGGACTTCTTGGGGGACTCTCGGCTCCCAGCGGCTCTTCGAATGGGCTCGAGGGTCACGTCCCTCACATGATTTGTAGGTTTTTTTTCGTCTCCATTAATAGATTTTCCCGAGTTTGTTTCCTCGTTCTCTCCTTTTCCTTTCTGTCACAGAACCTTCTTAGCGCAAGGTGTGACAGTTCCGCACTGCCCATACAGATTACCGCTCGTGGCACTTTGGTTTTCTTTTCTTTTTTTTGCTTTTCCGAGTGCTGGTCCATGTCCAGTGCTCCAAGTCCGGGGCTCGGACTGGGGAAAGGGGGGGAGGGGGCGCAATCGGGTAAAGTGTGGAGGGAGGGACTTTTCCCTTCCGCGTGACCTGGACCTCTAGACGTCAGGACTTCGCCTCCTGGTTCTTCAACAGCGTACCCCCTACCCCCCCCCCCCCCCCCCCTCTTCCCCTTCCGTCCGCGGCCCCAGCTCCGTCCCTCCATGTTTGCGTTTAATCCACATTCACATGTCACCCAACCGCCACCACCACAACGACTTGACTGACCACAAGACAGACCAGCGTTCAGGGTACCGTCATGACAACGCAGCGCTGCTCACCAAGCTGCAATCGGCCGCGGCCGCAGCGTCAGCCGACAGTAACTCTCGCCGCCTGTTGTCGAACCTCCTCGCCCAGGCCTCCCTCTTTGGCGGGATGACCAATGGCGACGGGCGGACGAGTCAATTCCTTGCCTCCCTGGAGGAGCCTGACCTCCACGCCCAGCTCCCGGCTTTCGTGAAACCGCTGCCCGCCAAGATCGCCCAGGAGGATGTTGCCTACTTGCATGCAAAGGGGGCACTTACTCTACCCGCCCTGCCACTGCAGAATGCCCTGTTGCAGGCATACATCGAATACGTTCACCCGTACATGCCTCTGCTTGAGCTGTACGACTTTCTGGCCGTCATCAATGCCCAAGATGGGCTCTCCGGTCAGATCAGCCTGTTTCTCTACCAGGCCGTCATGTTCGCCGCTACCGCATTTGTCGACATGAAGGTCCTCCGCGAGGCCGGCTATCCCACGCGTAAGGCCGCCAGGAAGGCCTTCTTCCAGAAGACGAGGGTAAGTGAACTCTAACAGGGGGGACCCGCATCACATGCTAAACGTTGCAGCTGCTCTACGACTTTGACTACGAGTCGGACCGCCTGATACTCGTCCAGGCCCTCTTGTTGATGACGTACTGGTACGAGACCCCTGACGACCAAAAAGATACATGGCATTGGATGGGCGTTGCCATCTCCCTGGCCCACACCATTGGCCTGCACCGCGACCCGGCCGCAACGAGCATGCCGGTCCAGAAGCAGAAGCTATGGAAGCGCATCTGGTGGTCGTGTTTCATGCGCGACCGCTTGATTGCCCTGGGCATGCGCCGGCCCACCCGCATCAAAGACGAGGACTTTGACGTACCTATGCTGCAGGAGTCTGACTTCGAGTTGGAGGTCCTTCCCGAAGAGAACAAGATCGTTCCCGCAGAGTGCATGCTGCTCCGCGATGTCTCGATGCAGCGGGAGCTGGCTGCCTTATGTATATCCAAGGCCAGGCTCTGCATCTGCATCAGCCACATGCTCAAGGCGCAATACTCCGTCCTCATCCGCGACAAGATGCGCCCCGAGAACACCATCAACAGCACAATGATGCTGTTCCCCAACAAGAAGCTCGACAACGTCGAGAGCGTGGCCTCGGTCGACCTGGAGCTCATGGCCTGGGCGGACACTCTGCCTGCCATCTGCCAGTACCGCCCCCTGACGCCTCTCGATGTCAAGAATGGACGGTCGACGGTCGCCGTCCAGCGCACACTGTTGCACATGGTCTACTACACCACCATCTCGGCGCTGCATCGCCCACAATTCCTGCCCTCATCTCCCGTCCACGCGCCGACGACCTCCAGGCAGGTGCAGGAGATGTCTCGGCTGAGGGTTCGCGACGCCGCGATGCACGTCACCCGAATGGCCGCTGAGCTCCACCAGCTGCGCCTGGAGCGGTACCTCCCCACCACCGGGGTCACGGTCATCCTGCCCGCGATGATCATCCATCTTCTGGAAATGAAGAACCCCGTGTCGCAGTCGAGAGATCGCGCCACCCGTGGCTTCCGCCAGTGCATGCGCGTCATGGAGAAGTTGCGCGAGATCTATGCTGCCGCCGACTACGCCACAGGCTTCCTGGATGCGGCCCTGCGCAAAGCCGCCATCGACATTAACCTTCAGCAGACCGCTGCGCCCATGACGCAGCAGAACCTCAAGCTCGCCGAGCCGACTTTCGGCGCCCAGACGCCCCCGCCCGACAACCTGCCGTACATGACGACCGGCGAGACCCTCTTCGCGACCAAACCGAATCCGCAGCGCGATTTCCTTCCACAGACCATCAACGCTGCGGCGCTCGACCTGTCGGCTGCGAGCCCGCCGCAAACCGAGAAAGACCATGAGTCGGCGTTGGGCGGCATGACGCCGAGCGCGAGTGGCAGCTCCGAGGAGCCCGGACCGCTCGACCTCGAGTTTATGCAGACTCAGGAAGAAATCGACTGGAACGCCATGACGGGAACGGAGTTTGACGTCGACCAGTGGTTGCAGTTTCCGCCTGAAGGTGTAAACAACTCGGACGAGGGGTTCATGTCGAATGTCTTCGGCGAGGAGAGCATGAACGATGCCATGAATTGGGCGGCATCCGGCATTAGTACGAAAGAGGGTGACGGCACGGCAGAGGTTGCCACCCTTGCGTGATGTTCGCATTTGCTTTGATAGACTCCTTCGAGAGTAGACTTTTACAAACGGTTTTCTTGTTAGGGAAGCATAGTACACGGAGTCAGGATAAAGCAAAAGATGGAAGGCCTAGGCTGTAATGATACGGCGTTTGCGGCTGAGTTCACTGGGGTAGGGTGTCTTTGGTATACCCTTATTCGGCGCCCGGCTTGTTCAACTAGTTGCAATGATTTTGAATGAGAACACGAGTTGAAAAACAACGGGTCCAACATGAATTGATTGGCAAGAGTCGCCTGCGACAGATATGACTCTGGACCACTGCCGTGAAGTGTGAAGTGACGTCGACGGCGCCCAGAGGTCACGATTCGGCCGCATGATCCAGAGAGTCGTGTCTACCAAACGCAGAGCCTGCTACTGTTGAGAGGGCTCGGCGGGGTGAATGTGATTATATATAACTGGCTACTACTTCGCCTCAAGCCTGCCACCGCTCTGTGACCTATTCGCAAATCGACCTCCACACGGTACGGTACCTAAGGTTTCCTGGCCCCTATGGCGGACCGGGGTTCCATCTCATCCCACGGGCGGGCGTCGGGCTTACTTGTAGCATTTCCTGAGAAGTCCGGGCCAGTTGCGCACTTTTCCTGACATTCCGCGGATGTGGATACAATCGAAGCGCTTCGAGTAGATCCTTTCGTTGTCAAGATCATCTACTTCGAAGTGGGCATCGGGCTAGACGCTGTGCGGTCAGCACGTCATCTTTTGACGACCAAGGAGGAGATGTGAACGTACAACTCGGGCTGCGTGGCCGACAGGTCGGATTCGGAGCCGAGGACGTCCACGCCGGGGTAATCGTCGCCAAAGTCGATGCACAAGACGCCCGGCACGCGGGCCCCTTCCCGGCCAGGGTCGTTTGAGGGGGCGAACCCGGGCCTGTTGTCGAACATCAAGAAGAACAGATGGTCCTGGAGGTCCAGCCTGTCGGTCTAGAGCGAGTCGTTGGGAGTAAAGTATTCTGTGGGTTGTCAATGGTGTTCGATGACGACAAGGGCGTACCCACCCACTGCCTTCTACGTAGCAGGGGTACGACCTGATATTCTCGACGCGGTAGTCGATGATGGAGCCGTGCAGGCTCGTCATCGCCGAGAAGTCGTCCTGGGGCTACGAACGTGCGATGCCAGGGGGGGTGGTTGCACTGCTCACGTGGCCAATCGCTAAGTCCGCATCGTCCAGCTAATGGTAAGTTGTCGCCTGAGGGGCAGCCCTAGGGTCTCTCAAGACATCTTCAGGCACCATACGATTCTGCCGGTACGATGCGTCTTCGTGGTGTTGGCCGGCGTGCCGTCGACGGTTGGCACCTTTGTCTAGGTAGAGGACCGTGAGGCCTCGGGTCCAGAAGTCATGTGCGCCGTCGCAAGAAGACAAGGCATCCTGGCAGGGCGAGCTCGGGGCAGCGTTAACCACGCCGCGAGTTGCTTCAGATAACGGCTGGCGGGAGATGGAGATGTCGTCTATCTTCCGTTGTGGTGTTACTTTAAAGAAGTATAAGGCAATTGGGGTATTTTACCAGTTGGAGTAGAATCATCGCTTCCTCCTCCAAGTTCGGATAGTAACCTTTTTATTTCGGACCCTGCTGGACTTTCTTCCCGGTGACATTGCCGAGAACAACCATCGAAGCCCTCTGCAATTGAACTGCGGTGCAACAGCTGTCCCCCTCGACTGGCAAGAGGGCATCGGCTAGCTGGGACGGAAGCATTCTGTGTCTTTGGACGTGAACGAGGCGATGAGCACGACTATGATTGCAAGCCCTACGACTCGCGTCAAATCCAATCGACCGAAAATAACAACCTTCTTGATTCAAGAGTTGGCGACTGTGAAGACTTGCTGAGGTCATAAAGCTGTGCATCAACAAGGGTACGGCTTTGAACGGATGGATCGTTGCCGGCAAATCCCAGCGATCGTGCCCAGTCGGATGGATCCCCTTTCATATTAATTACCTTATTCGGCCTGAAGCGGAGTGAAGTCGCCAAAAGTATGGCGAACCCCTGCAAGTAGGCCTCGCCTCCTATGCATAGCTAAACGTTCTACATGTACAGAGTCATGATGACATGTCCAAAAAAAGGTTGGAGTGGAATGCAAGCTCCGCACCGTTCCCCTCTTCTTACCTAGCGTATGGCCAATTGTTCTGGTTAAAACTTTGATGCGTTTCTACCAAACCTACTCGACCTCCATCACCTCACACCACGACTCAATTCATCAACTGCAATCACCCTAGACTCTAGAGTAGGTCGTACAACTGCGGACACGAGCAGTACGACACAGTGGGCACCCTCCTCGCAGTCTGACGGTTTGCCCGGTGTTCAGATGACCGACACGCTGTAAGCCCTCCATAATTACTAATGGTAGTATGATGGTGGCTCACCACTGGTCTCAGCCCGGGTCAGCTCCCATCGCCCATGCTGGCAATGGTTTGAGCCACTACAGATAGAAAACGATTGTTACATGTCGATTATCAAGATGTGTTAATAAATATCCCAAGAATGGAATTACACCGCAGACGGAGAAGCTAGGGCTGGTCTCTTCAAGCGTAGTCGCCATGTCCTTTACATAAATCCCGTGAGCCGAGCTGTTCCTGGCTAGTTTGCCCGGCTCTCTCCTTTTGAATAGGTTCCCGAGTTTCAACTTCTCCTCACATTGGCTTTCAGAATGAGATGGTACGTAATTCCGTACTATCACCGGTCAAGCTAAATTTTGAGGTTACCTATGGTGTCACTCCCCTTTTATTTTCTTCCAGCGTCCATCAAGATATATAACTTGTCTTTCCTCTGCCCTATGTTGCTCTTACTCAAGCAATTTCGGCTGAAGGAAGCGTCGGCCACTGCGAAGGAAATAAGCCATCGAAATCATTACAAGAAGGAGAGGCGCTTGCAGTATGGGAATTGTATGCCAGTAACGCTTTAAGTTGAAAGGGCCACCATGGGAGCACACTGGATGCAGGCGTGCTCGATGAGCTCCTGTTCAGTAGCCTCGGGAGGACGGATTTGTATTGTGTGCGAAATTCAACATTGTTCGATCTGCGTGTCAAATCCACTTGTTCTCGTCTGCATTTTGTCAAAGAGATTGGCCTTAAATATCTGATATCCTTGTCCGGACTCTTGACGGGCCGTCCGCCGTCCGGACATGTTCCCCTCGGCTCATTAGCTCGGGCCACTGACCCCGCACGCCCGGTGGTGCAGCCCGAGGCACGCTGGGGAAGCACCGTCAAATCCCCGGCCCCAAAAGCCCCAATCTCCCTCACGAACTCATCTCATCTGGTTTTCATCTCGTTCACACCATCTTCCAACATCTTGGTAAACGCGCTTTTTTTCATCCAAACCAAGGGCTTCAACCATGGACACCACGGAGATACCCCGCAAGCTCTGGGAGCATCCGGACCCCCGGAGCACGCAAATGTACCAATTCCTACAATCAGTGAACTCCGCCTTCAATCTCCAGCTCAAGGTCCGCCTCCCTACTGAGTTTTGGCGCTCCTCCACTTACACAAACGCAGACCTTTAATGACCTTCATGGTTGGGCCGTATCCAATCGCGCCAGCTTCTACGGCTACCTTTTCACCTACGCCAACTTTATACATGAGGGGCAGCCGTCATTGGTCGTGGACGAATCGCTCCCGATAGACGCCGTCCCCAAATGGTTCCCGGGTGTGCATCTCAATTGGGCCGAGAACCTCCTCTTTTCTCGAAATGCATCCGACCCCATCGGCTACCACGGCACCACAGGCAAGGAAGACGACAAGCTCGCAGTCACCGAGGTCCGGGAGGGCAACCGTGGCGATGTGCGAAATCTCACCTGGGGGCAGCTTCGCCGGGATGCGGGGAGTCTAGCGGCCGCCATGAAAGCGCGGGGCGTCACGGAGGGAGACCGCATTGTTCTTGTCGGTGCCAACTCCATTGAGACGCTCCTTGTCTTCACGGCAGCGACCTGGCTCGGCGCCATCTTCAGCAGCTCATCAACAGACATGGGTGTCAAGGGGATCTTGCAGAGAACTACCCAAGTGGACCCCAAGGTAAGCCACTTCCTTGGTCCAAAGACGCTGCTGACTAGCCAGTTCATCTTCTTCGACGACGCCACGGTGTACAACGGTAAGACGGTCGACCTGAGAGGCAAGATGGCCGAAGTCGTCTCCGGGATGGGCTCCTGTCCCTCATTCTCCGGCGTCATCTCTATCCCGCGTTTCTCCAAGCCGTACGACGTGACTTCGTCCAAGACTGAGACATGGTCCAGCTTCCTCGGCTCTCCGTCTGCACCGCCACCCTTCACCCGCATTCCGTTTCACGCGCCATTCCTCATCTATTACTCCTCCGGCACAACAGGTATCCCCAAAGCCATCGTCCATACCGTCGGCGGTGTTATGCTCAACTCCTTCAAAGAGGGGCGCCTGCACGAGGAGATGTCATCAGAGTCTGTGTGTCTGCAGTACACAACCACTGGCTGGATCATGTACCTCAGCAACGTGGCGGCGTTGCTGGCCGGAGCCCGCGTCGTCATGTACGACGGCTCACCCTTTGTTCCTGACTTGACATCTTTCATCCGGATCCTCGGGGAACAACGCGTGACGAAGCTGGGTATCAGCCCGAGGTGGATGTTTGAGGTGGCCAAAAACAACATCAGCCCGCGGCATGTGACTGACCTCAGCTCGCTGCGGGTCGTGACCAGCACGGGCATGGTTTTATCGAACCAGTTGTTTGAGTGGTTTTACGATGTTGGTTTCCCGAAGCACGTCCATCTGGCTAACTTGTCAGGCGGCACAGACATTGTAAGTTTTCTGTCGACGGCTTTTCCTCGCTAACATGACAGGCCGGCTGTTTTGGTATGGAGAACCCCCTCGACCCAGTTTATGTCGGCGGCACACAGGGTCCCTCCCTTGGCGTGCCCATTGCCATATACGATGCAGAGCTCCAGAACGGGAAAGGCAAGGCAGTGCCCCACGGAACACCCGGGGAGCTTGTTGCCACAGCCGCCTTTCCCAACATCCCGTGCTATCTCTGGGGTGATACCACTGCGATGTCGCCCTCTTCGACAAGCTTTGCCTCGGCGAAACCGGGTACAAAGTACCACTCGGCGTATTTCGCCCGCTTCGATCACGTCTGGGCTCATGGCGACTTCTGCTCCATACACCCAAAGACAGGCAACATCTCGTTCTTGGGACGCGCTGACGGCGTGCTGAACCCAAGCGGTATTCGATTCGGCAGCGCGGAGATCTACGCCGTCATTGAGCGGAACTTTTCCAGCAAGGTTGTTGATAGTCTGTGCGTCGGACAGCGAAGGCCCAGTGACGATGACGAGAGCGTCATGCTGTTCCTTATGATGCGAGAGGGCGAGACATTCGACCGAAAGCTGGTAGCCGAAGTCAAGGATGCCATCAAGAGGGAGCTGACAAAGAGACACGTGCCGAAATATGTTTTCCAGACTCCCGAGATACCAGTGAGTGACGCTTGTCGTGGGTATGATCAGCAACTGACGAAGCAGACAACCGTGAACCTGAAGAAGGTGGAGCTGCCGGTGAAGCAGATCGTATCAGGCCACACCATCAAGCCGAGCGGCACGCTGCTCAACCCACAGAGCCTGGACTTTTACTACCAGTTTGCCAAGATTGAGGAGCTTACACTCGGCAAGGAGAAACTATAAGGACATGTAGGTAGGTCAGGATTTGGACATTTACACTAGAGATACAAAACATGTAGGAAAAAGAAGATTTTTCAATCGTCCTGGTGCACATCACAGATTTGACAGCGCAGCTTTCTCAACAACAGCATATTCGGAATGCTTACCGTCATGAACGCCATACCTCCAAACAAGATACCCCACCGTACCTGCGACGCTTCCCAATCCCGCAGCTCCAGCAACAGCCCTCCACCCGCCAGCGGCCCTCATCTGTGGCGTCGCAGCGGCGGCGAAAAGTCCCGCAGCAGCACCACCGTACGTCCAGTCGTCCGTCTCTAGCTGCCCCTGGTTCTCCATCAGCCGCCACGCACGATCGCGCCACTCAATGTCGCTGCGCCCCCACACCCTCCCCAAGAGCGCGAAGCCCATGAGCCCCAAGCCAACGGCGCTGGCCGTACCCGTCGAGCGGAGAAAACGGGCAGATCGCAGGGCTGTGGTGACTGGGGCCGGAGCGGATGCCTTGGGGCCGAGGATTCGGGTGTAGAGCCCGCCGACTGCGGATACTCCGAGACCCACTACGGCACCGACGGTGTAGCCCCGGGCCAGCACGTGGACGGTCAGGATCGTGCGGGCGAGGGGCTGGTCCTCTGCATACGCCGCATGTGGGAAGTAGCGGGACATGGTGAGGTACGTTTGAGCGGGATTTCAGCGCTGTGAGGATTGACGAGCTTATGGCGATTAAGACGGTGCGCTTTAGACCTTTGGTGTTCAGTGATGGTAAGTATGATGGGGGATGCAATGTGTACAGGCAAGAGAGTCGACAGAGTGTGACCTTTTGCAGATTCACCTATACCCACAGCGAGTCTGATGGTGAGATGTACACCCTTTTATTGCCTGCCGTCAACCCGCAATCACAAATTTGCCAGTCGGCCTTCGAACCCACCAATTCTTCCGACTCCGTCAGCAACTAAGATCCACCAACGAGCCAAATGCGAACGCTGACCCAGCGAGTCGGCATTCTTCACTGCCTACCTAATGTAACCAGAACAGAACAGACTAACCCCAAGGGGCATAGAGTTGTTGTTATCACTCGCCCAAAGTCACACACCGAGATCATACTTTTGATTACTATCCATGTCAATAGTTTGAACCGATAGCTGGGATACCTCTCCCACCGTGACGCCGTGTCTAATGTTGTTTCCGCGGGCTAATCGTCGTCAGTCATCTCCATCATGCTCTCTCCCTTCTCGTCTTCATCCACGAGTATCCGCGGCCTGCTCACTTTGGCCTTGCCTTTGACGTCTCGCCGCAGCTTCGGCAGTTTGTTCGACAATTGCTCTCTAGCGGCGGCCTTGCCCAACTCAAGCTCCTGCTCAAAGGCCTCCAGCTCGTCGCCATCTGCGAAGTCAATCGTCGATGTCTCCTCGAGTGCCTTGTTTAATAACTCTGTGGCAGTGCCGTCCTGAGGATTGATGGCGAGCGCCTCATGTAGCGGTACAATCGCCTTCTCAGGACGACCCTCTTCCAGATAGATGAGCGCCTTGGCGCAAAAAATAGCAGCGTCCTTGCCGCCCTGGCGCAGGACCTCGTCAAACTCTACATGTGCATCCTTCCAGAGACGAAGGCGACGATACGCGTGCGCGAGATTCGTCCTCGGGGACAGCCAAGCCTGAGGGTCTGAGTCGATCTCGGCGGCGATTTTCAATGCCGCCCGAAAGAATTGAACAGCCTCCTGCGGCTTATCCTGGTGGTATTTGACAACGCCCATTTCGTTCAATAGCAGTGGATCCGTCTTGCATAGACCGTATGCCGTCTTGAGAAACTCTTCGGCCAGCGTCATGTTGTTAAGTGCGTGGTTCTGCATGCCCAAAAACACTTGTGGCAAATGTGTCCCCATAAACAGCCTCGCCGCTGTTGAGTACGCCGATATAGCCTGGTCATGCTCGCCCTCCGCAGCGAAGGTATGCGCGAAGCCAATCCACGCGGGGCCAAAGTGTGCATCCATCATACTGGCCTTGCTGAAATATCGTCGCGCCTCTGCAATTTTGTCAATCGCAAAGTAGTAAATGCCGACAGCCAACCATGAGCACGGCTCCTCCGGGTGATTGTCCGCCAAGTCGTGGGACACCAGAAACAGTGCGTTCTTCATCTTTAATTGATACAGACAGGCTAGATGCAGCGGGTGCACACTAAAGTTGTACTTGTCGTCCTCAAGTATTGACTCCGTAATGGCCAAGGCGTCCCGATAACGACACTGCGTGTACAACAGATCGGCTTTGGCGAGCAGCAGATCGGGGTTATCTGCCAGACGATAGTGCGTCGACAACGTGTCGCACGCTGCGGTGAAGGCCGAAGGCTCCCTATACTTGGACAACCGTGTCGTATACAGCATTTTGGTGAACTCCGCTGCCTCCTGCGACGACGAAACGTCCCCCGATACCGTGATTGAATCAAAGTCGAGAGACTCAAGAAACGCCCACTCCTCGTCAGGCGACAGCAGGGCGTTCGTCATGAGCTGCTGGAACGCCTCGAAACACTGAACGTCGATCCGGACAGCGTCCTTGTAACACTCCTTGGCTCGGTCGAAGGCGTTCTGCTTGGCGTAGCATATACCCCGCAGGTAGCACATGGCGGCTTCGTATTTTCTGTTTGTAGCCTCCTCCTCGGCGGCATCGTCGCGAGCCATCCTCCCCCTGTGGCCCACCGCTCGTCCCAGAGGTGCCGTGTTCGCTTTCCGCTTGTTGCTCGCGTTGTTGATAAGGTGGGTCGGGTTTCGCTCGCCGAGGACGGCCACTGCTTCATCGAATCTCGATTGCTTAACGAGGCAGTGCGCAGCAAGGTATCGGCAGGAGACATTACGGGCGACTAGGTTCTGTTTGGCGAGAAACGTCTGGGCGCGGGTGTAGTTTCCGGTGGCAAAGTGTACTTGGGCCAGCCAGAAGGCGTCCTTATCGTCGTCTGCGGAGCACGTTAGAAACGTCCAATGTCTTCCGATTGCCGTCGAGTCTCACTCGTTAGGGCCAGCAGCTTGTCGCCGATAAAGATGGCGGAATCGTACTGGGCCTTGTTCAGGGCATCCTGCCTCCATTCCCGTAGGAATTTTTCCATGGCGAGGCAACGAACTAGTTTGGGGGCATGCCGAGGACGAAATTGGCGAGTTCGCAGTCGACGTTGGTGGGTTCTCGAGTTGACGTTGAGCAGATCTTGGGGTGAGAGGGAGGTAAGCGCGTCGCGTCGTGAATGGACTTTCTTTTCTTTGGATGACGGGCAGGAATTGGAGGGGACGTGGATGCACTGTGCTCCGGCGCTGTCAGGGGTGTGGGCCGAGTAAATGGCGGGGTAGGCCAACCAGACGACGTATCTCGGGCACGCCACGTGGTTTCTTCTCTACACCGGTGGTACGCGCAAAGATGATGATATTAGGTCCAAGGAGGTGCTGCTGAACACTAAGGTACCACCAGTAAGTAGGTGGCGTATTCGTTGTGGTGCGGCTTTGACGGACAGCATGTTTCGACAGCTTCATTCAGCTCCATTGCTTCCAATACAAGGCAGTCGGCAATGGTTTCAGGCCATGCGCGTCCCGGACTTTCCCATCCAACGGCCAAGGTGTTTTTCGACAGCAAGACATCGTCTCAAGTGCTGGTGGACAGATTGACGAAGGCCACTGTTGGTTCTGGTGTATCTTATGCATCTACGCACCCACCAATCCCCAGGGGAAAAAATGCAAGAGGTGAAGGCGTCGGGCTGTCCCCCTCACGCCCAATGCTGTGGACGACGGGCCCCAGCCCCTACTGAGTAGGCGCTATTCGCTGTGACCTCACTGTGGTGCACCGTTCCAGCGTGCCTGCCTCCTCACCACTGGATTTTATTGGCCAGCGGCTCTTGGGTGGATCCATCAGGGGTAAGGCTAACCCAGGCTAAGCGAGGCGCTATCGTTGTATCCGCCATCGATAACAAGGTGACGACTAAGGTCAAGAAGGATGGGGCATCAACGGTATCCGTATTATTTTTTTTCTCTTCAAGCTGTTCATTGTTCTCCATCAGTCGATAATTCGCCTTTCGTCCCCCACCTCACCACAACGCTCCCAACACCAACATCTGTAATACCCGTAACACCGCATTGCTCGAGATACCACCGACGCATCCCCCACGACGAACCCCAATCTCCTCGCACCGAAGCTCGCTCGCCCCGTCTTCTCCAACCGCCCTATCACGAAGCCCCTGCAGCAGGCCCTCATCGACTGCCCGCCCGCCCGCCCGCCCGCCTGCCCGCCGCCGCCGCCATCCCGACTTCATCGCGTACCACTCACTCACCTGTCCCAGCCGCCACAACTGCGACCAGAACCTCAAATCAAGGTGCCGCCGCCCTTGCAGAATCGGGGGATTGAAGGAAAACACATTTTTCAGCCCGGAAGCCGTCGAAAGCAGTCCCCATGGATAACAACCTGTGGACCCGCCGCACAAAGTGAGTCTCCTGCGTCTCCCCCACACCCTCACCGCTGACCTTTCAGCTCTGGCAAGCTTTCACTCTCGACGAATGGCAGTCCCGCGCCGGGCGGTGACACTAGCCGTAACGGCTCCTTCGCCAAACGATTCGGCGGCGATACGTCCTCACACGGCGGCAAGTCAAATCCCTTCAACAACGTAACGGCTCCCAGTGCCGGCGGCATGGCGTCGCCTACGGCGGGTGCGGCCAACGCCTTTGGTCTTGGCTCCGGCGCCTTCGCTTCCTTCGGCTCCGCCAAGACGCCCAAGTCTCCAGGTAATCCGTTCGACCTCGCCATGAGCAAGATCGGCGCGAAGCCCGGTGGTACGTCGTTGCACGACTCGGCCGCCAAAGCCCCGTCCGTTGCCTCCATCCCCGAGAAAAAGGCCCTGGGCTCCCAGCCCGTATCGGCCCGGACATCCTCCGAGACGCTGCGCGTTCACCCCCTCAAGTACGAGTGGGTGACGTGGTGTCGGCCGCCTCAACCCAAAGGCCAGCCGTACCAGGAGTACGCCAAGTCGCTGACGCCCATGATCCACTGCAACACCGTCGAGGAGTTCTGGGTCGGCTACCCCCATCTCAAGCGCCCGTCCGAGCTGTCGGTCGGCTGGGAATACCATTTCTTTAAACGGGGCATCCGCCCCATCTGGGAGGACGAGGAGAACAGGAGCGGCGGCAAGTGGGTGCTGCGGCTCAAGAAGGGCATCGTTGACCGCTACTGGGAAGATACCGTGTTTGCGCTTCTCGGCGAGGCCTTCATCGACGCTAGCGAGGAGGTGTGCGGTGGTGTAGTGAGCGTCCGAAACGGTGAGGATATCATTAGCATCTGGACGCGCTCGACCGGCGGCCGCGTGTTGAGGATTCGGTAGGTCGTCCCAATCTCTGCACAGAACGTAACTAACCGCCACAGTGAAACGTGGAAGTCGTACCTCAAGTGCCCCCCCAACACGCAGTTTGAGTTCAAGTCGCATGATGAGAGCATCCAGCACCGCGCCGCCATCGAGGAGTCCCGCCGCGAGAAGCAGCAGGACAAGCGCGGCAAGCAGGCCACGGACGAGCAGAAGCCCGCCGCGTCCTGAGCACCATCTTCCACGGAACGCCACCCTCTTGCATTTTTTCCAAGCCATCTTTGATGTTTATTTTGTACACTATCAGGTCCCCTTCAGCGGACCTTCATAGCATTCGGGTTGAAACTCTGACAAAAATACACCTTGTTGGGTTGAGGAATATCGGGTTTGGGCATATGGAGTGCCGAAAGGCTCTCTTTTCTGGATTGTCGGTCTCGTAGACGGGATCGAAAGTGACGGGGGGGCGGGATGGGCAGCGGTCAACGTTTAGCGGTCACGTTATTTTATGGATTGCGACAGGCGGTACTGGATTGGATTAACCCTCGAGGTGTACACTACTGCGATCTGGGCGCACTGCATATGTCAGCTGCGCGATCTGACCGTATGATAGTCACAATGACTATGAATGAGCCAGTGATGTCTGTCTCGCTATCATGGTGATGCCGTTCACTGCTCTATTCCTAAATCATATCACGCCTTCGGCGTCCTCCGCCTCTCCCAAACCTGTAGATATGTTTCGCCAAGGTAGAGCAGCTCGCTCTGCACCTTCTCCACGAACAAATCTTGACACGACACCCATTCGTCACGTCCCTTATCTTTAAGTTGCACTTTCCATGTTTTGCGCTCCTCTCCGCTATCCGCGACATCCTCCTTGGCCCGGACTGCCTCATGCACGACGTTGGCGACTAAGTCGTACCAGATAGGCTCACCCGGCGGCCATTCGCCTGGGTTCGGTTCTACATACGGGCTTACATCAAGTCCGCGCGGATCGAATGTAACGATCGTCGGGTTGCGCTCCGAGACGAATTTGTTCTGGCTGAAGCGCTTGACATGGAGGACGAGGTATGGAGGCAAAGGGTGGAGCAGGCGATAACGCTTGCGTTGCGCGAGGTGTTCCTGGGCGTGGATGCCGTCGTATTTTGCCAAGATTGTCGTCAGGGGCACCTGTGGGATAATGTTTTTCTCGAGTTCGTCTTGAAAGAGGGGTGCTGCAGGGAGGTCGAGGGTCAGAAACATGAACCGCGACGTCGTCATTGAGACGGCGGCATCTTCAAACCGCAGACGATCGCCCGCATCGGCACGCGCTGTGATTGCTTGTGATTCGACCTTGAGCTTGCCTTGGAAGATGCGCTGAACAACAGAGCTCCCAGGCTTCGTCTTTGACCCACCCAGCCCCAAATGCAGGTTGTTGAGGAACCATGATAAGAACTCGACCGGATCGGACTGTGCCGTCAGAGTGTACCGCTTATTCGACAGCAGCGAGATCTCCTGGAGCAGTTCGTGCGGGGACACATGCGCCTTGAAGGCGCGTGGATTCCAGATTTTGCGCACCAGGATGCCAAAACGCTTCGCCAATTCCGATCGCGATGACAGATCCTCAAGGAGGCAAAAGTTTCTCAGCGGCGCGACGTGCGCAAGAGCTTGTACTACAACATTCAGGTAGTCGTTTTCCTTGAGGTTGTTCATGCCCACAAACCCCGGCGCGTACTCCTTGCCGGCTAACGTGAACGAGGCACGCAGTGGTGGTTTGTCAAGCACGGCAACCTCCTGTTTCGTGTACCGCGGATCCGACACAAACTTGATGTCGTCGAGCGACTTGGACTTGACCTCGTAGCCCTCGGGGAGCACATACACTTTCTGCGTCTGCATGTTGATGAACACGTGATGGTTCTCGTCGAGCGCGTGAAAGTAGGCGTGCGATTTCGGGCCACGGCCCTGATAGTAGCGCCCACATACCAGACACGCGTAAACGTTGATGTTGGACAGGCTGACGGAGCATAGTTTCTCGAAGTCGAAATCAAGTACGTTGCGGTCTATCGTGTCGAGGTAAAGGTCATCATAGCCATCTGTCGGCGCCGATTGACGGGTAGGCACTTGCATGTGTGTCTCGTCGTCGACGTCGCTTTCTTCGCCAAGTTGTAGCTCGTTTGTGGGCGTTGCATCACCATCGTGACCATTTTCAAGGGATCCATTCGAGATGAGGGAGTCGACAGTTCTGGAGCGCTTCGAGGCGGGAGAGTCTACACCGGCAATCTCATCGAGCGTCTCTTCTGCGTGGCGTTTTCTGTACGCCATTGTGCGTGTAGGGCGCAAGAGGATATCGGCTGTCGATAACTGTCTTCGCAGGCTGAAGGCTGAGGTTGAAAGCGTAGATGGATCAGTGTCTCCTGGCCGCTGGTTCGTTGTAAGGTTGGAAAAAGTCGCCAATCCGGGGTGATAGATACACCCCCACTCTCACACCCCAGCACTTTGTGCTGCCACGCCCATAGCTTGTTTACGGCAACTTCCTTCTGCTTCCGTTAAGTACCTTCTTGCATACCTATATGTACAACTGCCTACCTACGGTCACCTCCTACAAGATCCCGCCAGGAAAACAACATCGGTACAGAGACGGCTCATACATCATGGGAGATCTCATGCTGTGACCGGACATGCGCCGAGAAGCAGCGACCAACTTCATCCCAGAGCGAACATAATATGGCGTGTAGGCGGCACAGTACCGTCGTCCAATAGTCTTTGACTCAAGGCGACGTCTGACCCGCGATGGCGACCTATTGTCCAAGTCGCCGTGATGATTTCCACGTAGCAATGATCTGCGCTCTGCCCCTCGAATACGACGCTTCTGTGTTGGCCTTCGATGAGATTTGGGCTGGCCTTGAGAAAGATCTCGGAAAGGCTACTCAGGATCCAAATATCTACACACTGGGCCGCATCGGCAAATGCAACCGCATTCTGGTCCTATCAGGTAGGGAAAGGTCAACGCGGTGAGCGACAGCCAGTCTTCACTCCAGTTCCCGCAAGCTCAGGCTGGTCCTGCTTTGTGGCGTATGTGGCAGCGTCCCCAACATTGATGGCACCAACGAGGTCCTTCTTGGGGATATTATCGTCAGCAACAGTGTTGTCAAATATGATTTCGGACGGCAGTATCCCGGCCAGTTCACACCGAAAGACACCATCGACGACAGCCTTGGAAGACCTACAAAGGAGATCAGACCACCCCTTATGAGGTTTGAAGCACAGAGGAAACGACACGGATTGCAGCGGAATATTTCACAGAATTTGACGAAAGTCCAACGCAAGGCTATCAAAGATGGCTGTAATGTTGATGTAGTCGACCCAGAGCTGAGGATGTACTATTTCAGCCGGACTATCTCCATAGACACCGAGGGCAGAAACAGTGCGGCTGTAGTGAGTCCTACATATGTAACAAAGAAGAAAAAGCACTGTCTAAGGAACCCAAGTGCGACTCCAGTCACCAGGTGCATAGAAAGCGTCTGCAAAGCCTGGGAGAACAGCAGCCTCCTTCTGAATCGCAGCAGCCTTAGGTATTTATCGGCCAGATCGGATCGGGAGACACAGTCATGAAGTCAGGGAAGCATCGCGACAGCATTGCAAGGGAGCAGTTCCCTCAACAAACCCAAGGAGTGCAACCGTATAATATCGATTTGACATTTTCAATTATCTACCGCATCACGCCATGATGACATCCTCCTCGGCCCCGAGATTATTCTCCATCGCCACATCCTCTATTGCCGGCGCGAGACTGTCCATTTCCCGCAGGGTATATTCCACCAAGTAACTCTCGTCAACGAGTTCATCCGTCCGCCGGTAGTGCCTCTCTGTGTACACCTTGAGCGCGTTGAGAACCTCTTTGAGGCTCCTCTGCCCACGCGCGCCCTTGACCGATAGGTTGGAGAACTTAGACGCAGGATAGCTGCGTACGAGGGTCCAGAGGATGCGTTGGGCCACCGCAGCCGTCCGCGCATTGGTGTTCCAGTCGCGCAAGCGCAGGAGGAGCGTGAAGATTTGCTCGTCAGAAAGCGTCGCCAAGACCTGGTCGACCGCCTTCAGACCGCATAGGCTGCCAGGTTCGGGAGCGGAAGTCACGACGGATGTGAATAGGCTCAGTAGACGCCCGGGGTGGTTGAGCTGGAGAGCAAGCACGATGGCGTCGCGGTAGGATCCGTGGTGGATGTGGTTCTCGAGCTCTTGCTCCTGCTCGATCAGCTTCTGCGCCGCCTGTGTGGCCGCAGCCTGCGACTCGGACGTGGTGTCCTTCCAGAAGGTGACGATAGAGTCACCGTCACCCGATACAATGGTGTTGTCTGACGAGTTGACGGCAAGGGCCCAAATGCGGTCCTCGTGGTTGTCGAGCGTCGTTTCCGTCTCGCCCGAGTTGGCGTCCCAGACCTTGACGAGGCCATCGCTACCCGCGCTGGCGAACTGCACCTGCTTCTTTCCCTTGCCCTCGGGCTTAGGCATGTTGAGCCAGACGACTTTGAGGACGCTGTTGGAGTGGCCCTCGAATGTGCGAATGCATGTGTAGTCGTTTAGGCTCCAGATTTTAACAGTCTTGTCGGCACTGCCAGTGAGGACAACGCCCTTGCCAGCGACCTGGCCTTCATCACCTTGGATTGCGGGGCAGCCGGAGGGGGCGAACTTAACCGACCACACACCTCTGCGGTGGCCGCGCAGAATACCCTGGACTTCACCCTCCGCCACCGACCAAATCTTGACCATCTTGTCTTGCGACGAGGACGCAAAGAGATGGCTAGTAGGGTGAACGTCCATTGCATTGATGTCCTTGTCGTGCGCTTTTCTGGTAAAGACGGCACGAGATCCTCCCTTGCGGCTCTGCGCCTCTCTGGGGATCTCCCATTTCTTGACCGTCTGATCCTGGGAGCCAGTCAAGAGAAACGGCGGGGGGTGGTTCAGGGGGTCCTTGAACTGTGCTGATGATTCTTGCGGGATTTGCTTCGGAAGTGTCACGGCACCAATCGACTCCGTGTGGCCGGTGAACGTGGCATAGCATGTGAAGAAATTGTTCGCGGGGTCGACACGCCACAGGCGGGCATTGTTGTCCTTTGCGCCGGTGGCAATCCAGTAGCCGGACCAGTCGACGTCCAAGGAGACGATAATATCATCGTGGCCCTTGAGCAGAGCCAAGTCCTGGCCGAAGTACGTAGACTCGGAATCCTTGACAGACACAATGCGGATATCCTCGGCGTTGGTTGCCAGGGCAAGAAGCGAGCGATCAGGCAGGAGGTAGTTGAGGTCAATGATCGAGTCGTGGGTTCCAGATATCCGCCTAAAAGGCTCTGGCATACACCCCTCGACGGACTCCTTCTGCGGCACGTTGTACAACGCCAAGGTGTGATCGACCTGCACGCACAGGATGAAAGGGAGCCCGGGGTGGGACACAGCACTGACAATGCTCTCAGCTTCCGCCTTTGCAGGCTGATCCTTCGTCAGCTCGCGGCCGGTATCGGTGTCCCAAATACGAAGGCAGCCCTTGGCACCAGCCGAGTAGGTCAACCGGCCATCGTCAGTGAACCCAACAGCTTCGACAAGCTCCAGACAGGGCACGACCTTGCGAATCTTCCACGATTTTGCATCCCACCAAATAATCGTTTTGTCTCTGCTTGCCGACACGATTGCGTGCTGTTCGGGGGAGTAGTCCAGACCTTGGACGTTCGAAACGTGCGAGTCGAGATTCGCAATGACCGCGCGCTTGTGAAGATCCCACACCCGTACTTTGCCGTCCTGGCTACCAGATACGAGCCGCCAGTTGGTCGTCGCGGTGACCTCCTCCTCCGCCTCCTTCGACTTCTTGCCCTTCTTGCCTGCCTTTTCAACCTCGCCCTCGCTCGATCTCGCCGCAACTTCGAAGAAGTGCAGCGCTGATACCAAGACACTAGGTCCGCGGAAGGTATGTGTAACGTAACCACCAGCAATGTCCCAGACCTTGATTGCCCCGTCAGTTCCACCAGTCGCGAGGAGAGTGCTTGTTCGGTCGACGGCTAGAACGACCACAGGAGTGCCGTGGGGCTTCAGGGAGCGGGTCAGCTTGGCCTCTACCGTTCCGTCTTCGGTTATCTTGAGGGCGTAGATCTTCATCGAGAGGGATCGCGAGCAGATGATGAGGTGGGAGCCGGAAGGTGTCACTGTAGTTGTTAGAGCAAGTCTCAATCATACAGAGATTAGACATACGACTCAGAGTCGAAATTTGTTCGCCATCCTGCGATTGTCAGCATACGTCAATGGCGAGATCTCGGGGCGCATACTCCTTCAATCTTTGCCAGGTGCTTCCCGTTGGAGGGGTTCGTCAGGATAGCATCCTCGCCGAGCGGCGTGGCCAGAATTTTAGCACCATTGTCCAAGGCAACAGAGCCTCCTGTAAATATCGGTCGAATGACCCGTTCCGGCTCAAAAGTTGTCTTAAAAGGTTGCTTGCTTGCCATTTTGCGGTTGTAGAAGCAATGCGCACGATCAAATCACAATGAGCGGCAAGCCGCCGGTTTCCATCCCGCCAAAGAAAATTTCTGGACATCTTTATCGATAGCGCCTTATCTAATCAGTCCCACTTGCATGCCCGACCTCGAACTCCACCTTAGCTTAAAGATCATCGCATTTGATTGCTGTTAATCAGTGGCATCTTTGACATTGGACCTTTTGGGCTTGGTCTAGAGTCGACTTGCTTCTATGCTCTCGATTCCCCCCTTCAGCGCACCGCTAAAATAATGAGAGGAGGCTCACGCGTTGCCTATATGCCGTCGACTCGCACCAGCTCAAGATGACGAGACTCGGTCCTTTGACTGCGCAGGCACTGGTATGCAGGCATCTTGTGCATGCGTATCGAACTCTGCTGACTGACTACAGGGCCGCTCACCATTCGACGATGTGGTGGACGGCGAAGGCGAGATCGATCCCCGCGCGCCCACACAGCAATACGACAACCGCGGACGCCCCATCAACCCCGAAACGAAACGAATGAATCGCGACATGGTGCGCTCCCACAATGAGGTGATGCAGGTCATTGGCGTCGCCGAGCCAGACAATGCGCCGCCCTCTGCGGAGGTCGACTCCATGCGGCGGTACTCTAATTATGAGGATGCTGTCGGCACGCGACTATTACGGTTTGGACGAGCTCTGGAGATCGCCGGCGTCTGGGGCATCAACGGCATGCGACTGCGTATCCTCCTTTACAAGCGCTACGCAGACATCTCTTTCTTTGAGCTTCTCCAACATGAGAGGAAACAGCGTCCATTATCAAGCGTCCTTCTGACCGGTTTGCCCACATTCCTCGGCGGCCATGTCTTCAAGATGGCCACATACTGGGTTTACCCCTTCCCGCGGAAGAACCATTACATCAACACCGCCCTGTCATACATCCGCGTGCATCTGCAACTCTACGTCTTTCTCCAAAGGCTAGATATCATCCCCTCCAGTAAAATGTTTCCCTCGTTAAGCTTCTTCATTCCCGGCTCGCCCTCGTCTCCCATCGCAGCCCCGGCACCGCCCAAGGACTTCAGCGCATCGTCGCTGGCACAGTACGCAGGTGCATGGTGCGTCAATGCCATTCCGTTCGTTTCGTATGTCATCTGGGGCCAGATCTGGACTGAGGTCACTGGCCATCTGTGGCAAGAGTTTTATGGACGACTGCCGAATACGGTGCACCACCGCAAGCCCCCGCCCCTGCTACCCCCGCCGTCAGCACCGATCCTGGAGACTCCAGAGCCGGTGCTTGATGTAGATCGATCGCATCCCGAGCCCCTTTCTGAGATTGGATACGCAGAACCCACTGAAGACATCCCTCCTGAAGTGGACTCACCCAATGAACCCCCAATCCAGGCGGTCCGCCGGCCCAGTGCGTTTTCCGCTCGCGGAGACGACTACGGCAGTGATGAGGAAGAGGACGGAGGCGTTAGTGCCACTTTAATCAGCTTCGACGTTGAGGCCACAGACTCGACCGATGCTCCTCCGGGACTGTGGTCCGCTGAGCTGCGCCCAAGCACAGGTCCCGAAGGATCCGGCCACGGTGCCTCGGTGCAGTACATGGACACTATGCTGACAAGGCTCCCAGCGTGTCTGGCTTCCGACATCTTTACTGTCATTTCGGGGTATGTCTTGGTCTCGCCCTACGAGGCTGTCGCGCTGCGGCTGGTCGCCAGGTCCTACCGTGAGCGGATGGGCCTCCCTACCTTTGATATCCATGACACCAACATCTTCAGTGGCATGACGTTGAGGGGTGTCACAAACTTCCTTGGGTTGGAATTTGTGCATTTGGTGATTGCTGGCGAGCTATGGGCGCTTATTACAGGGCTCGCTCAGTGGTTCCATCTGACGGAGGAGGAATGGAAGTTTTTTAATGAGATTGAGGAGGCTGAGGTGGAAGAGGAACGAAGACAACAGTAATAAGTCTGAAATTGTATGGGTAGGAGGCGTTGAGGCTCACAGATCATCATGAAGGGTTATGATGAGGTCGGCGTTAGGAGTTCACTATCCTGAGATACCTCAAAAGACAGCCACATTGGTTGGTCGCGAAACAGATCCTCCTCTGGCACTTGACTTACAATTAATCGGCTTAATAACTCTAGGGTATCAATAGTCTTATACATTACCGTCCCCTATTTCGAGCAGATGTCACCTTTTTTCCTTGCTCTTTCCCTTCTTCGGCTTATCTGCCTTCTTCCGATCGATGAAATCGCGAACAATGTCCAGCAAATCAGGGTTCTTCCGCGCCAGGAGGACTACATCGTCCGTGGTCACCGTGGATCTCCGTGCATGCCGGCTAAAGCTCTCCAGATCGCCAGCAACAGATTCTGGGGCTCGTTAGCGTCTGAACTCATCGATGAGCAAGTAAAGCCATCTCACCAATCTGGGCCCACACCATCTCGGTGAGCGCGCCGATGAATTGCGGCGTAGCGTTACAGCCTTGTTTGATGGACTCCTCGTCGACGATCTTGCCGACCGCGAACCAGAGAGCAGCCTTGAGACGCTGTGCATTATGTTAGGGAGACTCAGCAGTGTACATTTGGGTGATCTACCTCGCGCTCATCTTCATTGACTATGTCTGCCATGATGTACGGGGTTGAGACCGAAGGCGCTGGGGTTGTTGTGCGATTTCCACTTTACGCGACGAACGCGTCGTGGGGAGTTTTGCTGATGTTGAGTTGGATTGGAAGCGTCGCCACGCTGCAGAGGAACTTATCTCCTCTGCAGTCTTATCATCGAATGCAGATGTATCGCGATTGAACAGGCAAATCAGCTCTATATTCGGGATCACAAAGCACCATCTATTACTTTCGAGAATCTTCATAAGTCATTAATGACTAGGTATCACATGATGTCGCGACAATTTCGTGGAATAGGTGACTAAGCATTGTTTGTAGTGATCGCATCCTCGACGCAGCCTCGCTTTTGAGCATTCAATATTACGGTCAAAGTTACCAGATCTTGTACACAACTCCCTTTGGATCGATCACTTACATGTCGGATGGCCTGTGGTCCATTTCCCATGCGTATTCCGTGGCAATTCAAGAGTTGCACTTCCTAGGGCGCCTGCACGCCAACAGCAGCACGTTGTGACATCACTGACCATACCCCTGGAAGACCCTTGAGCGACGCCGAACATCCAGCGTCCCTCCAATGCTGTGCCGCTAATTGGCCAAAGCTACTTAGCGGCTCCCCACGTGGGGCTTCTGAGCGCAATTTTGACGCTGTGCGGCCCGACCGACCTGCAACTTCGCGACATTTTCTTCGGCCGCGGCTTGCCATCCTGCACCTCCGTTTTTCTTTTGTCACCCCCCTGAACAGCCACATCTAAGGCGAATATCTCCTCCTGTTTACGGGCGCCTCGCAATTATATTTCTATAGCCAGCCGTACGCAAATCTACATCACCACCAACCACCACAACCATCCCTATAGTAAAAATGGCCGCAGTCTTGGACCTTCTCAACATTGCGTGGACGCGCTTCACCACAAACCTGCGCGGCACGCTCGATGGCATGAGCTATGAGAAGTGGATTCGCCTCGTTATCATTGTCGGCGCCTACTGCCTCCTCCGCCCATACCTGATGAAGCTGGCCGGCAATTCACAAATGAAGCAGCACGAGACTAGGCCCGAGGATGAGTGGCTTGGCCCTAAACCGAAGGTCCAGCCCAACACCCTGCGTGGGCAGGTCGAGATTCCCGAGGATAGCGACGACGAGGGCGTCGAGGCCGCCGGCTCGACAACGGCTACTGAGTGGGGCAAGAAGGCGCGCAAGAGGCAGCGCGATGTGCTCAAGAAGTTGATTGACGTCGAGGAGAAGCGCTTGGCGGAGCTGCAGGAGGATGACGAGGACAAGGATATTGAGGAGTTCTTGATCAAGGAGTAAGGGGAATAGGTTGGAGCGATGATTGCTGGCGTTTGGGCTCCAACGATCATTTAGCATCACTAATATCAATACGATGCTCTTCGATGGCTATATTATATGACTGAGCAGAAAAGTTGCGATGGTGATGGGAAGAGGTTATTGGGTTCTGAGAGATGGCCACATCGTGCGGGGACAATCAGGCAGCACATACCGTCTAGCGCCAGAAAGACAACTGCTTTCGGTGGCCGTATATTGGTTAGATTTGGTTTTTCACCCTCTGGAGTGTCTCAAAGAGGACCGGCATATGGGTTACGGAAATCTTTTTGTGTGTGGCCCCTTGGGTTATCCAAAGTTTCGCTGCAGGTTCCATTGAAGCCCCCTCTACGAAATCGATCAAGGTCGATCCGACTCGCTTCAATGGATCCCAGTAGGATGAGTTACACTCGGTTCGAAATACAAACTCAGAAAGATCTCAGGTCGTTTGCTTCGGCTCGCCAATCTTGCTCGGTGCCCAAGGTCTCTGACTGAGTATGGTTCGGACACCAGCTCACAGCTGATATTTCCTTGGGTAGAAGAAAGCGCTTGTATCACTGACACAAAAGAGCAGTATGATCAAAACCAAAATTCAGTCCTAGTGTATACCTATGTTCATTTCATCTATCTCTCAATTCCAAGCGCCTGCCTTCCTGACGACTTTGTTTGGGTTACAAACCTGAGTACGGATAGGTGGATGTGGTTTGTGACACCTCAAATGCCCATGGCAAATCGACGCTAAGACCACCAGCTGCTCAGGGATAGAATATCCGCTAAACTTTCTACCCCCTGCCGACTCCACTAAAGTGTGCCTGCCTTCGTAACGCGTCTCCCAAAGTACTGGAATCTTTCCATCCAGGTGCATCCATCTTACCAACGCCCACAGGCTCGACTTTGAACAACTCATGGTCACCGCGCCCACAGTCGTTTGTGCCTGATTGCTGCCGCTCACCGCGCCGGCTCATCCGCAAACGCATGCGGCGACTATTGTGTCAGCAAGACCCCGTCGATTGAAGCCACCAAAGGATGGCGACTTCCACGCTTCCAGCCGCGATGGCGAGTGCCTCGTCCACCGACCCTGCGATGGCATCTACTGAATCGCCTCCTGCACCTAAAAAGTACAAAGCCTCCGACCTCCCTCTTCCATCCGCGACCCGAGCAGCAATCGAGTCGCTGGCACATAGCTTTAAGAAGAAGGGAGGCTACGATGCCATCCGCAAGGAAGTTTGGGACAGATTTGCAGCAAGCGTAGGTTAACGGATCTGCCCGAATCTCCGAAGCTAACAAATCTAGGACTATGAGGCTCAAGTCACAAAAGCAATCCTCGAGGTCGCCGAGCAAGAAGTTGAACGCAACCCGGCGCAGCTTCTGACGCTTGAGCGAGGCAAAGCAGCCGCTCTTATCGATGGCGCGCTCGAGCGATCCGGCGTGTATCAAAAGGCGGAACAGGTTATTACACAACTCATCGATAGGACCGCGATTGAAGAGCGCATGCGCCAGCTGCGGCGCAATGACATCGGCGAGGAGGAGGCGCTCGCCGAGCAACAACGAGGAGCCAAGACGGACGAGGACTATCACGCAGAAACAATGGCCAAGCGAGCTGAACGTGAGAGGGTCCGCGAGGAACTGCGACAGAAGGAGCTTGCTATTGAGGAGGAGAAACGCAAAATTGCAAGGGAAGAGCGCAAGAAGATTGAAAAGGAGCGTGAGAAGGCCGAGACCCAACGTAAAGCAGAACGGGATGCTAGAAGAGCCGCTAGGGAGAAGCTTCAGGCTGAACGGGAAGCTGAGCGGGAAGAGCGCCGTCGGCAGAGAGACAAGGAGCGGAGCCGAGACAGAGATCGCGACAGGAGCAGGAGCCGCAGTCGCCGTAGAGACAGAGATCGGGATCGCGACCGCGAACGTGACCGTGACGAGCGGGATCGGGAGCGCCGTGAAGAACGCGATCGAAAGCGCAAGCAGCGGCATGAAGAGTCGGAAGAGGCCCAGCAGAAGCTTTCGAAAGAGCAGCTTGAAAGACTCGAACAAGAAGCTCTCGCAGACCTCCTCCGCGAGAGCAAACGTGTCACGGCGAAGCAGCCCGAGCTGGAGGTTGATGAGGCGCTGGCGCCGCCGCCTAGAAAGCTGGCTCCCGCTTCTGCCATCACGCCCTTCAAGAAGGTTTCCTCGCGTGACTCGCCAAAAGTCCCGGAGTTAAAGAAAGCCGAGGCCAAGACGGAGGCACGGGGCGCTACCGTCGCCACGACACCCAAGGCCGATGCGCCGGCGGAGAAGGCTAGAAGTCGCAGCCGATCGCGTGCCACCGGCAAAGCAGAACGAGAAAAAGACGGCGATGAAGACAGACGTCGCAGGGACGATGACGAGCGCCGCAGACGTGATCGTCGGTCAAGGTCAGCCCGTCCGCGTGATGGATCCCGCGAACGGCGTGACAGGTCGCGTTCAAGAAGACGCGAGCGTAGTCGATCCCGGACTCGACCTGAGCGACGAGAGAGAACTCCATCTCGTACACGCTCTCGACGCGACCGCAGCAGGTCTCACACACGTCACGACCGACGTGAACGAAGCCGCTCCAAGTCTCGCGACCGTCGAGATCGCAGCCGAGATCGCAGCCGAGATCGTGCCCGCGTTGACAGGCGCGACAGAAGTCGCTCGCGGACTCGGACGGATCGTCGCGACAGGAGTCGGTCCCGCCATCGCGCCGACAGGAGAGATCGCAGCCGCTCGCGTGTTCGAAGAGATAGGACTCGCTCCCGTTCTCGGACCCGTGCTGATAGGCGAGATCGTAGTAAGTCTCCACGGCTCGACCGCCGGGACGCGATCCGTCGCGACCGCAGCCGGTCCCGCACACGTCGGGAGCGGTCTCCTGAAAGGACACGAGATCGTGACCGCAGGAGCCGGTCCAGATCAAGGCCCGCCTCGTCAGCCGTGCGGTCGTCGTCCAGGCTCGACAAGGATAAAGATGAAAAGGAAGCTACCAAGATGGAGGAGGTCCGCAAGCGAGAAAAGGAGGCCAAGGCCTACCTCGCTGCGCAGCGGGAGGCCCGGGAAAAGGGTATGCCGGTCCCTGGGATCGACGATAAGAGAAGTGCAGGAGAGCGATCTCCTGAAGCCAAACGGAAACGCGATCTGGATGAAATCGACCGCTATGTGCCGCCCGGTAGAGACAGAGAGCGGCCCCACGACCTGGCCCGAGATGACAACGAGCGCCGCCGTAGTCGATCCCGCAGCCGGAGCCGCGGCAAGGACCGAGAAAGGGACCGTGACAGGGATCGCGACAGAGATAGGGATCGCGATAGAGACAGGAGGGATCGCGACCGTGACCGCGACCGCTCCAGGGATCGCTCCAGGGATCGGCGGGATCGGGATAGAGATAGGGACCGAGACAGAGATAGAGACCGCGACAGAGATAGGGACCGCGACAGAGATAGGGATCGCGACAGAGACCGAGACAGAGATCGTGACCGCCGCAGCCGCAGGGATGGGAGCATCTCGTCAAGACGGGACAGGCGCGACCGGAGCCGCAGCCGTCGACGAAGTAGAAGTCGCTAGATGCAGCTTGGTCTTCTCTTTGACTCTCTGGTGTTGTTGGCTTGATTCTTGGGGGGTTGGTGTTCAATACCTTACGGAGCAGGCTTTGGGGAAACGTCGCGCATTCTCTAGAGTCTAGTGGTTTCTATCTACATCGGCTTACACCAGCATTAAGGCGGGTTTAGGTATTGGTGAATAAGGTAGCAACAGACCAAGTATGACGACTGACATTCCATGAGTTAAAACGTGACAACCAGAAGTCAGCAATCAAACTCGTCCGGCAGTAGCCAGTCATTCCTGTGTTGTCTGCAGCAGCATGTGCTGTCGGAGCTCCGCAGAAATGCCCGGTCAGGCTCACTTTTTGAGCCGGCCGCTGGAACGGAACAAAGGCGGGCGCGCCTGCCAGAAACGGCGGCGGCTGCGGATGCACCCGGAAGGCTCAGAACCCTGGCGCAGCCTCTGCATCGCCTACGGCGGACAAGCCAGCCAGATATCCGGGACTTCGGATAGCAACGCCTGGCGCGAGTCATCGCTGTGGTCCCACGGCCAATCCGGGTAGATATGATGTCCCCAAGCATCGGCCCGGCGATAGGGCGGGGATGGCGAGGTGATTGGCAACCGTCCGGCAGCATATGTTGACACTTCCCTCTTTCCCCCACATTACAAACCCGAACTTGGGGGTCCAAGCAAGGGGTGCGGCTGTCTTCTGCCGACTGGGAGGCTGTCCGTATCTCAGTGTCCCGGCGGTCCCCCCTTCTGAATGAAAAAAATGCCCACATATTCCCGCAAATACCGATATCAAAGATCTCCCGTGGCCCAATCTAGTAAGCGCCGCTATGCCGGTTTTGACTTGGGCGTATAATCCCTAAAGTTCCCATCGGGCGGGTCGCGATCGAGCAAGAACTTGAACTTGTCCGAATTGTCTCTGACATAATCCGGCACGTCGCGGTTATTTTCCATGCGGTCGAAGTTGGAGCTGCCTCTGCCGAAGCTGTTTCATGTTAGTGAGATCCATATCGGTAGTCCTTTACACTCACATGTCTAGCCCACGCCGGGCAACATCAACCACCCAGTCCGGATCCTTATACTCGGGTTTGTTCATCTCAGTGTGCGAGAACGAGCTGATCTTCTGCGCCATCTCCTCGACCGTACTAAAACAGTAGCTGCAATGCCAGCCGCCGTGGGCAAAGTGATGGTCGTCGGCGTTCTTGCGGAGGTCGTCAGGCAGGACGGTATCAGAACCTCGGTAGACGGTGGCCTGTGGATGTGCCCAATCGTTACGGGCAAGCCATTGGAACGAGTAGTAGTAGATGCTGGAGTGAATAGTGACGCGTGGCGGGATGTTGCAATTCCTTAATGCGCGGAGGATCTCAGGCTTAGGGATCTCATCAACGTCGGATACAATCAAGACGTCATCAGTAGCAGCAGATTGCTCGCCTACTAGTGTAGGAAACACTTGCTCATACATGGCATTGCGGCTCTTGGTCTCGCGGTCCCACGCCAAGCCATCCTTGAGCTCTTCGAGGTCTATGGTCCGCAGAATCATCTTATCATGCCACGGCTTGAAAAGATCCCAGTTCTCCTTAATGTAAAGCGGTTTGGGATGGTCGGTAAAGGTCTTATCGGACTCAAGGATAACAAAGTAATCGACGTACGGAGCCATCTGTCCCATACGCACCTCGAGCATCTCGACCTCGGTGTTGATAAGGAGCAGGTCGAACACCTTGCGCTTGCGAACCAGGTCGTAGTCGGCCGGCTTGAGGCGGTAGTGGTCGCAGTACTCGCTGGCCTCCTCGGGGGTTAAGACATTGCTGGAAGTGCGGCCATCGTAGGGCGTGTCACTAGAGTGTCCAAACTGACTGGTCTTCTCAATAACTTCGTGATGAAGGTCAAGCCGCCATACCAGCCAGATGAAGATGACGGAGGTCAGCACCGCCAGATACTTGATTTGGTGGCTGGTGTTGAGTTTGTTCATGGCTGATCTCGGTAAAGGGATCAAAAAGGAAGATGTCTGGGTTCTCAGTGTTGTCAGGAGGCTAACCCAGCGGTATAGGACGATTCTGCCCTTCTTAAAAAGACAGAGATTAGGCTCATACGGTAAATAAAACTTTGAGGTAGGTTTGTGTGTTGGCCTGTGAGTTCGCCTGGGCTCAAAATCCAGGCTTATCTCCAAGAAATATCCCGAACCTTTCAAGGATCATATAGCTTTTTCTTGCAAAACAGGTAGGCAATCGACTCGCATTTGATTGATGGGCAGTGTACTCATGCCTATCATCCCCTGACTTGGATTTCTTGCATGATTAGCACAACTCTGTCGGAAGGCCCGGGTACAACCTAGACCTAGGAGAGAAATTTTGCTTGTAACCAAGGGAAACGATACCGATAGCTCAGTCCTATAAGCACACAATATTCGACAAGCCTATAAATTCGAGGAGGGAGTGTTACGCGCCTCGAGTCGGTTCGTCTCATTACCGTCATCGCTCCCCGAAGACATCTAACCACCGTATCATACATACAAGGATGCGCCATCGTTCACCGTACAGGGACTTGAATAAAATATCGCAGTCACAGGGGTTGGCGACACGGGGTTACAAGGGAGTTAAGCAGCGGCTGGCATGCCCGCCCTTGAGCCTCATACTTCGTATTAATAGTATGATGAGCGACACCTGTGGCCGAGTCATCTAGTCTGGCCGTGGCAGTAGTGCATGGAATATCACAGATAACACGCGAATTCGTTCAATATATCAACCACAAGCCATAAGTGGGACTACATACCTCAATAATATATGTTCTGAAGTTTCTAGATAGCCAGGGATGCCATCAGTCTCAATCGGAGCCTTGGAACAGTTGTCGGTACCCAGACCGAGCAAAGGCTCAAGTTGGTGCTCAAGATAATCGGACGTGAGGAAGGAAGCCATCACAACGACATGCCACCGGCTGGCTGGTGGTAGTAAGATGGTGAGATGGGCGGCTAGCAACATCCTGCGTCTGATTCGCCGGCAAAGTGAAACCGATCCTCCTCCTACCTAGCGCGACTAAAAGCTTAATCAAACAAGGTACCTACCTAGCGGCGCTATCCGTGGACCGTACGAATACCTAGGTACTTACAAGCGAAGGCTCGGGCTGCGGCGCAGATGCAGGCAGGCGGGCAGGAGGGCAGGAGGGCAGGTGCAGGAGGGCAGGCAGGCAGGCAGGCAGGCAGGCAGGCAGGACCCTGTCGCATGTTGTCAATCCGCTGCATCGTGGGGCCCCAACAAACCTTGTCGTCGCTTTCCCCTTCTCTCATGCCCCCCGCAATCCTTTCTTTGCTTTCTTTTCTCTTGCCTCGTATCTCTCCTCCCAGCACTCAAACCCGGACTTTCTTTTCCATGATTACCGCTATTACCATTGACACATCTCAATCGATCCGATTGAGTCATTTCACCATGTCCTTCCCATCCGAACTGCCATTTGATCTTACTTGGTCTTCCGGGAAGCCAGGTTGGCAGTCGCAAGCCATGGTCGCATGTACCGGTAATTACTAAAAACATGATGCTACAAGGACCACTCTCAAGCGAACAAATCGATTTTCTTCGCATCTTCCCCCGCGGGTAGGAACCAACAGCTTCAGGGGTGACAGTACTTTTTGTCTCTCGCTGGGCCTCTTTCCTTACTACACGATAGGACAGGTAGGTACCTACCTAGTCACTGTATATAAATACACTCTCGGTGGGGGCCAACCCAAAGAAGTAAGGTGCAGGAGCACACCTCGCCTCGACCAGGGGGAAAGTTAGGTACTTTGCACCACAAGGAAGCCCGCCCGGGGAAAGGGGACTCGGTGTGGTTCCTGCTGTACCGCTGCCAATCTCAGTTCACAAACGCCGCTGCGCCGCCACAACTGCTGCTTGCCTGCCATACCTTTTCGTCTTACCTTTTCCTCTCCTTCCTCACTTTTGACACGGCAGCTGTGAGTCTCTCGCACCCGCTCACTCACCAACGCGTCTCTGTCCTCTCCCCTTCGTTTCCTGTCTCTTCTCACCACAGCGGCCATCTTTGCATCATCGCTCATGTCGCTCATTTGACACGAAAGTCGGCACCTTCCCCCAACACTTTCCCGCCTGCCCGCCAACTCGCCCGGCCCACACGGAGTCTTCAGCCGTTCATCGCCGTCCCTGTCGCCGTGACCTCCGCCCACACCGACCACATTCATCTAATCTCAGTGAACTCGTCTGCAACCCTCCTGAAATACCCCGTTGCCGTAACCAGCCATGAGTACGCTGCCGACAACGGAGAAGCCCGCCGGCTCCAAGGCTCTCCACCCAGCCTTCTTCATCGCGTGTGTGCCATTTCCTCGTAGACATTGGTGCTTCAGCTAAACGCCCGTAGGAGTTGGATCTTCTTCTCGAACCTGACCATCTTGTTCAACAAGTGGCTGCTTGACACAGCAGGCTTCAGTAAGATCTTAGCTTTCTCAACTTTTAGCTTGACTAACACATCATAGAATACCGTACGTTTCATTATCTGGCATCTTAGGCCTCTACTGACTTGACTAGCCGTCATCCTAACATGGTGGCATCTCGTCTTCTCCACCCTTGCAACCCAGGTCCTCGCGCGAACCACATCTCTCCTTGATGACCGGCACAAGGTAAAGATGACGGGCCGCGTCTACCTGCGCGCTGTTGTACCCATCGGCCTGCTGTACTCGGGCTCGCTCGTCTGCTCCAATCTGGTCTACCTCTACCTCTCCGTGTCCTTTATCCAGATGTTGAAGGCCGGCGCGCCTGTTGCCGTGCTCTTCACCAGCTGGGCTTGGGGTGTCGCTGACCCCTCCATGAAGACGCTCTATAACATTCTGCTTATCGTAGCCGGTGTGGCACTGGCTTCGTTTGGCGAGATTGAGTTCTCGTGGATCGGCTTCATTTTCCAAATGGGTGGCATTGTCTTCGAGGCCATCCGCCTCGTCATGATTCAAGTGCTGCTCAAGGGTGATGAGAACGCACAGAGGATGAATCCACTAGTCAGTTTGTACTACTATGCCCCCGTCTGCGCCGTCATGAACTTCTTTGTTGCGTGGGCCAGCGAGTTCAGCTCCTTCAAGTTTGAGGATCTACAGAAGACGGGTGTCACCATGCTTCTGCTCAACGCTGGCGTGGCGTTCATGCTCAACGTGTCGAGCGTCTTCCTCGTAGGTCCGCCGCCCGCCCGATGAGACAACACCGCTAACGATCCCAGATTGGCAAGACGTCCGGCCTCGTCATGACCCTCACCGGCATTCTCAAGAACATTCTCCTGATTGTTGCATCTGTCATCATCTGGAAAACCAACATCACCTTCATGCAGTTCGTCGGCTACGCTATCGCCCTCTTTGGCCTCGTTATCTACTCCACCGGTTGGGAGCAGCTCAAGAGCTCGGGCGTCGGCGCCATCATACGGGTCCGCACCGCCTGGAACTCTCACAACTTCGACGAGGGCCGTCTTTCGCCGCTCGTGCGCCGCGCCCTCTTCCTTGGCCTGATTACGCTCATCACCTTGATGCTTGTGCTGGGCATCGCCTACGAGGGCTCGTCGGCACCGGAGGACTGGTTGCCTAAGGTGGGCGCAGTTAGCGCCTGAACGTCTTTCTCATGGCAAGGAGTTTGGGATGCGCGTGCAAAAAGAAGAACTGGGAAGTTTTGGTTGATGCGCCTTTAATGAAATCAGGGTCTGTTCGGATTACAATGCCGCTTTTGTAATACTGCATATTATGAGCACACACATAGATACTGCTTTGCAATGCATAGGATGAATGACCAACTTCTATAGCGGACTCATGATGAGGGCCTCGGATCCAGCGGGTTATCAAGGTTGGCCTATCATGAACTCAAGGAACATGCAGCCAAGGCTGACTAAGAAACACAGCAGACCCTCTCGTCACAAATGAAACCACTCGTAAGTCGTCAGGGGCAGGTCGGGACTGAGTCCGAGTATTTCTTTATCTCGACTTGCACGAACCAGCTTCGTTTTAGGTTCAAGCAAGATCAGATGTCGGGATAGAGACCAAACACCTAAGTCGATTGCATACGATGCCATTGGTACAACACCTCCTCGCTTCGGACCCCGAGTCTTACGCCCGCGCGACCCAGTCCCGCTTCCTGAGTTCCGCTGCAAATGGCGCAGTGCCCCGGGATGTCCTTGCTCGCTGGCTTGCCAATGACCGGCTATACATACATCAAGGGCGTCGGCCGTCTTCTCGACGCGCTGAACCTACCCGACGTCGCCTCCACCGCCGCGGAGCCGCCGGTGACTGAGAGGCTCCTCCAATAGCTCGTCGACGCCCTCGTCAACGTCCGCCGGGAGGAGAAGTTTTTCGTCGACACGGCCGCGAGTTTCGGCATCGAGGTGAATCTGCCTGCCTCCCGCGCCGGCGTCGTCGAGCAAGACGAAAAGCTTAACGGCCTAAAGCGCGAGAGGCTGTTCGGTCGGCTGGCTGGAGGGAGCGGTCTTGTACGCTACGGAAAAGTGTTGCCTCGACGACGCCTGGTCTAGTGCCAGGGACGGGCTGGACGCATCTGCGGATGGCAGTCGGGACGTGGACGGTGGTGCGTTGAGAAAGGAGTTCATCCCAAGTTGGAGCAGCGATGAGTTTAGAGTCTTCGTAGACGAGCTGGGAGCCATCATCGACCAAGGATATGAGGAGGCAGAGAAGAAGGGAGAGGAGGGCGTTGAGAGCTATTTACAAGGGGCGCGCTGGGGGTTTGGAAGGAGCTCATGCTTGCTGAGGAAACGTTCTGGCCTGCTCAGGACTGAGTGAAGCATGGGCAAGAATTTGCGGACGTTTATTAATTACAGCGCCATGCCGGCCGCTGCACCCAGCAGTGTTGTTACGGCGCTGACTGTTAACTTGTATCATTACTAAACCTCGCGACCAAGATTACGGAGCACCCGAACCCTCACGCCCATAGTACCCGCGCCGCAAGCACATGGTATTACCGCGGACCCAACGCCATCGCTATGCCAAAAGGAACACTAAAGCACCATGTATGTTGTCGTCAGACCGTAATCATCTGGGGGCCTCTTTCGCTCGTCCTCGTGTCCTTGTCTCCTGGTGGCGAGATAGCTTCTCCCTCGTTAACCACAGACACACAATGAGCGGACTCCTCCTCGTCGTCTTCGGAGACCTCTGTCACTGTGCAAGTGAACATAGACTCCCCCACTTTCGGCGTCTCGTCATCTTCCGCATCTGCAGCGGCATCCGCGCTCCCCGTAATTGCTTCTACATCTGCGTCTGCAGCTGCAACCTCGGACAACGATATGATGGCGGGGTCGACACAGTCGTAAAACAGCATAAAGACGTTACCCTGATCCAAGACCTCCTCCTCATCAACCTTCCTCACAGTCTCGTCGCTAAGACGCCACCAGTCCATCTCCATGTTATCGTCTGAGGCTTCGGACTTAACCGATACCTCATGAGCTTCCTCTAGTGGCGAATTGCGAGGGAATTTGCGGTAGCAAACGTAATGCCCATTCTCGTGCCTACCATAATGGGTCACAACAGCCCGTAGTTCGTAAATAGGACCGGTGATGTATGACTTGCGCTTGTCACCGGCAATCATGGACGATCTGGCATCCAGCAACCACTGCTCCTCTTCGGATTTACGACTGTTGATGGCACTGCCGAGACACCACGGGCCAAGGTCCAGAGTCAGGGGAAAGCGGATACCTGACGAGTTCTTGTACATCATGCCGGTGTTTTCGTCAAATACAGACCGGTTCATATGAACGGCGAGGCTCTGTGGAGGGCGGGCAATGACGGCCTGCTTCGTCTTGGTCGACGAGACCTTGAACTGAGACGGGAACTTGCACTTCTCGGTAAGCGTCTTGTCCTCAAAGTCGTCCTCGTCCAGTGCTTCTTCGACAGCCGCGAGGCGCAATTTCGGCTCTTTGAGCTTCTCCTTGTCCGTGTATGACGCCTCCGCCCTCTCAACGAGCGTCGCCAATAGTCTCTTCGCCTTCAGCAGCGTGCATTTTCCACACTCAACCCCTTCGATTGGCTCGATATGCGCGTAGACATCCAATAGCTCGTACAGGTCGTGATCGTTGCCACCTGAGTTTAAATTGAGGGTAAGGCAATTGAATGGAATCATCGACAGCCCATCTGAGTGCCCACATTCCACGCAGGCGACCCGCTGCGCAATAAGTCCCTCGAGAGGGTTCCGCAACACTTTCGCTGAGCTAATCTTGGAAACCGTCGACAGACTCTGGTACCCACTGTCGTCGCTGTGCTGGCTCGCTGCAGTGTCGTCATTTACGCATTCCGACTCAAATCCCGTCAGTTTCTGCGTCGCCTTCGCTGCCTTGGCAATCTCTCGGTCTACCTCGTCCAGCAACTTCGAAAAGTATTCCTGCGCGTCCTGCTGTTGCCACGTGCTCATGTTCTTCAGTGAGCCGGGGGTCCACAACGTTTTTCCGTAGTTCCGAGTGCTATTGAGGTCCGCGATCAAGCCGCGCAGCGTATCAACGGCCTCGACCTTGCGGCGGTCGATCTCAGGGTCCTGAACAGGGTCGGCCAGGTACTTGGGGAATGGCTTCAGCGACGCGAGCCCCTGGAGAATGCTGTTTTGATAGCAAGAGTTATCCAGATTCCCCAGGCCCGGCGGATAATCGCTAGACCCCTTGAGGCCCATGACGGCGCCGGAGACGGACGACAACCCCCGAATGCCAGCCTGGGACACCGTTCCCATGATGCCTCCCTGCATATTCATGCCGAGTATGTTCTTGAGGAGTTCGCTCTTCACGGCGTGTGTTTTCGCTCGGTTCTGGAGCATCGGTCGAGGGAACAGTGGCGGATGAAGCCAGCCTTCGAGAACGGTCAGGGCGCCGAACGGGATAAGCCAGACAAGGACGTCCCAGAGGGTCCGACCGGCGCGGGACAGGAGGGGTTTTGGAAGAGCCGAAGCGCCAAAGATCGAATAGACGGCTGTCGCGACAAGGGCAAAGAGAGACACTACTACGCTCGGCTCCGTCAGCCTCTTCCAGAAGGCCTCGTCGTGTATTTGTCGGTAATAGTCAGGCCCGTAGGTGTCCTTGAATGAGCCGGGAGAATTCATGCTGCTTAGATGTTGTAGGTATTGAGGGTTCTTTCGTGGACAGCTTCAGGCGAGCTTCTGCAATGCAATGCGGGAGAGGCCGCGCGGTGCCATATCGAGGAGGGTGATTAAGACTGGTCGTGGCGATGCTTGCTGATTACGTGTGGTGATGAGCAAAGTCATGAAGGCACATTGAAGTGTTCGCAATCAAAGCTAATTAGCAGGGTTTCCACAGGGGCAATGTTGGACTGGTCAGTGCGCGCGTGCCCCAAGGCTTGTGATCGCTTCCCTCTCCTATTGAGATTAGATAAGCCCCGGTGTAGATAAGGAACTTTTTCTTTATCCCACACAACCTGGAAGTGCTGGTTGGGCGAATTCTATACACACCAACGACATTATAGCAAAGATGGCAAAACCGAGCGTTTCCAAGAAGTCTAAGCGTATGAATTCCGTTCTGCTGGAAATTTCAAAGCTAACCGGCAACAGAACCATCGGTTCACTCGAGAGCTGCAAGGCGCGCAACAGATGTTGACATTGACACCGACAAGTCTCTCAAGAATGTCAAGGCCCCCTCGGACTCAACCGACTACCGGCCATCGGTCTTGGCTGCGCAAACCAACGCCGGTATCTCTAAGAAGTCCAAGAACCGCAAGACACAGATGAGCGCCAAGGCCAAGAAGAGAAATGAGAAGGCAATGGACCGCGCCGAGGCCATCATGGAGCGGACGACCAACAAGATCGAGAAGAGCAAGGGCAAGTCTCGGAGGATACAGACGCGGAGTAAGCAGTGGGACGACATCAACAAGAGCCTGCCTGCAGCGAAGAAGTTCCCTGACGAAGAGGATCTCGAGGTGGAGGGGCGCAAGACTAGGGTTGCCGTACTGCCAGCGGATAAGGAGTGGGAGACGGACGAGGAGATGGACGGTGTTGATGAGGATTCTGCGTCCGTTGCTGCCGATGCTGTGCAGGCTGCTCCGACGAACGATGACATCGACGAGGAGATTTTGTAGCAGTTTGGAAGTTTCGAGGTGCCCTGAAGGCTGTGTCTGGCGGGACTATGAGATTTATGATAGATACCCAATGATATGTGAAGTTCATCCACGCAGTCTTCCTCACACCGGTATCCAATAGCAAGTTAAGCCTGACGTCCAGAACCCATAAGTGAGCATGGAGGGGTCAGTGATTAGGTAGGTAGGTGGTGTATCCGTAGATACCCTGGAAGCCCCACTAAACACGCTAAAGCTACAGGGCGCTATCGGGGAATCTTGTGCAGTCCCGTCTCTAACCTCCAACACCAGGGCCCTGCACCTCTAATTTTCAACGTCATCCAACCCCTTCATCCATCATAACCACCACCATGCCGCCGAAGCGCATGACGGCAAATCCGGTCAAGCCAGCGCGGTATCGCGCTGGTAAGCCCATTGCACCGGAAGCATCGGACTCAGACTCAGATGTCAGCGACAACGAAACCAACGAAGCCGAAAACAAGGCAAGGGCGATCCCGCCGCCACCGAAAGCTTCAAGCGCCGCCAAGATCGCTGGTAACCTCAGCAAGGTCAACCTCGATGAGCGCAGACGCGAGGCACAAGAAAAGGAGAACCTGAGAATAGCGCGCGAAAAGGCCGAACGACTCGCCGCCGAAGAAGGCTTCGTGACGGAGGAGGAGGAGGAGGAAGAAGAAGAAGAAGGTGGCGATGGAGATGAGGAGAGCTCAAGCGAGGAGGAAAGCAGCAGTGAAGAGGAAGCCCCCCGTCGCCTCATGATCCGTCCAAAATTTATCCCCAAAAACCAGCGCAACGCCGCAAAGGACCAGTCCGCTGCATCAAAGGACGAAGATGCACGCTTTGCTGAAGAAGAGGCCCGCCGCAAAGCTGCTGCAGACGCGGTGGTCGAGGAGCAGATAAAAAAGGACCTTGCAGCGCGTGCGGCGGGTAAGAAGCACTGGGACGACGACGAGGCGTCGGGGTCAGACGTTGACACGACGGATGACCTCGACCCGGAGGCGGAGCTGGCCGCATGGAAGCTGCGGGAGCTGAAGCGGGTTAAGCGCGAGCGTGACCGCATCGCCGAGCAGGAGGCCGAGTACGCGGAGCGCGAGCGGCGTCAGAACCTGACTCAGGAGGAACGCGATGCCGAGGACGCCGAGAAGCTTGCGCGCCAGCAGGAGGAGAAGGACGGCAAGGGTAAGATGTCTTACCTACAGAAGTACTACCACAAGGGCGCCTTCTATAGCGATGAGGCCAAGGCGTACGGACTGGACAAGCGCGATATCATGGGCATGCGCATTGCGGACGATGTCAAGGACCGGAGCGCTCTGCCGGAGTACCTGCAGAAGCGCGACATGACGAAACTAGGCAGGAAGGGTGCGACAAAGTACAAAGACCTCAAGAGCGAGGATACCGGCCGGTGGGGCGAGTTCGATGACCGTCGTGGGGCTGACCGGAGGGGCTTCAACAAGTACGACGTGGATGAGCGGTTCAGGCCGGACAACGACCGCGAAGTCAACGGTGCAAACGCAATTCCCCTGGGCGATCGCAAAGCACCAGACGGTCCAAAGCGTGGCTGGCCTGACAGATACCGAGACGATGACCGGGGGGATCGAGCCAACAGATACCGGTCTCGCGATGACTTTCGTCCTCGGGATCAGTCCAGATCGAGATCACCGCGTCACCGCTCACGAGACGACTACAGAGACAGGCGGAAGCGCAGTCCGTCGCTAGATAGAGACCATCGGGACAGTGACAAACGGCGGCGCGTAGACTCGTAGGGTTGTTGTTCAGATTGTGTTAGATCGAATCCTAGGCTCGCTGCAGGCAACACTCAATATACCCAGACTCCTAATGCAACCCTCTTCCTGTGCATCGTAATAGCCCTTAAATCTTCCTGATCTCCACTCGTGCGCGCTCAAAAACGCCGTGACTGGCCATTGCTTCCGACTGGCCTGCATTGGCCTTGGGTGGGAAGAGTGTTAGTCGTGCGTACGTACCAGCGCCGCGCCTCTTGGATAGATAGCCGGGATTTATCATTAAGACACTCTCGACGACCTGCAGGCGTCAGTAAAAGCGTAGCATAGCGAAGAGATGTTACTGACCTTGGCAAACGGAGGCAGGAAGCTAGGTACGACCAGCACGTCGGGCCGAACGTTGACCATCTCCCCAAGCTTCAAGTAGCTGAGATCCAGCATAGCACCAGGAGGGATGCCCTCCTCTGTTCCCGTCTTGGGCAGCTTTGGGCGATCCGTCGGGGGAAATAGCGGAAAGAAGTGCCTCTGCTCAAGCAAATACCTGCTGAGTCTCGACAGCAGTGATGGATCCGAGGGACGCCCGCCAACCAGTTCCTCATGACGCAGCTGCCAGAGGACATCCTGTGATGATATACCCATGACCATTTCGTTCATCGATAATGTCATAGGGTTGGTGACGATTCTCGCGGTCTTGGGGAGGCCAAGCTCCTTCTTCAGGACGGAGTCCTGCGGCCATGAGACGTGCTTGTCGATGACGTCGCGGACAGAGGGCACGAGAAGGATGGTAATGCTGGGGTTGGCGGAGACGAGGCGATTTAAGGCAGGCGAGAACATGTACTTGAAGACCGTCGACATCGTAGTCGTGTCCTGATCAATGGCTGCTTCGTCAGGGAGATCAAAGTCGCCTGTAGCAATCAGAGGGTGCTCGCTATCGATAAACGGTCCTGTCAAGACAAGAGCGTCCGCGTAGGTGTCGGCCGCTTGGTCGCACAATGCATATAGCGGCTCGAAATCAAGGTTATCATCCGCCGTGTACGGGCCTGAAGCGTAGACTACATTCAGTGGAGGGGGGTCTGAGTCTGTGTCCATAGCATCTGGGTCTCCTCGTAGCCTCTCGCGGTGTGCAGCTAACACAGCTGGCGTTGAAGCGGCGTTTGGGAGTAAGGGTACTTCAAGCACCTCCTCGACGGCGAATTCGTTTCCTGACGTATTGATGCCCTTGAGGGCCACGACCTGACCCGGAAAGAAACTGTAACCCTTATTACGCATGTTTAAGGCAACCCTCAAACCACCGCCCACCCGCCTCGACATCTCCAACACCAGCGACGCTGCATTGAGCTTACCCTCGGGTGCGTCTGAAGCGATACGTCCAACGGCAATCACCTCCGTTGTGCTCTGATTCGCTGCATTGCCAAACATTGAAAAGTCTAGCTTGTGGTGCTCCTGAACGATGTGCATAAACTCGTCTATCCTATCGTCGAGGATCTCGGACGCTTCCGAAAGCTTCATGGCTAGCGGTTTGTAACCAAGCTTCTTCTGATCGGAGGCGGCCGTCAGCTTGATCCGAGGCTCCGAGTATGGGCAGATTGGTGGTTCGGGTGGGTCGAGGTGGTCGTTTAGCACTTCGACGATCTCGCCGGCATTCTGTCGGTCGTTGAAGGAGCTCGGGCTGGGGAAGTTAGTGGCCGTACATGAGTATCGGCATGTGTGCTAGCACTTACGGCTGCATAGAGTTCAACTGTTCGTCCATTTTGGACGACCCCTTGAAATCCGGCGAGCTGGAAGGGATCTCTGCCTTCACCCGTGTCATGGTCGGCGTCTCGTTGACCTTCTTTCGCACGCTGGTCGGCTTGTTCAGCTTCCCTGGTCCGGGCGTGCTCGGCACCAACCCATCCAGCATGCCAAAAACATCGCCGCCTCTACCGGCGCGGGGAGTACCGTGACTGCGCTTCTCGGTTTTGATGTGTGTCTGCTGTCTATTGCTCTTCTCCAGTGCGTCCTGAATATCCTTTTTGAAGTTGCGCACGTGCACAATGTCGGGGTTCATGGCGTCCATATCCATTTTGATGCAGAAGGACTCCCATTTATAAAAAAGGTCTTCGGCTGACAGCTCGTGCAGGCGCATGATGGACTGCAATTCGGAGAGCACATCGGGCTCGAGACCCTTATCACCGGTGGTGAAGTACTCCTTGAGCTCTACTTCCGCCATGGTTTCGTTGCTTGTTGTGCTTCGTGGTGTTTGGCGGTAGTTGAGCGCTAGGAAGTTTGACGATGAACTTTGGTAGACGCGTCGAGCGCGTTTGGTGGGATAGCGCGTAAAGTGCGGACCGGGGCAATCACAGTGCGAGGTCCTTTAAGTTAGCGAAATCAAGGTGGGCTGCGTACTGCCTCAAGGAGCCCAGGCTACCCAGTTCGGAGCCGAATGTCATGTGGTTCGCACATGGAGAATCGGTCGCTAAGGCGACACCTGCCTAGGCACCTAGAATTCGACTACTCCTGTATCCGTATCTTTCGCCACTCGGAGTTCCTCTCTCCAACCAGAAAGACCGAATTTTTCGTTGCAATCAACAAGGAAACTCAACTCGGTTTCGTGCTGAGCAGTCCCCGGATCTAGCCTCCGTCTTCCTCCAAGTATTGGAAACACCCATTTTGCTCTTGGCCGAGTACTGTGTCCGAGTCTTGATGCAGGCTTTGCGTAAGTCATATGCAGGCTTCACTCGGCTCAACGGCCATCCACAAAGACTGGATGGCGTACCCGATTTGAAGTACAACATCACTTGCATATCGTTCTCTAGCAGGTAAGATGCGTCTCGGCAGGCTCTACATCGCCCCGTTCAGCCTGAACCAATCGCTTCCACCCCGATATGTGCACCAACACTAACCCCAGTGCACTACTGGTGACGTTGATGCATCCACGTACTCCTCCACCCTCACATGCATGCACCTGGCCAGAGCCATCCCAATCCTTGACCAACGATACGCAGGACTGCCTCGGTTCCGTGGTTGCATTCACTGCAGAGTATGACTGCAACCAGTGTACAGTCGCCACCCAGGCGCCTTTCTTGCTTACCCAGTCCGCCTGACCCATTCCGATTCAGGCATATTGCTGACTTCCCAGCAAGCCTATAGTAGCGCTTCCACTTGGTTGCCTTCTGATGTGTGATACCTTGTCCGATTTGTCGACTTATCCCAGGCAGGGAAGAGCCTGAATTGAACGCGTCTCTTGGTTGCCTCTTGTGCTTCACCTCCATTTGAACACCCTTGTTGCCACGGGTTCCTGGGCCAATGTATATAAGCCGGTAAAGAGTCTTCATTCAACCACTTTCCCAGACACGCTACCGCCTCTCGGTTGGAATGATAGATCTGAGCAAGATGGACTTCACAACCCTTTTCAAGGGTAACCTCTCGGCCATGGCCGAAAACATAACTGGCGGGAGATCATACCCTGGCAACAACAAGATGATGGAAAGTTTGCTGCCTATGCTCGGGGGGCAGTTCAACCCGGTCTTACGGTCACTGATGCTGCTGTACCAGATGATCGGTTCCAACTTGGGACTCGATCCGACCATAGTCCTGACACTGGTTGGGTTCTTCTGGGCTGCCAACCGAGTTGTCCGTCAAGTATACGGTGCCGTCTTTCGACTGATTCAGGAAAACTTCATGAGCAACATTCATATTACAAGCACGGACGAGATTTACACGCATATGATGAAGTGGTTGGCACTGCAACCGCTGATGGCGAGCTCCCGCTCCTTGACGGCCGAAACTGTGAGTAAGACTGCTTGGGAAGAGGAAGAAGAGCTCGAGGCCCTGCAAACGAGGACGGTTGCCGGCAGTGGTGGTGGCAACGCCAAGTACCTTAACTTCTCCAACCAAGAAGCCAAAGCTGTAGGTTGATCCATTGGCATCACAGCGATCTAGGTATTAACATTCGCAGCCCCCGAGATATGTCCCTGCAGTGGGCGTCCACGGTTTCTGGTACAAAGGCCGCTACTTTAGGCTTCATCGAAAGCAACAGAGCGTATTTGACGGAGAGGCGAACTATGGGACGTTCAGAAAAGAGGAGGATCTTATTGTATCGTGCTTTGGTCGGAGCCCAGAGCCCATCAAGGAGCTCCTCCAGTTCGTCAAGGAGTTCTATTACCAAGATCATTACGCTCGCACAACAATCAAACGCCCAAGCCCGGCGCCGATGCGTCGGTATGGAGGGCGTTACAACTGGAGTCAGGTCGCCAACCGCCCTGTCCGGCCCATGCGGACTGTCGTTCTCGACCCAAAGCAGAAGACTCAAGTTCTTGCGGATATGAACGAATACCTTCATCCGGCCACTCCTCGCTGGTATGCCAACAGGGGCATACCCCTGAGACGCGGATATCTCTTCCACGGACCACCGGGAACTGGAAAGACCTCACTATCGTTTGCTTTAGCTGGCGTGTTTGGCCTCGACATCTTTGTCATCTCCCTACTGGAGCCAACTCTAACAGAAGAAGATCTCGGGACACTGTTTAATTCATTGCCCCGTCGATGCGTGGTACTGCTTGAGGATATCGACACGGCAGGCTTGAGCCGTTCGGACGAAGAAGTCGAAGTCCCCGACTCTGATGGCAAAAACAACAAAGACCCTGAAGGCAACACAGGAGAAACCAGCAAGAAGACCAACAAGGATGACTGGAAGGTATCTGATCTTGCACGTGCCCTGAAGAAGGAGTCCAAGGACGACAAAAAGGGAATTTCGCTATCTGGACTCCTGAACGCCATTGATGGTGTCGCATCACAGGAGGGCCGCATTCTGGTCATGACGACAAACAAGCCCGAGTCTCTGGATGAGGCTCTGATTAGACCTGGCCGCGTCGATCTCCAGGTCGGTTTCACCAACGCGACTCCTTCACAAGCAACAGAGCTCTTCCATCGCATGTACGAGGCGGATGGTGCTTCTCCGGCCAAGCGCGTTGATGGGCATCTCGCTCCACCCACGAACCCCGCGCCACCAGTTACGGTGAACGGCGGCACGTATTCAAGATCGTCTTCATCGACTATATCCCCCACTTCTTCGTCATTTTCTGATACTCCCCAACCGCCGGAGGCTGCTGCAGAGGCCGAGAAGGAGCACCAGTTCGACGTCGAAGAGCTGAGGCGGATTGCAGCCGAGTTTGGCGCCCTAATCCCCGATGGACTGTTCAGTCCTGCCGAGATCCAGGGTTTCTTGCTCAAACGCAAGAAGGATCCCAGGCGGGCGCTGAAGGAGACTTCCGAGTGGGTCGAGGGAATGAGGCTACAAAAGGAGAACAAGACCAAGGTGCTCAAGGTGCAGTGAGGTTGTGCCTTTTCCCTTAACCTCATCCTTCCACCACATCAATCTTGAGGCTATAGATCATATTGTAGGTCAATATATATATCGAAATCCACATCGGAATAAAGTTGAAAATAAAGCTTGAAATACGAATTAAACCAGATCGGAATATAAACCAAGATATAGATCGAATTAGAGGTAGAAGCTTGCCTTACAAGATTAGAATTAAGTAAACTAGATTGCAGTGCCGTAACACACAGTACATCTCTGACGCTGGCAGGACTGCTCTTGAGTTAACAGTGGTCGGGCTGAGTTAGGGGGAGCGAAGGTTACGGTGGTACGTGGGTCCCGGAGGACGTCGGACTCGGACCACGGCGTCGGCGGGGTCCGAATCCGGAGTGTCTTAGCGAGGTGCCCGGGCTGAAATTAAACTAGGTATGTCTACTCAGAGGAGAAGAATGACACCTGTAGTGAAGCAATCAGACGTTGTCCAAAAACCTGCTTAGAGTCATAGCTGAAGTGCTTTTGTCTAAGGTCGTGTAACGGAGATACTGTTCGCTCAGAAAGGGCAAGCCAACGTGAAAGCTGTTGTCCATAGAAGCTCTACAGACGCGATAAGAGACCATAGGCACCGTGCTGGTTTATTGACAAATAATGGCATATGTAATACAAAGACGTCAAGGGAAAATGTCGGGCTTGGGCGGGAGAAACACATGACACGAAATAAAATTGTGTTTGTGCCTAATTTGTCGAGTGACAGAATCATGTCTACAATCTAGTATTTCTATAACTATGCTTGACTAGTGATTTATAAGCGATGCAGCCCCCAATATCCGCTTACATGGTAAGAGAATCTATTATGGCAATGCTTCTGAGGGATAGGCTGACTCCATGTCCACGTCCGTTTGACCAGTCTGTTCTGTCGCATATGCAACGCTGGAATGTGTCTCGCCCGCGTTATCATAGACACGCCTCTCATTGTACCCCTCGGCATCCTCGCCATAGCCATAACCCACCCGTCCTCGTCCTCATCGCCATACTCTTCCCCAATCTCATCCATATCCTCGTCGAGACCAGGCACAGGTGCAAACACACGCCCCTCGCCGGGAAGCACGCCATCTTCGTCGTCATCGTCACCTTCACTGTCATCCTCCTCGAGACTGTCCTCGCCGGCAGATATGAGCTCCTCCTGTGCGCCCGTCTCCGTGTTTGGCGTGCCCACGCCACTGCCTGCTGCCGCCGCAGCGGCCACACCTCGCGGTCCGTTGGACTTGGTGACACGGTAGGCGGTGCCCTTGCGCTTCTTCTTGGGTTCCTTGAAGCGGCGACCATATAGCACGCGCTTCTCTGCGTCGGTGAGCTCGAGGTCTGGTAGCGGTACGTGGACGCTCGAGGCGCCCGGCGGTGGCGTCGTGTCGCGCACGTCAAAAATGCCAGAGAAGTCTTCGTCTCTGAGCTTGCGGCCGAACTGGATCGCAATCATCTTGGTTTTCATGATACCCTTGGCCTTGGCCCACGTGCCCTGGTGGTACCAGCCGCTGTTGTAAATATCGACTTCGGGCCGTAGCGGCGCCTCAGCGAAGAGCCTTGCGATGAGTGGATCCGTGATGTCGCAAATTTGCCAGACTTTGCCGTCGGTCCAGTATGACTTGCCGTCGAAGACGTGGGACTCGTGGTTGTCACCCTGCGGCTGGCGCTGCTCGGTACGCAGGCTACGGATAGCGTGCCAAGTCTCGCCAATGTGGCCGGCCTGCAGCTTTCTCATATTGAAGATCATGGTCTGGTACGTCCGGTAAGCCGGGTCGGTGCGCGGGTCGATGCCGTACTTGATGATGGCGTCACGCCATGGCCCGCCGCGGAACTGGTAGCCGACATAGCCGACGCAGCGCTTCATGACGTTGGCATTGCGGACGATGGATCCGAGCTTGTTCATGAGGGACCGGCGTGTCCAAATCGGACGATCCTGCATCGCCTCCTGCATGCGCGCGATGCAGTGCGTGACCTCCTCATCGGTGCCGTCGTAGGGCGTCTGTGGCCCATCCGGGATGGGGTATTGGTCTGCCTTGAGAAAGTAACCGATGAGGGTCGGGAGCTGGGTGTTGACGAGCTTGGTCTGACCGGCGTGGTCGAGCTCAGAGCGCACGTAGGGGTTCTGGGAGTAGTTGTAAATGAAGGGCAGTGTCATTGGCGTCCACACAGGCGGCGGGATGATGTCTACGTTAGGCCCTTTGTCCACGCCCTCGACGAACTTGAAGTCTCTCATCTGTGTGACTGCGCGGGTCAGTTGAGTCGGAAAACCGATGTCAAATAACTCACTGTCGCCAGGCATGACCTGGTTCATGAACTTGGATATGAAAGGTGAGTTTTCGAGGCCCCAGTGGAAGTCCGCCATGCCTGTCGTTGGTTACTTGGGTTCGAAGCACGAGAAAAGGGCATCCCTACCTCTGAAGCGATGCGTGTGCTTGATAACGCCGACAGCCTCGACGTCGTAGTTGTCGACGTTGTCCTGCATTTTCCGCCGTAACACCTTCGGGTTGTCCAACCGAGACCTCGAGCAGATCTGCTCCCCTGACGAACCCAGCCTGGAGACGTCGGCCACCTCGACTTTGCCCTCCCACGGCCCGTCAGCCCCCCTCTTCCGCTTTCTACCGGTCCGCTTCGGCACTGTGACCTTCAACACAACGTTGTGACTCGTAGCGCTGTGAGACATGATGGGCCTGCGGAAGGGGCTCTCGGGATTGAGATAGAAAGGGATCGTGTTGCGCTCCGTGTCCAGGATCTAGCATGATTAGTCTCTGCCGAGCGGAGTGGATGGCTGTGCGCACATTTTGAAAAGACGAGATGTTACCGAATGCCTTTTCTGTCCGACCCAGGTTCATGACGATCATGGGGATCTCGACGGCGCCCATGGCTCTCTTGGGGATAGGGTACCGGGGTGCCGAATTGCTGTCCTGCCGGTCCGTCAAGGTTTGACTGGCTCTCCCTTTGAGCCGAGCGTCTTCATGAACGCCCTCCTCCGCCATCTCATCGTCGACATGTTCGTACATGGTGCCCACGGTGATGGCCTGTATGTTTTGTGTCTTTCGCCCACGAGTTGACGTCACAGTCTGCTGCTGTTTAGGGCCTGTTGTCTGGCTGTTTCCGACTTCAAGATCTTGTGAGACCTTGTCTTAATGGACGTCCAAAACGGATTCCCCCAGTCGGCTGTTTGGCCGTTTCAGGCGATGTTGAGCTCAGCGCCGTATCGCAGCCCTGGAATGTTAGATGCTTTTGTGAGCAACTAAAGTTGCTGATGAGCGAAGCACTGTGCGAAACGCAATCCCACTTCACATGCTATACCACAGTTCGGCAGAAGCCATGAGCGACAGACAGACAGTTCCTGCACTGTATAAGGGAATCATTCAACTACAATACCTACTGCGTATACGGATATTTTCGAGTAAAATAGGTACTATTATGCAGAAAATCCAATGCACTAGTACTCAGTGCTGCCCATCAAATCCGATACACCTCTCCGGGTCAACCAACTCGGCGTGGTCAAACAAGATTGTATGACACAATCAGGAAGTCTTGATGCGCGGCCTTCGCCTGTCAATATCACCTGCCACCTGTGCCAATCTACTAGGTACTCTATGTACATGCAGCAAACCGAAGTCTTGAAGGAACGGAGAAGGTCGGTCGTATAGGCGTTTCAGATCATTTAACCGGCCAAATCGTCCAATGTTGACTTCTTGTTCCTCCAAGAACAGGGCAAACTGTTGTTTCCAAGGCACCTGAGGTACACTGTAGGTAGCTTTGACCCCATTCATGGTGATGTGATGATGCATGCCCAGGATCAACCCACGGGCAAGGTCCCTGCAAGGGCTGGCAGGTGACTTGCAGCCATGAAAGAAAAGAAAAAAAAAAAAAACAGTACAGTATGCCGGTTCGATTGGCACGGAACGAGCTAGCGAGATCCCTTCTTCGGGCTGCGCTTGTCGAGCCCAAGGGGGTTGCTATAATCCTCCGGAACAACACTGCTACCGAAGAGGGAGATTGAGCTCCAAGGGTCCAGCTTCCGCCGAACCACTCACAAGCGATCTAGGGCATCAGCCAACCAGAAGCTGGCGCGTTATCTTACCTAATGCGAATCGATCCGTGCACATGTACACAGCAACCCTCTTGCTCGACTCTGCTTGTGCTGCTGCTGTTCTACCAGCGTGTGTATTCTGTGCCAACACCTAAAAACCCCACCACAGTTTCCACCCAATTCCTGCACAGTGGGAGGTACCTCCCGCAGTCGGTCGTGTCCGCCGTCCAGGGTGTAGGTGCAGAGAGTGCATTCGCGCAGCGGCCTCGACCTCCACTCCCTCAATCTTGTCCTCTCTTACAGCACAAGCTGATTGCGTCCTTTCTCTGAGTCCGACGCGTACCTTTGACCTCACACTTTCCAATTTCATCCTGTCTTCATCGGATTGCCAACATTACCTTATCTAGCCTCTGACACTGACTCCCAATCGTGTACCGCACCGCCCAAACGATTTCCCGCCTGCCACCCCAGTGTCGAGGCCTGTTCCTAGCTGGCCGCCGCACGTCACTGGACCGTCTACAGCTGTCGAGCACCAGACAACTGTGTGCCCGTACCTCTTTTCACCTTAATATTTCACCGCCGCTAGCACGTTAGGGGAGGCCGGCTTCTGGTCCCGCGTCGTCGTCTCACACTTCACCTAGGCCCCGCAAACAACTTCAGCTTTACCGACGATCCAGACTAACCCCCATCCTCTTCGAACCTCGAGAATCTGGCCCCCTTCTTTCGCTGCCCGATCGCTCTTTTCATCTGCCAATTTTGATGGGTTGTCAGTCTGTCGCATCTTACCCGCCAATCCTGTCCCCCAGCTTCCCCCTGCTCCTCGCATCACGAAGCGGCGCCATCCTGACAGCCAAACCCCAGTCCTCGCCGAGTGACGCCCTCCTTTCATCATCACGTCGACATCCATCCGTCGACGCGCTCTCTGCGACCTAGATCGCCGCCTCGCACTGCCGTCCACCGCGCATTTGCAAACCGGCCACGATCTCCCAATTCCAGAACACAACCCATCGTTGGTCGACCCCGCCCCCCTGTACCATTGCCCATACCCCGACCCGTCGGACCTGCGTCCATTGCGGATTACTGTCTCCTGTTGCTGCTGTTGAGTCGGGCGAGTCTGTCGCCCCACGGAGAGGGACATCACCGTGACGTCCAAAATGAAGCGCTTCAGTCAGAGGGTGGTGAGTACTCCGCCAATAGCCTGGGCCCCTGAGCCCAATCCCACCTCTGAACACGATATTGACAACCCAGCATGCTCAGCTCTCGCGCGGCAAAGACCCCAACAAGCCTAAGAAGAACAAAGACTCGAAAGATGGCACCGCGTCCCCGTCGTCCGTAGGCTCAGGGCGCGACGCCAATCAGTCCCCCAACCCGACGCCATCGTCCTCGACGACCAACCTGAACGATTCCCGCAACAAGCCTCTGCCTCCTAATAATACCGGCGCTCATCCCGGAGATCATGGCAGTGCAAACCAGCCGTCCCCACTGGGCAACCAGCAAGGTGCCGTCCCGGACCGCTTCAACTCTGCAGGTGCCGCCCAGGGTGCTAACGGTGGAGGTTCTCCAGCTCGCCACGGGACGTTGCCTCCCACGGTGATCATCAGCCCCAGTGCTCCGGTAAGACCCCGGCGTCATACCACCATCGAATGTGCTAATTAGGCCAGCATGTCCCACCTCCCGGTGCCGCTGAGACCATGCCGCACGATCTCGCGCCTCCGAAAGCGGGCACCAAGTCGCTTATGTTCGACCGCCTTCACCAAACGCCCAAAGATGTGCCCGAGGGCCTCAGGACGCCCAAGCGACAGCACTCGTCGAGATTCGACATCTCGGCCCATCGCGAGCTTGAGAAACTCCCCGGCTTCCATGAAGTGCCCCCTAACCGCCGCCAGGAACTGTTCATGCAGAAGATTGATCAGTGCAATGTCATCTTTGACTTTAACGATGCCAGCGGCGACATGAAGTCCAAGGAAATCAAGCGGCTGGCACTTCACGAGCTGCTTGATTACGTTGCCAACAACCGCCAAGTCATTACGGAACCCATGTATCCCAGAGTAGTTGAGATGTTTGCCAAGAACCTCTTCCGTCCCATCCCCCCTCCGATGAATCCCCAAGGAGAGGCGTTCGACCCCGAGGAGGACGAGCCCGTCTTGGAGGTGGCGTGGCCGCACATTCAGGTTGTCTACGAGTTCTTTCTTCGCTTTATCGAGAGCCAGGACTTCAACACCAACATTGCCAAGGCATACATTGACCACAGCTTCGTTCTGCAATTGCTGGAGCTCTTCGACTCCGAGGACCCGCGCGAGAGGGACTTCCTCAAGACGACGCTACACCGCATCTATGGCAAGTTCCTCAACTTGAGATCATTCATCCGTCGCTCCATCAACAACGTCTTCTTCCAGTTCACATACGAGACGGAACGATTCAACGGCATTGCAGAGCTCTTGGAGATCTTGGGCTCCATCATCAACGGTTTTGCCCTGCCCTTAAAGGAGGAGCACAAAACCTTTTTGACCCGCGTGTTGATACCATTGCACAAAGTCAAGAGTCTGAGCATGTACCATCCTCAGCTGGCATACTGCATTGTCCAGTTTCTGGAGAAGGACGCTTCGCTGACTGAGGAGGTGAGTTTGACGTTGCATGCGAGTCAACCCAAACTAACAATCACAGGTCGTACTTGGTTTACTCCGATACTGGCCCAAGGTCAACAGCACAAAAGAGGTTATGTTCCTTAACGAGGTCGAAGACATCTTCGAAGTCATGGATCCGGCCGAATTCGCTAAAGTTCAGGAGCCCCTGTTCCACCAACTGGCCAAGTCCGTCGCTAGCCCCCATTTCCAGGTTGCAGAGCGCGCGCTGTATTTCTGGAACAACGAGTACTTTTGCAATTTGGTCAGCGACAATGTGGAGATCATTCTTCCCATCATGTTTGCACCACTTTACGAGAACTCCAAGGGCCACTGGAACCGGTGAGTTTGTAGCTATCGGCGGTGGAACCACACTAACTCCTTACAGCACTATCCACGGCATGGTTTACAATGCAATGAAGCTGTTTATGGAAATTAACCCTCAACTGTTTGACGACTGCTCCCATGACTATACCGAGCAGCAAAACAGCGCCGCGGCCAGAGAAGCCCTACGCGAGAGAAAATGGGCGTCAATCGCGGACCAGGCCGCGCAGAGGCGATCAGCGAACGGCGCCGCCAGCAGTGGTAGGGCACATGCTGGGTCGCTATCCCGCGTCGATGAAGTTGACGGCACCGAGGATAACCAGAAGCGACTAGACTCTCTCAAGCTCCAGGATGGTGACCGCAGGGATCGTAGGCATGAGCAACAAGACTCGGTAGGATCAGCCCATAGCCAAACATGATTGCCCCTTGTCGATTTGCGGATTATTGCTGTTGTCTTTCCCACTTTCTGGATCACCAGTTAACCAGGCCAATTCTAGAGCTCGGAACAAAATGGTGAAGGGAAGGGCGAGGCAGGCGAGGAGTCATGACCACCAAATGCTGCGCCTTCAACCTGTTGAAGGGTTCAAAAGGAGAATTTATGCATGTGTGTGCTTGAGGGGCGATTCAGAGAGTCACCCGAGAAATGACATCGGGCAGAGGAAAAGAAGGTTCTGTGCTCGAGGGATGGGGCCTCGCCGCCCCCGGAACATACTTAATTTTCATGATGTCACTTCATTGTTTCTCTCTACTTTTTCTTGTCTTTTTCTGCGAGGATGTAAACTCGACTATGGTTCACCCTAGCTCTGAGTTGGTCGCCTTCGTTCTTGAAACCAAACGGGGATTTTGGTGCGTATGGAGGAACCAGAAAATGTATTGTGATGGCGAGAGGAAGGGAGGGGAGGTGCAAGAAGTGGGCAAGCAAGATAGGACTGGCGTACAAAGGCGAAATTTGGGAGACGGGCTCTTTTTCTTTTTCTGCAGCTCTCTTCTGAGGCGCGTGAGGAATCGAGGGTTCTTCCATGGTTTCTGCCTCGGACAATGAACGGGCACAGACTTCGTAACACGCCACAAATTAGACTTGGGTAACAAAACAGCTTCGCGAGAGCATGTGAGCGTCGCGGACCTGTGACGAACTGGCGTCGTATGCTATCATCGGTACTTACAACGATTATTATTCTACTTATACACATCTACCACCCACCCCTGCCTCGGTCATAGCCTCCCCTCTCCCCACGGCCCCGGTATCCACCGTTGCCGCGTCCGAACTGTTGATACTGGTGCTGCTGCTGCTGCTGCGGTGGCGGTGGAGGAGCCCATCCACTCGTGTGTGGTGGAGGCACGCCAGACCCCGGCGGGGGAGACCAGCTGTGTGGAGGTAGAGAAGTGCCCATATGTGGAGGCGGCGGCGGCGGCGGAGGCCATTGTCCCTGGTAACCTTGAGGAGGAGGCGGTGGAAAGTGACTAAAGCCGCTGGCCAGCGGGAGTGGCGGAGGGTACGGCGGGAAGGCCGGCGAATTATGATAGCTGGGAGGAGGCGGTTGTTGGTTGTGCGATGAACCCCGGCCATAATATCCTGGTCCGAACTCTGGATTGTGTCGGTTATGGTTTGGCGGGGGTGACTTGCTTGTGCGGCTCTCGTCTCTTCTCGGACGTCGATCGCGGGACCTTGATCTCGATTTGTAGCGTCTACGAGAGCTTGACCTCGACCTGGACCGAGATGGACTGTAACGAGAGTCGTACCGATCGCGTTGCAGACTCCGTCGCCGAGAACGGCTGCGGCTGGGACTCCGCGAATCTGGTGAAAGCCTGCGCCGCTTAAAGGCAGGCATAGAGTCGCTTCCGCTGGACCGCCCAGGGGAGTAGCTGTTTGAGCGGCTCCGCGAATGTGATCGGCCCCGCCCGCGGCCGTCGTCGCCTTTTGTGGCCTTCTTCCTTCGCTGCTTCATCTTTTCGCAGAACCTACGTGACCAGCCATAGTACGTCTCTCCGTCCACGATCTCACCTGTAATCTCATCGAGCACGATGCGCTCTCCCATTTCGCTGACGTCCATGTGCTGCTGAGAGTCGGCAGCCTGCGGCGGGACGTGTTTGCTGTAGAGCCTTTCAACGTCGACGAGCAGGTTCTTGACGGCATTTGCGAGAACCTTGTCAGCTGGCCCCGGAGCGAGCTGCAGTGGCTTAATCATGTCGGGATTCATGGGTTTGGTCGAATTCGGCGTAAGGTGCGGCAGCCAGTTGGCAGCGGGCAGGTCGAACCAGGGTGTATTGGGGTCGCCATGAATTGAGGGGATCATATAAGGCGCATCTTTGGGGAGTTTGGAGCCGAGATTCGAGCCCGTTTGATCTTGTGTCGTAGCCTTGGACACCTTCTCGCCGTTGGGAGCTTCTTTAACGGCCTTGCGGAGGCCGTCGATAGTGGCTGCTGAGAAGTAGTTATGTTTTTCCCAGAGCGCGAGCAGGTCTTCCACCTTCCGCGTTTGCTTCGGGCAGTTTCGGAATTTTGCAGCGCCGTGGAGGAGAGTCGTTAGGCTGGCTTCCAGATCGGTTGCGATACGTGCAACTTGGTCGCGGACGACGGCGTGGTAGAGCACGTCATTGAGGATGTAGAGAATGTGTAGGCGTCGTCGGCGGGTGGAGGGTTTCGTCTTGGCCTCGTCGGGGAGAGAGTTGGAGAGGGCGGACAGGTATTTACCGAGGGCGGCGACGCGCGGAGGCGAGGGGACCAAGTTTTTCAGGATCCAACGTTTGCATTTCTAGATTGAGGCAGCAGGAGCTTAGTCGACCTGCAATATAAGATTTGTGAAACGGCAAAGGCAGAATAGTGCGGCTGGAGAGGCCGTTGGAGGGCGTCAAACCTGAACGTTGGCGGGCGAGCATTGGTGTATCGCGTCGTGGAGGAGGGTATGAAAGGTGTCGATGTCAGAGCGAGTGAGCGAGACGGGTTCTTTGCGGAAGAGAATGGCGCTAAAGGAGGCTTTCGCTATTGCTAGCTCTGGGTTCGCCATTGCGTGAAGGGCGGTAGGCACAGAATGAGTGACTCGCGTGAAGGAGAGGTGGGATGTCAAGCTGAAGGTGTCGAGCTCCGCCGTACGACAGACAGGCAGCCGTAGCTAGCTGCTCAAAGTGTGGCTGAGAGCTTGAGGCTGGAGGGAGATCCAAAGAACAGACAGGGCACCACAACTTCTTCCGTGCGGACCCATGTGCCCAGTGTGAATGGCCGGCACTTCGACGGCAGGCGCCATTAGCCACCCTGTTGCTGTTACCCTTGAAGGAGCTAAGGTTGGATGCTCTGATGGCGTATAGCTTTAGACATAATCCATTTGCAGCCACCGAACACGCTGACAGACCAAACACCACTTGTGATTTCATTTGTTATTTTGCTCCCAGGTGGAAAGCACCTCATGCTGGTTATAGGGACTTCCGTAGGCTCACATGCAACGAATCATTGGCCAACTGTGATCCACATTATGCACCTGCTCCTTCCAATTGAACATCTATTGCCGTCAAATGCTAACACGAAAAACGCATCGTTCCTTCGTTTCGTCTTCAATGGTAGTGTACAGTATACAGCCGCAATGTGCCGATCAATTATGGTACACAACCTCGGTATCTGGGGCTCTCCTCCACGTCCGTCCGACTACGAAAACCGATCCCCTTTTGGACTCTTGAACGGTGTACTGCTTTCGTATTTGCTCTTCTCGAACACTCTCTCGGATTCGGTAGCCGGCGCGTGGCGGGTCGGGGCAGGATCGGAGCTGGATTCCTGGCTGGGAGAGCCGGCGGTATCGGTGCGCGCCTCGCCACTCATGGTAGAAGCGGAACCAGGCTGGGCGGGAACATTGTCTCCATACTCAAGGGACTGGGCCAGCATCTTCTTCTTACGCTGCTCCTCAAAGCGAGCAGCGCGATCGGCGTTGATGCTCTGCTTGGCGAAGTAGTAGGCGGTTCCTCCGGCTGCGATGCGACATGGTTAATTGCAAACCGGACCACGAATCTTACTGAACGACGTACCAACACAGAGGGAGCCCCATCCAAGCCTGCAATGTGAAGGGTGTCAGTAACGGATCATCGACGAGATGACTTACGACGAGTCAAGCTTACCAGAATGATTTGACCTGGGATCAGGCATGATGTTAGTCAACGATTTGAAACCAGATGCGACGGTTAGGGAACAACTTACAGTATTCATGCTTAGAGATTGGATTAGGCGATCGACAGAGTTGTTGCAGAAGCGAAGATATTCGTTCGTCGTCGGGTTGCGCAAGAAAGGAAGGGAAAAAAACCCAAACCGAGGCCTGTTGGGACTTGGTTCGATAATCGAGCAAGCCTGCCACTGAGGACTAAGGACGCACTGTAGAAAGTGGGATGGTCTGATGATGGAGCTGTACTATCCCCGATTGCTTAGTTTTATGAACCGTGCACGCGACAGGTGGGACACCCCCAAACCACTGAAGCGGCTCAGCCGGCTCAAAGCAGTTGAAGCTGAGGTAAGGCAGGTTGGGATACGGATACGTACCTTCTCGGACCCAGGGACGGGACGACTGCGCCGGACTCAACGATGTGCAGGGGGGAGGAGGCTTTCCAGGCGGCAGACGGGACTGTGGGCTCGCTAATTACGGATCAGTATTCCTCAGGAACCAAGGCTAGCGGCCCCTGTACGTTGTACGTACATAGTAGTTTACCACCTACCTATCCGTACCTAGGTAGGTATATACAATGTCGTATACCTAGGTGTACCTGCGTGCCCTCACACCCTAAGGTACCTCTGCCTACTGCCATCTTACAACGACCCTTGCCTAACTGCTAAGGCTAGCAGAAATAGAGACACGTCTTGGCACGGTCATATGTCAGTATGGATATTGCTAACATATATGGGGCGCAATGCTATGGCAGGACAGGTACACGGCAGCGCAAGTTGTAATAGACAGTAGTGTTTCGATGGTGAGTCCCCTCAAACCTTACGTACATACCACCACGTACCACTACCCCCTCTTCCTCTGTTAGTAGTGGCCACCCACCATTTCCTGTGTGGCACCAAAGCACTGCTGCAGCCTACATGCCTAATACACGTTCCCCTCCCTGCCCTACTTCATCTTAGAGAGAGAGAACGGTACTTTCCTCCATCCCCAGAGTGGTACAGCCTCCAAGGTACTGGCGAATCAGGTACGCCATCCACGCTGCCGTCCCAGCAAAACGGCTACATAGCACGCACGACTGGGAATCTTATTACTCCAAGGGGTCGTTGCAATGCTACTTCGTCGACAATCACAACCACGCACACTGCCGCCACAACAAAACACATCCGTCGCTCTCTTTCCGCGCGCCTTTCTCCTGGTCATGCTCTCCCGCGTGCCCCAGTAGCTTCGAAACGCCCGTTCAGCATCATTATGCTCCTCAGCCCTCTCGCACAGCCGTCCATCCCACTTCCCAGAATCTCTCCGAGTATACACGCGCGACAAACTCTCCCGCCCGCTTACGCACCTTGTAACACCCGGCTTTGAGCAGCTTTGTCCCTGGTTAAGTAGGCGTCAGACCTCAAACATACGCTCGCTGTTGATGGGCTCATGAGGATAGGCACCTGAAGACGTGGGTGTGATGGGTATCGGCACCCTGGGCCCCCGTTATCGTCTTCCGCTACAACAATGGCTCCTCCTGCTCAGAATGGGCCTGATGGCTCATCAATTGTTTGTCTTCCCTGCGCATGTCGTGCTGCTGCCGTGTTGACGTATCGTTAGAAACCTGTCTCTTCCTTGAGGGCGAAGTTCGAGAACATGAATAAAAACGGCGAATCTGCCGCCACAGCGCCTGGCCCCTCTCCTCCCCGAACCATCTCGCCGGGCCCGAAGCCAGAATTCCATCTAGATGCGAAAGCTTCCCCCGAAAGCCTGCCAGTTCCCCCGAGACCGCGAGAGCGCGCGAACATACCGGCGCCGTCACTCCCCCTTCCGTTGCATGAGCCCGTCCCACGTTCGCCTGGCCGATCCCTGGGCATTCCTCCTACTTTGAAACCCGAGCCGGTGAAGGCCCCCTCCGTCTTGGTCGAGCCTCCACAATCACCTCCCAAGAACACCGTCTCGAGGTTCGCGCACGCCGAAACGCCGGCGTTCCTGAATGCCGACCCCGGCTCCTCTACCCCTACCACTCCGACAACTTCGCGGACCTTCAAGATGCAAAGCCGGCCACACACCCCGTCTCTCGAGCCGCGGCGCTCACCCAGACTTTCAGCCTCCCAGCCACCTTCACCACCGCCGCCGAGAAGGTCTGGGGAGATTCGTAGAGACAACAAGCCTGCTGTGCCCCCACCAATCAATCGGGCCGAGAAACCATCGATGCGATCACAGGCGAAGCCTCCTTTTTATACTGAACAACAGTTGGCCGCTGATGGTAGGGGTAAGCTCCGTCAGGAGACCTCGCCGTTTAGCAGCCCCCCCGGAAGTCCTGACAGCCTACATGAACCGACGCCCCCCACGCTGCCTACCAGGCCTAAAGCGCATTTCATACAGACGGAGCCGCCTCCGCCCCAGCGCGGGAGACCGTTAGACGTGGGATTCGCTCCGCCGCCCGTTCACCACTCGATTGCCACGAAACGGAATCAGCGGGAACAGGAAACGAACGGTTTTGTCAAGGGGCAGATCACACCCCAGATCACTGGCGACCGGCCGAGCGTGCCCGCGCTTCCCGCGAGGCCGCAGACGGTTGCAGAGCCTCCACCGCGGCCGCCAGTGACCATGAAGCCACCTCCACGGCCTCCAAGGCCGGGAACCAACACAACTGCCGCTGCACACTCGGTTTCCGAGCTCCAGCCTCCACCGAAACGTATTGTTTCGACCCCTGCGACACATCCGCCGCCCCCGACCAGGTTGCCGGGGCGCGCGAACACGGTAACGGACCGGACGTCAGAGAGGGTCGCACCTCGACCGCCACCTCCACAGCCGCCTCAGCCCGAGCCAACAATGTCCTTGATTCCTTCTAGTAGTAACTCCAAAGTTGAGATTAATGGCTCCGCACCAAACTTTCCGGACCCAGCAAACGTCAACCGGAGACCGCCGTATATCAAGCAGGGTATGCACGAGATCCAAACCAAGTATGACCCGCGCACATTTGACGTTTGTGGCGATCTCATCTGCACGACTGGCCATCTCACGCGTGTGTGGAGTCTCCGCGATGGCGAGCTGTTGATGAGTTTCGCCCACGGTGAGGGCATCAAGGCAACAACGGTGGCTTTCAAACCGGGTACGAACGTAGACGAAGAAGGTAAGCGATTGTGGATCGGCAACAACTTTGGCGAGCTCATGGAGGCCGATATCGCCACGCAAAGCGTGATTACGAATAAGCCAGGGGCTCACGGACGACATGAGGTCGTCAAGATCTACCGCCACTTCAACGAGCTGTGGACATTGGACGAAACAGGTGGCCTACTCGTCTGGGGTCCGGATGAGACGAGCACACCGAACCTGACGAACAACCCGCACCAGGCCTTCCGACTGCCCAAGGGCCATTCGTTCTCAATGGTCATAGGAGACGAGCTGTGGCACGCGACCGGCAAGGAAATTCGCGTGTTCGCTCCAACGTTGGATGGACAATCTCAGTTCCAAGTTCTGGTCCGCGCTCTCATGCAGGACACTGCAGGCGAAGTAACTTCGGGGACCCAAGTGCGGTCGCAACCAAGCAAAGTATTCTTTGGCCACGCCGATGGCAAAGTGTCTATTTACAGCACACATGACTTTTCCTGCCTCGGCCTTGTGAATTTGAGTTCCTGGAAGATCAACACTCTGGCAGGTGTTGGCGATCATTTATGGGCAGGCTTTAACACCGGCAGGGTCGGTGTCTATGACATGCAGTCAACGCCTTGGGCTGTCAAGAAAGACTGGCAAGCTCACGAGAAGAATCCGGTCGTCAAGCTCGTTTCAGATGTGTCGAGCTGCTACCGACTAGACCGCCACCAGGTCGTCTCACTCGGTGCCGACAACATGGTCCGTGTCTGGGACGGTCTACTGCAGGACGACTGGCACGAGATGGAGATGAAGGCAATGGACACGCAGTACTGCGAGTTCCAGGACCTCAAGGTCTTGTGTATGACCTGGAACGCGGGTGCTTCAACGCCTCACAGTCTGCGATACGCGCAGGAGGACGCCGAGTTCATCAAGAGTCTGCTTACGGCCAACAGCTCTCCTGACATTCTTGTGTTTGGCTTTCAAGAGCTGGTGGACCTGGAAGACAAGACGGCAACAGCTAGTATGTCAAACTCGTATAACGTTGTGACCACTGCTAACGTAAATAGAACGCTTCCTCAAGGTCAAGAAGAAAGAGGGTTCCGATCAGGAGCGTATGAGCCACCAATACCGTGACTGGAGAGACTTTTTGCTCAAGAGTCTCGACGATTACATGCCGCCAGACTGTCTGTACCATTTACTGCACACGGCCACACTTGTCGGGCTGTTCACGTGCATCTTTGTCAAGTCGACACTTAGAGATCGTATACAGAACCTCAGCGCGGCAGAGGTCAAGCGTGGCATGGGCGGCTTGCATGGAAACAAGGGCGCCATCGTGGTGCGGTTCATGGTGGACGACTCATCCCTCTGCTTCATCAACTGCCATTTGGCGGCAGGTCAGTCACAAGCCAACAGTCGCCACAACGATGTGGCCGCTATCCTTGAGGCCCAAATACTGCCACCAGAGCGGGACCTCAACGCTCGTATTGATAGCTTTGTCGGGGGCGGAGACGGCACCATGATCTTGGATCACGAGCTCTGTCTGCTCAACGGTGATCTCAACTACCGCATCGACACGATGTCTCGCGATACGGTTGTCATTGCTGTCAAGCAGAACAATCTGGCCAAACTTCTCGAGCGGGACCAGCTCCTCGTGGCGAAGCGGCGCAACCCAGCCTTCAAATTGAGAGCATTCGAAGAGATGCCGATTACATTCGCGCCAACCTACAAGTACGATGTTGGTACCGATAACTATGACACGAGCGAGAAAAAGCGCGCGCCGGCATGGTGCGACCGCCTATTGTATCGCGGGGGTGGCAGGATCAAGCAGATAGACTATAAGCGACACGAAGTGCGAGTATCCGATCATCGGCCGGTCACTGGCCGATTCAAGTTCACAGTGAAGAAGATCCAGCCGAAAGCGCGAGCGATGGCATGGATGGATTGCCAGCAGAGGTTCGAGGACCTCAAACGGCACGAGATCAACGATGACAAGTGAGTAACGTTTGCTGGATGGAAAGAGGCTATGCTGATTACATGTAGGATGTTGTACTTGACAAGTGTCATTGGCTATGATGAAGCCACAGCTCGAGTCATTCTCCAGCCCGCAAACGACCGCAGAGACGCATGAATCCGACACACAGAACGCGACCCGAAGGAGGTGGCAGGACACGGTGAACCGTGAGTGGATGAAGGTCGAACACTTCTTTTTACGAATGGTGGGGATTTTCAATTTTAACGACCGGGGCCGGAAAAGGAACTTCACGAAAGGTGGATGGTATGAAAAAAAAAAAACTCTTCAGCGTTCCACGACTTTTGGCATTTCATAGCGCAGCTTAGACAGAGACAGGAGGGGTGTGAGAACAAGAGACGTCATGATTCATTCGGCCACAGCGACAAATGTCAGTGTTTTGGGGGTTAGCATCTGGGGTTGACGATTAGTATTTAGTGTATGCTAGGCACCGAGTAGAGGGGTGACAGCATGGACAAGCAGTATTGAAGAGAGTACTACCGAATGAATTGCTGAGATGGGATAACCGTCCTCTGTATGATGATGGCAGGGAAGGCTGCCTCAAGATGCTTATTGTGTTGTTGCATTATACCCTCGACCACGCGCCCGCAGGGATGGCCGATGCGGCCTAAGAAGAGCCTCACGCTAAGACTCAAGTCGATGTCGCTTACCTGGATGGTGGGCCACTGCTGCTGCCACCGGTGGTTGTCTACGTTGTCAAGCAGGCAACAGTTAGACGTCACAGGTGCCGCCGCTTGGGAAGCGGCTCGTCGGCGGTTTTCATGTCACTAGACAATGACACTTATTGACTTGGCCCAATCGAAGTGTACTATTCCTATTGCACAAGGAACAAATATTCTATTAATAACTAGATGATCCTGAAGCGGATGCCTGCATTCCTACAATATATGCTGCTGGGCTAGACTTTGCTTTCTGTTTGGGTCTTCGATCCGCGTACAAATATTTTTATTTTATTTTTTTATTATACGGTTTAATTTTTTTTCTTTTTTCTTTTTTTGCCTCTCTAAAAAAAATAGGAAAAGAAATTCAATTGAAACGACAACTGAAAGACACAAATCCACAGCCCCTCAACTAGATGCTAAGCAAGGCCTTGGCACCAGGCTCACTGCAGACGTAGATGACGTCATGCTCGTTGGAGAAGCCGTTGAACTTGGTGGCAGAGCACTTGGTGTAAGCGCCCATGTCCTCAAAGTAGAGCCAGTCGCCGACGTCGAGCTCTTGCTCGAAGGAAATGGTCTCGGTGATACGGTCAATGCCGTCACAAGTGGGACCCCAGACGGAGTAGCGGGTGCCCTCGCCGTCGGGACAAGCGTTGGCCGCCGGGGTGTCGTAGACGGTCGAGGTGCCCGCGCGGAGAACCTTGGCGACGGGGTGCTGGTGGTCGAACATAATGCTCGAGAAGTTACCGTAGAGGCCGTCGTTGACGTAAACCATGTAGCGCTTCTCGTTGAGGGCGGGGTCGTCAACAGTGCGACGCGCAATGATGTTGCACGCAATTGTAAAGGCCGCGGAGACGTAGTAGCGGCCGGGCTCGGCAATGATGTTGACGTTGCTGCTGGCGGGGAAGTACTCGTCGAGGGCACCGCGCAGGACGGTGGCCATATCCTCGAAGGTGTCGCCACAGAAGCCGCCGCCAATGTCGAGCGTCTTCATCTCGAAGCCGTAGGCGCGGCCCTGCTGGAAGACCTCGTAGGCATCGTAGACGGCTTTGTAGAAGGCCATTGGGTCCGAGGCACCGGAGCCAACGTGGAAGCTGACGCCGACGACGTTGAGACCGAGGTCCTTGGCCACGCCAAGTAGCTCGTTGGTGGCCTCCTTGGCAGCACCGAACTTCATGCTGAGACGGCACAGGCTCGACTCGTCGTCCGTCATGATACGCAAATAGAGCTCGGCTTCGGGGAAGAGCTTGGCGATCTTGCGGAGCTCGTCGGCGTTGTCAAACGTCATCTGCTTAACACCCATGGCCTTGACGTAGCGCAGGTACGAGGTGGTCTTGCAGGGCTGGGCGTAGATAATACGCTCAGGGGCGGTGCCCATGTTCAGGACCTGGTCAATCTCCGTCTTGGAGGCGCAGTCAAAGCCAGTGCCGAGGGCAGCGAGGAGCTGCAAGACCTTGGGGTCAGGGTTGCACTTCACGGCTATAATTTGGTCAGCGGCAAGGAGCAAAAGTGTTCAAAGAGGGGGGCTCACCATAGAAGGGCTTGACGCGCGGCAGGTTGAGCTTCCAGCGCATGTGCTGGCGATAGACCTCGCCAAGATCACCGACGAAGAAAGTGTCCTCGTCGCCTGGCTCACAAATCTCATGGTCAATGCTCTCGACGCGCTGGCGGAGAGCATCGCCGATCAGCTGCTTGGGGTTGACCGCGCCATGCTTGGAATGGTGGTGGGCGTGATCGACAAAGTGCGATGGTTTCAAGATTGGTTGATAAGTACTAGCATAATTGATGGTAGCTGGTGCAAAGTGCTCGATCGCGGCTGTTGCCATAACCATATCCCAAGCGGTTGACGGGGTGGCGGTTGGAGAGTTGTGGTGTTTGGAGGGTCGGACTGTTTCGACTCTTGCGTGATAGCAAGTGTGCTTCCCTATGATGGGGTTGAAAGTTGAAAACCTAGAACGGCAAGAGGGTTCTAGGGTGGTCGAAAGCGGTAGCAGACTGAACCCTCAGTGATCTGACGAGGTCTCCTCGACTCCCCCTCGGCGAGAGGAAGAGACTCTAGGCCCGTCCTATGCGGCAGCTGGTTGGGGGTGGGAGAAGACGGGGGCGTCTGGTGAAGCAAAGCGTCGAAGAGAAAGGACTCGAGCTCTTGCTTAGACTTCAGCAGGCGGAGGGGGGATGGCGTTGACGATGTGCAGAGTCTTTCGTAGGCTGAAATCTTGGTCACTGACGAAGCTCACGGCCAGGAAAGCCGTGTTGAGCTGTTGTGCCTTTGAATTGACCAAAGGCTAAGTCTGGCGGTGGGAGGGACCGATCTTATGGATCTGGGCTGGTCAGCGAATGTTCTATGAGGGGTTTCTTGGTTGTGTTGTTGACGAGAGTTGTGAGAGAGATTTTTTGTTGCTCGCTCGGTAATGACGATGCCCATGTGACAGACAAGGTCAAGGCGGGCTTGCGCGACGGTAGACTTGGGCGACGGCGGGCGGGTGGGTGCTTGATCCGTAATAGTGAGCGCGACGGGACCTACCAGAAAATAGTAAACCTGACGGTGAGGCGAAACCAGAGTCCGGGTAGCAGGATAACAGTTGCGGTTGCGAAATGCTTGAGTTGCTGCGTATTGCGGGTTGACGATGAACCTTTGGGTAGAAGGGCTGGACTGAGTGTGTGGCGGGGGGAGTCTGTCAAAGGCTTTTTATTGCGACTGACGCGAGGGTTCAGGTTTCGTCTGTCTTCGGTGCAAGTCCTTTTGGGTCCCTTGTCAGTGGAGTGGGATCGAGGTTGGCCACTCCTCGGCGCACGCGCACACACACACACGCACGCACGCACGCCGTATTGTAAACAGTCAGCGTAGGTATCCACAATTATTTCAAAATTTTCCCCCTCGGCGGCCCGACGAGCAACAGTAGCTAGCTCTTGCCTTGCAAACCTCCCAGCACTGAAGCTTCCCGGCCAAGGTTCAGCCCGTCTCCATCCAAAATGATGCTCGCCCGCTGCGTCTCGGCCAAGCCCCAGGCGTACCCAGTTTCAATATCCGTTTTATTCAGACGAAGAACAGATTCAGGCTGGCAAGCCCAACCATGAACGGGGACCTAGACTCAGGCTCTTCAGGTTCCCAATTGTAAACGCGGTCCGTCCGGATCCAGAACTTTCGGGTACCTCGTCCAAGTTTGACTACCTCAGCCGTTTGCCCATTCTTCAGCATGAGGTCATGTATGCAGTACATCCGATCGCCTCTGCAGCTGGAACAGGAGGACTGCAGAACAAACTAAACTACCAGGTATCTACTTACCTAGGTAAGTAGGTAGACGGTACCTGCTTAGGTACAGTAGGTGCCACAGTGACAGTGGATGTTTCCACTCGCTAAACAAAGAAAGCAAGGTTACGTACCTACCTAGGTAGGTGGAGATCTTGTATTTGTACGTGTACAGCTGGTCATCGCCCTGCCATCGGGATCCCCATCCACCGGTTGGACGTGGAGGGCCTCAACTTGGAGGGTTGGCCATGGTTGCCATTCATCCACTACTACCTCGTACAGGTACATTACCGCTGCACTGTTGAAAATGAACATGGACCACGCCCTTAAGGCATCACGATGCGCCATAATCTGTCAGCAAATGACTCTTGCACCCTCGCTACAGCGTACCAGCCACATCTCCATCATCGATCGCACTTATACACTGACCCTTTGCAGACCGCAACTTTGCCTCCTGCCTACAAGTCGACCTGGTGCTGTTGTCTTGTTGTCATTCCCTGTGCCCTTGTCCCGGGACCCGCTAGCTTTCGTTCCTACCTACTGTCAATATCGCGGCTGGTCTACCTAGTGTCCCTTCCGAGCCATAACCGGGGTCTTTGTGGGTGACGAGCCGTAGACACCTGGGCTGCCCAACCCTAATTCGCCGTTACAAACGCCGACACTCCCTACCATCACGCCGTGATTCAATACAGCAGCCGGAAGGGCTATCCGCAATGGCAAAATGAAACAGATGCTGTCCAGACCGCTGCCGCCCATGTCTCGCTTGCTGGCCAGCATTCCGATAAATTCCCTCACACATGTCCACTCGGATAGCTACCATAATTAGCCTGATTCCGTGCACTCCAAGCACCCGACTCAAATGGGAAACTCTTGCTCCGCCGACTTCTGTCACAAATCGCCAGCACGGCGGGACATCGCCTGGACTAGCGGCCGCAGGCATAAGAAACAAGCCGGCACATGGCCTTAGAATCATGTATCATCTCGCCAATACTTTGCCGTGCGTATTTGCGGCACTGCTCTGGCTATCTTTTCCAAGCACTGGACTGTGGGCTGCCTCCCGTCTCCGGCCTCCTTGACTCATCCTTCGTGAGCCGCGTGCCGAAGTGCCGACTTCGGTTTCCATGTAAACCTTCAGTAAGCCCGTTCTGATTAGGAATCTACTGTGTGTAGCGCACGTTTGAGGCGCCGTGACGTATGCGGGGCTAACTCGGGTTTTCCGTGTGCAATTGTCCGATGTGTCGCTCGACGGGCCTCTGACCTTCTTTCATTGGACAAAGCTGATCAACTGGGCATGTACTCTGTGCTTTAGTCCGGCGATCCAATGCTGAGGATGTCGGTTCTGATAGAACGAGCTGGCCGGTTATTCGTACAAGTACAGAATCCCCTGGCTCGCTGTCTTGATCTTGCGTTGTCTAGTGGTCTCCAAGCCATTGGATGTGGCAGGAAGACGTATCGTATCTGAACGCGTATACATCAAAAGGCTCAAACAAAGGACCTCAGATCATCATGAGGTGGGTATAATTACAGATATATACTGTACAGATATGGTACATGGGCCGGAGAAAGTTCGAGCGGCCCTGCTGACTACTCGGCACCTTTGATGTCCAGCTCATGGACCTTCCAGGTGTCATCCACCCACGGGCGCTTCTCGCCCAAGAAGGCCACGCGCTCCTGCTCCTTCTCCAGGGCGTCAACGATGTACCTCTGCGCGACATCGCGCACCTGGTCCTTGGATACGTCGAGAAGCTGCTCGCGGCGCTTCTGCTTCATCTCCTCGGTGATGCCGGACACAAACCGACCCATGCCTTCAGCGTTCACCGACTGCGGCGCGTCGACGCCCTGGAACACCGAGATCTTGGCCTCCTCAAAGTCACGCTCAGTCCAAGCCTTGTCCCTGGCCCACTGGCCGGCGTTGCGCATGATAGAGAGTGTATTCTGAGGATTGGGGTCGCGGTAGGAGTAGAAGCCAAAAAGGCCGTCGAGGCCCCTCGAGTAAGCTCCGCCGCCATAGGCGCCGCCCTTCTCGCGGATCTCATGGTGCAGATGCTTGTGAGTAAGAAGCTGCGCTAGGATTTGGAGCGGAGCTCCATCTGCAGAAGTGTATGAAACGGTGGGAACGGCCAGCGAACCGTAATAGACCTGGTACGGCAACGGGAAAAATGACTTGATATTCCTCTGTAGCGCTGCAGGCTTGGATGCCGGCAACAACGGCATGTCCTTAGGAAGCGTCGACATGAAGCTAGTCAGGGCGCTGAGGTTGACGCCCGTGCTCTCGGCTCCGCAGGTGAGCGCTATGCGGAAATTGCCACCAGAGAGCGCTATTTTCTGGATCTGCTTAAGCTTTTCAACGACATCCACCAGTCCATCCGTTTCGGGACGGTTGGCGAGCGATGTGACGAGCTTAACCTGCGAGAGGCCACCGATCTGTTGTCTGAACCAGGCGTTCCGGGTGAGCCCGGCCTCAGCGAAACCGCGGGCATACTGGTGGCCAGATGAGGCAATATCGTTGACCACGCCGTCGGCAGACGCCTGGAGGAGCTGCCTGATGCGGAGAGCGGCCTCCGGGCTGTCAAAGTCGGTGTCCTGCACAAGCTTGCGCAGAATGTCGAACATGACCGGAACATGTCTGTCCAGAGCCATGCCCGTGAAAATGAGGCCCTCATTCGCTTGGTGGAAGTCAGTAGGAGAAGGTGTCGAGTGGTATCCCACAGACACGCCTCCCGTTTTAAGTTTGATCAGGTCCTCGAGCTGCTCCATAGACATATCCCTGGTGCCGAGACGCATGATGCTGTCAGAGAAGAGAGGAATCAGCTCTCTGAGTTCGTCAGGCAGGTTGTCCAGGGTGTTGATGGCTCTGAAGTAGGTCAGGCCGTTCGTCGGGGCCTCGCGCCACTGGATTTGCACACCGTTGGAGGTCTCGTCGCGAACGACAACCGGCTCTTTGCTCCGCGGAATATCCTTGACGTGAACGGTGGGCAGGCAGCTCAAATCTTCCGTGTTCGACTTGCCTTGCTCAATAAGGAGGTCCAGCTCGCGCTGCTCAAACTTTTTGCGTGCCGCCTCGTCGCTACCAGCTTCCTGGGACGCCTCCCGGATCTTGGAGGCCAGTCTTTCCTTCTCCTCACGGGCGAGATCCTCGCTAAAGGTAGTCGACGGCGACATTGTAAAGGAAAGAGTATAGTCGTTCAACAGGTACTTGTCGATAAGGCTTTCCAGATAGCTGCCCTTTGAGAGTTGTGCCTCAAATGCCGAGATGGTGTCATTCCACGCCAACGAATCAAAAGGGTCGACGCCCGTGAACCATTTGGGCTTGAGCCTGTGCAGCATGTTCATGCCAAAGTTGGCCGTCTTGTGCTTCAGAGCCAGCTCCAACTGGTGGAGGGAACCGTCGATCTTCATCCTGTCGAAACCTTTCTGGCGTACCTCCTGAAGGATGCGCTGAATCTCGACCTTGAGCTTGCTCACATCGGCCTCCTGGACGCCCGTCAGCCCAATGGAGAAGATGCCTAACTTCGCGGAGCTGTCGTAACCCGCGTTGGGACTGAAGTCTGTTCCAAGGCCAGCTTCTATCAGACCGCGGTACAACGGCGATCCGTAACCATCCATTAAAAGAGTGGACAGAAGCGCCAGGGAAAAGGACTCAACGACGTCTGAGGTGTCGCCCATGATCCACGAGACCGACGTCTTGTATTGCCTGTCGGGGTCTACCAGGGGGTCCAGAGGACCCTGAACAGTGACTTCCTTGGGACCAGAAGACAGGTCGATGGGCCTGTGAATTGTTTTATCCTCCTGTATCCTTTCGAAAGCATTAAGCTGGGCGTTGACCTCCTGGAGATGGTCTGATAGGGGCATATCGCCGTATGTGAAAAGCTTGGCGTTGCTCGGGTGATAGTGCTCGGCGTGGAACTTGCGCAGCTGTTCGTAGGTCAGGTCGGTAATCTTTTGAGGGTCACCGCCTGAGTTGTTGATATCGGGGAAGATGTGGTCCTGGAAACGAATGTAGAACAGGTACCCGGCATCGGACATCTGACCCTTCATCTCGTTGTAAACGACTCCTTTGAAGACGAGATCGCTCTCCTCGCCGTTGGCGGCTTGAGGATTCTCCGGTCCAATACGCCATCCTTCCTGTGTATAGTCCGATTCCTTGAGGAGAGGATGCAGCGTCGCATCCATGTAGACCGACATGAGATTCTTGAAGTCCTGAGAATTTGTCGTCGCAAAGGGGTAAAATGTGTGGTCGGACGCGGTGAAGGCGTTCATGAAGTTGGACAACGTCCGCGGCAACATTTTGAAGAAGGGGTCCCGGATGGGAAACCTGACATGTCAATACATGAGGGTCTCAAGGCTGCAAACCACATACCTCTGGCTGCCGCACAGGGTGGTATGCTCCAGGATATGGGGCACACCAGTATCATCCGGCGGGTTTGTCTTAAAACCAATGGAAAAAACATTGTTGCTGTCTTCGCGCGCAATGTGCAGGTAGTCAGCGCCGGTCTTGTCATGCTGAAGGTGCAGAGCTGTCAGCTCTAGTTCCGGAACGTGCTTCGTTCGCAGCAACGTGAAGCCGTGGAGCTTGTCGCCAGGCTTGGGGTACTGAGAGAGCTCAGTGACAGCCTTCTTGGCCGTGTTAACGGCGTTCCGCAGCATATTGACAGGTGTGAGGCTGTATCAAGTTGGCCTCATGGTCCGAAAGAAAGGTGCAATCCGAAGAATGATTATGGGAAGGGCCGACAAGTGTAAGGTCCTCCTCCAATGCTGACGAAAGTCGGTAGCCACTGTGGATCGCAGCAGGCAAGTGAATTCAATAGGTTGCTTGGAAATTTTTAGCCGTGGCCAGCACTGCTTGGGAGACGCTACGCCACCGGTGGCCGCTATTCGTCATCATAGTGGGTGTGGGGACCGTATTCATCAAAACGCTCTCTGAGGTACTACCGAGTCGGCCGGCCTGCGTAACGCATTAACGGGCAGCTAACAAGGTGCAACCTCCAACTGCGACGCTGCCCAGTAGACCGGGACGTTCCATGTTCGCTAGGCAAGTACCTCGTCGCACTTCTCCATGGGCACTCTATTCTCCTCCCTTCCACGCTGAACAGGAATCGCGAAACCAAAGAGGCAGTGGAATCGCCGGCAATTTTTTTCTGGCCCCCCCTCCCCCAGTATCGGCATCCCGTATCGATAAATATAACCCTTACGCAATACTCGGGGCGACTCCAGTCAAGAGTTACTGGCTTTGCCGGTCGAGACCCAGAGAGGTACTCGAACATCTATTTGGGTACGAGGCCCTGCAGCACATCCTCCACTCATTTTCTCGAGTACAGTGGCATTTCTAATGCGCATGCCTAAACACCAGACTACGCTGCCTCACGCTAGCTCATCGTTCCGTCCAACGTCAGAATTCTACCCAGGGTGTCAATGAAGGAGAGGACGACGATTGCCAACACGCCGCCGACTGCTGCTACGAGTACCGCCAGACCGCCGCGGTGAACCGCCCATTTTTGCGACGCCGACTCGCTCTATCGATCGAACACGAATGCGAAAAGGCCTTGGTGACGATAAGGCCGCAAGGAACACACACCACTACCCCTCCTTCTGTCTCCGAGTAGATGCCCATAAGCCAGGCCGACGCCGCGATGTCGAACGGCCAGGATGTTCACGCCCACCCGCCGGCGACGTCCCTGAAGAAGGGCAAGCAGAAGAAGGCTGTTGACTCGAACGAGTCGGCGAAGCTGCTCGCGCAGCGTATTACGCAGTTGGAACAGGAGTCGGCCGGAGAGAAGGACCAGGAAGCTGAGATTGGTGCGTACCGCCTCCCATCGTGCCATTTCCCTTCCCGGGCGGGCCGAATCAAGTATGTCGCGTGAGCGTCGGTTTCACGACCTATGTATGGGGTGAGGGGTCGTTTGTCAGCCCCGTTGCAAAACCCATACTCGCAATCTTTAAAGAGCCCAATCATGAACTGGCACTGACCACATGCAGAACGTGAGGTCAAGCGTGCGAACCGCGATCTGGCCCAGCAGGTGGCTAAAATGAGCGATCTACAAAAGATCGAACACCTGACCCGACGTTCCAGCGAGCTGCTGGCCGACATGCGTCGTGTTGAGCGAGAGAATCAGAAAAACAAGAAGCGTGGTGACGCCCTGCAGAAGGAGAAGGACGCGAATCGCACTGAGCTCAGCAAGACGGTCGGCTTAAAGGAGAAGCTCGAGAAGCTCTGCCGGGAGTTACAGCGGGACAACAACAAGTACAAGGTTCGTACACCCCTCATCTGTCACAAAGGACCATGCTGACCTTGCCAGAACGAAAACAAGACCCTCCAAGACAATCTCAAGCACAATAACTCGGCCTACGACGAGAAGCACGCGGCTCTCCTGGCGAAGCTTGAGGGAATTCAAGAAGAGAAGGATCATCCGCGGAAGCAGGTGGTTGATATGAGCGTCGATACCCTGTGCGCCCCCATCGTCCGAGTCGTGCCAACTTGGTGACTGACTATTGTAGATTCCGCAACCGTTTCAAATCCTTCATCGAGCAGTACGAGTTGCGAGAATTGCACTTCCACTCTCTGATGCGCACCAAGGAGCTGGAAGTGCAATATAATATGGCGCGCTATGAACGCGAGAAGAAACTGGCCGAGGCCGAAGCGACCAGAGCCCGGAATCTCCAAAATCAGGTGCAGACTTTCACAAAGACTGAGACTGAGCTTAGGAATCAACTCAATGTCTACGTTGATAAGTTCAAGCAGGTAGGACCGCCGGATATTGAGGGAGACGTTAGGCTGAGCTTCGCTGACAGCTCAAGGTTGAGGACACGCTCAATAACAGTAATGATCTCTTTCTGACGTTTCGGAAGGAAATGGAGGATATGTCTAAGAAGACGAAGCGTTTGGAGAAGGAGAACGAAACGATGAAGCGTAAGCATGAAGCCACGAATGCAAACATCATTCGAATGGCCGAGGAGCGTGAGGACTGGCGTAAAAAGGCCGCAGAGGCGACGAAGCGGGCCGAGAAACTGCGTAGCATTATCGAGCAGATGCAGCAGCAGGGTCGCAAGGTCCCGCCTGGAATGGCGGCGACACTGGAGAGTTGCTACTCGGACAGCAACGGCCACATGGACGGCGACGGCAGCGACTACTCGGACGACGAGGAGGTCGAGGACGACCCAAGCGAGTTCGACGAGGACACTGAGGAGGAGCCTCAACCCGCAGACGCAGAGCCGCCCCGGCCGTACGGTCCGGAGCGGCCGCCGGCACCCCAAGCTACAACGAATGGTCACTAGGAATCCGGACGGAGGAAGTCAGGGATCAGCATCACGGGCGTTTCTTCGTCCACGAGTGAGAAGGCCTCTTTGTCGCAGGGCCAGCCGAAGCCACAAATGACCCTTCGGCAGAGATCCGCGCGTGTTCTTTCACGTGTTTCGCACTTCTGCCGAAGCAAGCTGAGTGTGCTTGTGTCAACATTCACTTAGAGCATCTTTGTGCGACTGCATGCATTCTTTGGTTCACCTCCTGATCGATGTGGCTCTGAGTACAGTCTAGGGTCTGGAATGAGGTCGTGGCCAACAGCACTGGCTGCGAAAGCAACTCGACTCAAGTGAGGGAGGGATGCCACGGCCCTCAGCGTCTCCTGTCCGGTTAGCCGTGTTTCAGTCTGTAGCAGTGGTTCTGAATATAAGCCATGTATGTCTGTCCATGTCTGGCTGTGCTTGATTATAGATATGGGGGGTTTTTTTTTTTCCTTTCTTTTTTGAAGGGTTCCAAAACTTAGTCAAGGTACAGACGGACATTCCAGCCCATCTCGGCAGGGCGACAGAGTGACGTCGGCCTCCAGGGGTCGCAACCGTGCTGAGCCACGCGAATGGCCAGCCAATACAGCAGAAGGTTTGCAATTTCCCCGGATCCACAACGCCAATTCCACCCAAGTATTCCCTTCACCAGCCACTCCAAACAGTGCCGATAAGCAGACCCAGTGTGCACGCACGTGCCATGTCATCGATAATCCGAAGGCCACTCGCCCCAGTACCCTACCCGCAACCTGCAGCGAACCCAAGTGAGAGCGCCGCTGCAGCCAGTGGAATGCTGAGCCCAACTTTTAACAGCTAGAGTGCGGCTGGCTGCCTTTTGTTTCCGGCGCACTTGAAACCAACTGCTACTCACCCAGACCACATCCCATGGCTCCCTTCAACTCCCGACCATCTGCTCGATCCATCTGATTTCTGCAATCGATACCACCCAAGAGGCCTCGACAATAAACGGCCTGGTCGGGGCCGCCCGATTGTAATCTTGGTTGACCTTCTATGCCAGCGACGTCCGTCTACATCACTCTGCAGCCATCACCATGGCATTTCTCGAGGACCCGCGTCTGCGCCAGCGCTGGAACCAAATCTCCCACAACGCCGGAGAAGTTACAGAGAATGCGGCCGCTGGTATCTGGAGCTTTCAGCATCACTACATCAACCCGTGTCTAGCCTCCATCGCCAGCTCGTTGGAGCAATGCGCTAATCCCTGCCTGGGTGACCACGAAGAACGAGCAAGGAAACGACGAGAACGAGACCGCACAGGTGGCCGGGCCGAATACAGTTTCGACTTCTACGACGACTGGTATGCAGAGGACCAGGACGGCGGTTTTCTGGGGGGCTGGGGGAACGACGACTGGGATCGTCTGCTCGCGGGCACTGGATCACAACGAAAGCATGTGGGCGAGGTACACGACCAGCCCAAGAGAAAACGAGGAATGAGCTACGGTACCCGGGGCAGAGGGAGCAAGGTTTTGGAGTCCGACCCGACCGTCATCCCCAGCACGCAACCTATCGGGTTTCTAGGCAAGCTGCCGTGGAAGTTGGGCAAGACGCTTCGCTACAAGCCCAGCGCGGCGGATCTGCAAGACCACCCGCGGCAACACGGCGAGATGGGCATGGGCGAGACGGAGCCTCTGCTTGGGGTTGATTCTGATGACGACGTGTTCCAGAGCCGGACCGCCAAGACTAGAAATCGAAGTGGGACGACGGGGTCCGGCGTATCGTCGGACTCTTATCGATCGCGGGGTGATCTATTCCCAAGTGATGGGGAGGGCGAGGAAGACGCAGTGCCGCTGGATGACGAGTTTATGGTCCTGGACAAGGTTCGGGATGACCGCAGCAGCAGCCGGACGAAAGCTAGCAAGGGTAAGCGGCGCGCAGACGGTCGGCCAATGTCAAGGACGGTGTCACGAGCCACCATAGATTCAACCCATTCGATGCTTAGTCCAGGGGCGCAGAAAGGTTCGATAAGCATACCAACAACGCCCGACACTCCGATGGCACTCTCAATGGAAGTTTCGATGGAGGAGCTGCAGATGGAGGAGGAGCGCATCCGGAGAGAGGAAGACGAAGAGGTAGAACGCAAGCGACAGGCCGCATTGCAGCTTGCATCCGAACGGGGGCTTCACGATGGCTCTGAGGGCGGCACAGGCGAGGAGTCGCACGTCAAGGTTGCCCTGCAAGTGACGACGACGAAGTCTATTAAAGAAATGACGCGTATATCCGAAACAGAGGGTACACACGGCGAAGCGCCGGTGATCCGGTCGACGCAGGAATCGACTATACCGACCGAGGAGTTTGTACCCGCGCGGTTACCAAGCTTTCGGTAGCTCAGTAGAGCACGGTCTTAAGGATGCAGTCCTTGTTCCAGTATTGTATAATAGTCGGCAAACCCGACGAACTCATGTCATTATGATACCAACGCGAGCATGAGGGGCAACAATTCAATAGAGCAGCGCAGCATCAAGGCGTGCAATTCGACTTCACCTCTACATTGTGTCTCTGTATCTCATACAAGTTTGCGAGCGCCATGTGTTGCTCAAGACAGTCGCACCGCCATGCTTTCCATTAGGATTGCCTCACATGCGCTGTGGCGGCCGGATTCAACCGCCCGGAGCCGGGGCCTGGGTGGGCGAGCTGCTGTCCCAAGAAGGCAATTGCCTCGGTGTGTTTCCCCGCAGCACAACTCCCTAACCCCACACTCTCCCCGGATTGCCTAGGTAAACTAGTTACGACACGCTTTCCACCGTCATGGTGTATGGAATATTAATAGTTGGATGGGGATCGCATTTATTATTTTAACATTTGTTCGATTCTGTTATCCCCGTGCCACAACAGCTCCACACTTGTGTACTGCCGTCCCCTTACATCTATGGATTTAGCCTCGCCGTGGTGACCAGACATATTTTACACACAACAAGATCACAATGGCTCCCACCGGTCCCATCACTACACCGATAACCCAGCTGTTGGGCATCCAGCACCCGATCCTCCTTGCCGGGATGGCACGCACGTCCGGTGGACCTCTCGCGGCAGCGGTCTCCAATGCCGGCGGCCTCGGGGTTATAGGCGGTTTCATGTACACGCCCGACCAGCTGCGCGAGATCATTGCTGAGATGAAGGAGAACTTCAAGTCCCCGGACCTGCCGTTCGGTGTTGACCTCGCCCTGCCACAAGTTGGAGGCAACGCTCGCAAGACGAATCACGACTACACGGGCGGCAAGCTCGACGAGCTCATCGACATCACCATCGAGTCCGGCGCCCGACTGTTCGTCAGCGCGGTTGGCGTGCCGCCCAAGAGCGTCATTGACAGGCTGCACGCTGCAGGTATCTACGTCATGAACATGGTTGGTCATCCAAAACACGCCATCAAGGCGCTTGATCTCGGTGTCGACATTGTTTGCGCTCAGGGCGGCGAGGGTGGCGGCCACACGGGCGACGTGGCGAACTCGGTTCTCATCCCGGCCGTTGTCGACGTCGCGCGGCGGTACCGGCCCAAGATGCTCAAGGGAGGACCCGCGCTCGTCATTGCTGCGGGCGGAATTTACAACGGCCGCTCGCTGGCGAGCTCGCTGATGCAAGGCGCCGTGGGCGTGTGGGTCGGCACACGCTTCGTGGCGTCCGTCGAGGCTGGGTGCAGCGAGGAACACAAGCAGGAGGTTGTGTCGTGCGGGTTTGATGGTACAGAGCGCACGCTTGTGTTGTCTGGGCGGCCGTTGCGGATGAAAACAAATGACTATATCCGCAAGTGGCATTCGCAGCCAGCCAAGATCAGGCAGCTTTGCGACGAGGGGGTGGTCCCGATCGAACTTGATTTTGAGCAAGGCAACGACATTGACCCGCCGCATCTGATGGGTCAAGTTGCGGGTGCAATCGAAAAGATCCAACCTGCTGGCGAGATTGTGGACGAGATGGTCAAGGAGGCAGTCGATCAACTGAAGCTCGGGCAGGTGTATTTGGGTCAGCGGAGCAAGCTATGAAAGAAGTTTGTAAACATGAGGTACTGTATGATCTGCTCGAGTAACGGGATAAGTGTAACTATATGCAAATGGGTATTGTCGCTCCAGATGTGCGCCGCATTGGTTGGTGTCTGCTGCTCAGACGAACTCCCCCACGCGGACTTCAGTGCCTCCCCACCCCTGAGCCAAGCCCCTGACCTCGATCCCTATCCTTTCGGACTCCTCTTTGGAATAGCCCAAATTCTGCTGTAGATCCTCTGGTGTTTGCAGCTCCCGGATGTTGGGGAGCGGTATTGGGCACGATGTCTTAGCTCCGAGAACTAATGTCAAGGAACCTAGGCCGGCGCGATATCGGCACTTCAGATACGATCCCGGGTTCCGAAACGGCTCCTCGCAGACGACGATGACATGTCGGGCCCCACGCACGGGGAACCCGCCGCCGCCCTTCCCCTCGATGATGGCGATGGTGTCCCTCCGAAAGTCTATGTATATGCGCCGGTCTCCCCAAGTATTGAGTCTGACCAGAGTATACCGCCGCAGTGCTTCACATCTGGCTTCGTGGTTCACGGATAACAAGGCCGGATTGGGCGCGTGAGTGGCGAGCAGCGTCCGAGGCGGCAAAGCGTGATTCCAGATCTTGAGACGGAGTTCGGCGGGCAGCCTCGAGAAGGGTGCGAAAGAGTGCTCGGGACCGCGTACCTGTAGGCGGAGCGAGTCGAGGTTCTTGGAGAGGTGTGCTGTCGTACGCCGGGTCTCAGTTGTGAGGACGTCGGTCACGGTCTGCGCGAAGTGGGCGAGGAAGACGAAGGGGAGCAGTGGGAGGGGCATCCTAGCAGTTGGGAAGCCTGTTGCCTCCCGTTTTGACTTGTGGGAGAGAGACATGGTGGGATAGAAAAGTGTCTGGTTGGGGTTTTGTATGGTGTTGGAATAGGGGTCACAATTCTTCCTGCCACCTCCTTTCCCCCTACTGCTGGGCCTTAGTATTGACGAAGGACCCGTTGCCCTTTAAGAGGTCTGTAACGCTCAAATACCTAAGTGTAATAGGGGCGAAGATTTGAGCCCAAAAGGAAAAAGGAAAAGAAAAAAAAAAGGGCGGAAAGATCTTGGCTTTGTCGGGATCGTGCGAGGCGACTAGGCCAAGCCCGAAGATTCGGTGCTGCCGGTGTGACGCCGGTTGAGACGCCACAGCAGACAATGGTGATGTTCTATTGTCAGACCAATTATTAGCAGTGAGAGTGATTGTCCGTGATTGGGAAGGCGGTCCTTGTTAGTACGGGCCTGGTGTTTGTGGGTTTCTTTGTTCAGTAGTGGCTCAAAGCATGAAAGCTATGGAGGCTTAGAGACTTCAAGCTGCCTGATATATTTGGGCGCTTATTTGCTTAGATTGCGCTTTAGAAGGGGAACATAACTTGTCGACGTTTGATTCGAAACCACCCTCTTGCCACGAGATGATGACTCGACAACTTGATGGCAAGGGGCCGAAGCTCCGGATATTATACCTCAATCAAGACTTTGGCCCCAATCACAACCTTACTTGTCTTGAATAGAGTCGGTTTGCCACCGTTGTCTGTGGCTGGCATGAGAGTTACATCAGAAAGATCATCACGGAGAGGGCGCTCCCACCCGCAGGAAACTCTCGGGAGGTGATTAGTGCCTGCTCGTAGTGATTATTTGACAACACTGAGGTATCAAAATCTCTGGCAGAAATTTCAGACTGTCTAAGACATCACCGCTTTGATGCCGCAGCTGACCGAAACCAGGTGGTTGGGATGTACAGAAGAAAGGTCTTGACTTTCGCGGATGAGAGTGACTGTTTCACTTACACCACCAGTCCTAACGGCGGACCTTGAGACAAGACTCGCGTCATCAACATTCCAGACTAATGGCACAGGGTAGAAGCCACCCATATAATATAGGCAGTTGAAACCGATGACAAAACACCGACCATATTGATACGGTACATGGGCCAGTGAAGACTCGAGCAGGAAAAAAGATTAGTCTGACTGCGAATATTAGGACCTAATTCGGGTATCTATTATAGGAGCAAGTTGATTTCCCGAGAACCCAGAATTTGAAAGCACGGAGTCAATTCTTAAGACCTATGTACCTGGCGTATAACCTCCAGCACGAACACCCTCAACTTTGTTGAGTAATTTTGTTTGCAGCGGTGGTCCTTGAGTTCACGGAGCCTCGGCTTGATAGAAAAAGAGGGAAAATAGCATTCAGCTTTCCCAAATACACAGTTTAGATGCCTCATTCAAATACTCTCAACTTGAGCGCCCGCCTAGCCTAACGAACATCTGGGACGAACCACCTCAAAATGTGCTTTATGGCCACGCTGGAGGAAAGTACATTCTACAAAGCTTCCGTCGTCACTTCCAGAAGGAGAAAAAGGAGCACCTTCCTTCTTGTTTCTTATGAGTTGGTTGTTTCCTCAGATCCACTTCTGGTCTACCTTGTCTTTGCTGAACTTTGATTTTCCTTTTTCAATCCTTCCACTCAACAATCCAACCATCCAACCACTCAACCCACGTGGTGGCTTTATACCCCAGATTTCAACCTGGCCAAATTATTTGGTATCGTCGACCATCAAGACAAATCTGGTACATGAGATTACATCGCCAGTTTTCCGGCGTCAGTTCTCGCCATAACTATCTGCGTTCTCTTCGGCCTAGAACATATACGTCTGCTGTCAGCATGTCCACCAGCGAGCATTCTATGAAGTACGCCGGCCAGATGAACGCCCTAAAGAAGCCTACCAATCTCACCGAAGGCAAGAAGCTGGCCCCTCATGAGGCAACTCGCTGCAACGTCTGTGGTGACATGTTCGCCAGCTTTGACAAACTGATGGCACACAAGCGAATGGCGATGAAAGTCGAGTATACCCACATCCACTGTCCTATCTGCACGCTGGATTTCAAAACAAGCGATGCCAAGGACAAACACATTCTCCAGGTGAGCTCTCATACTTGAATATTACCCCAGGCCAGCGGTTGTACCCTTGGGCAACACTGACTATAGCAGGAGCACCCGCAAGAGCAGAACTTAGTCTGCCCAGGCTGCAAGAAGACCTTCGTCCGGCTTGCTGCTTGGATGAGTCATTTAGAGCATGATGAATGCAATTCAATCAGACGACAGGACATCGACAGAAACCGCGCCCAGAAACTTACATTCACCCATGAGCTTGAGAAACGTAGCGGTTCCCAATTCGGTGACTACTTCCCCGCGTCACACCCAAGTGTTGAGTCTGCCTTTGACAAGCCGTACATGGCCCACCCGTCCTACTTCAAGCCAGATGACTTTCCGGATCTGAAGGAAGAAGAGGGTACAAATGATGTAGTCAAACGGAACACCGGCCTCGTAGCAAATAAGACAGCGTCGTCGGATGACATCAACAACCCATCTCACCCAAAGTTTGACCCTCGGAAGTACTATAACGCTTTCACCGGCAAGTTCAAATGCCCACAGTCATCTTGCAGGTCAGTGCCTATTTATACAATTGTGAAGATAGTGCTGACAAAATAATAGGAAGAGTTTCGACACAAGCGGTGCTCTCATCATCCATATGAAGGCAGCCACCTCCCACTACAACGCAAAGCTACAGTGCCCAGGATGCCTCCGCTACTTCAGAGACGCGTCCTCTTTGACGGCGCACTCCGAGTCGGAGACTGATCGTTGCTCCATTCGACACTCCGAGAATTACCGCAATTACCTTGACCAGCTGACTGGAGGCATGGCGGATGTGAATGACAAACATCGGGACGGCACGGTCAAGTACGAGGTTAGCACGGAGGCTATCATCAAGTTCGGCACCCAGCAGGCTAAGAAGGCCACGGAGGACTATATTGAGAAAACGCAGGCTGATCAACAAGAATATTGGGCTCGCAACCACCCTGTTTGGTGAGAATCCATATTAGGGAGCGATTATTCTCAGGGCCATGGACATCGGAGGTCGCCCTAGGCATGCAGAGAGGACATCAAGCTAGCTTGACTATAGCGATATCAACTCAAGGCTACAGGGAATTATTCAAGTCGTTGAATGCGAAGGGACTCCTCAGCATACTTCCAAGACGACCTGGTTCAATTTGATGCGACTAGTACGCTGGCCGAATTGGTAATAAACTCAATTCCTTAGAGCCATGCCTATGGCGTGGTCGATCTGCAGGAATGGCTCGCTGCACGACCTTCTTAGGTCGCCCGAGGTCTCGTTCTCCAAAGGCGATTGCGCACAATGTGTGCTGCCGTTCTCTTGATAAAAAATCGCCGCAACGACTTCTTACTGGCAGACTTCGGGGAAATGTGAACAGGAACTATTTAGAAGTCCAAGACCTAGAGGTCGTGCGAGACTGTTCCCCGATGTGGCGCGCAGCCTGATGACATTTTACGGTTAACAATTAGCCTGAATATACAAGAGCTGTCGTGGGGGCAAATCGAACGAATTCTGCGCGGCGAAGCTCATTCATCAATGCGTAAGCCAGATCACTCATAGTGTCGCACAGCGTGTCTCGTCACTGTAAACCGTCATATCTTGTGCGGAATGCCTCTTTGGTCTCACTCTCTTTTCTATGAAGCGAAGGGGCTAGCTCTACCATTCCACCCTCTAGGTCTTCGTGCAACGTCAATCAGAGTCTTCGTCACTGTAGTCGTCACCCTCGCTGTCATCGTCATCGTCGTCGTCGTCCTCTTCATCCTCGCCGTCTTCAAGCTCCTCGTCCTCGTCGTCGCCCTTCAGACCATAATCATCGTGGAAGTAAGCAAGCTGCTGCACATCCGTCTTGTAGCCCATTTCCTTGAACGCCTTTTCGATGTTCTGTACGACTATTAGCTAATCACCTTTTCAAGAGGTACACGTGGATTCACCTCTTGCAGAATCGGAGCACACGTCACGACAACGTTGTTCTTGCCCGGCTCAAATAGCGGCATGATAAGCTCCTTTAGAACCGTCTTGATCTGGTCATTGGTCACATCACGAACGTCTCGCATGATCTTCTTATGCCAGTCGAGCGGCAGACTGCGAACAACACCGAGCATGAAGTTCTGCGCCGCCGCTGACGCCATCGTCGATTGCTCATCGGCGAACTGGACAACGACCTGGCTGATGGCACCCTCCTTTAGGTGGCGGTCAATCTCGACCTCGCCCTCGGCAATTTTGCGAATCGTCTCACGCGACGCCGCAAAGGCCTTGCTGACGTCTGGCGAGCGGTACACCTTGTACTGGAGCGTGCCGGTGTCGAGCTCACGACCAAAGTAGGAACCGTAGGCCAGACCCTGACCGCGGACGGAGTTCCACAGTGGACCTTCGGTTGTCTCAAGGTAGCCAATCGCCACCATGATGGCGGGTAATCGTGGATCTTCAAAGGATGTGATGCCCTTGGCTGTGCTGATGCCGTAGGAGCTATCAGCTGTGGTCATGGGGACGATGACGGCACCAACAGCACCGGGCCTCTGGCCTTCATCAGTGAGGAGGGTGTGTGGCTTGATAATGGGGATCAGCTCATCTGACCCCTTGAGATTGTTGCTAAGTATGTCCCAGGCGGCGACGGGCTCGGGCAGGCGCGCCACGTCGGCCGTGACAAGAATGCGCACGTTGTTCGAGGTGAAGAGCGAATTGCGCAGCTGCTCAAACCACGACAAAACCTTTTCGGGATCGGAAACGATCAGCTTCTTGAGGCGACGCAAGTAGATGGCCCTAACTAGTGCCCGCTTTGCAACAGAGTACGACTCTTTCTTCATGTGAATGGACATGTCGACCTCCGCCGCCATCGATCTACCATCGCGCTTCAGCTCAGGAATGTCAGCCAGGTGTTTCTGAACGCCCGCCTTAAGGCGCTGGATATCAAAGACACTGTCAAACATCATTGTTCGAATCCAGTTGATGGCGGTGGAATACTTCGAGGGCTCGATCTGGAACTGGATCATGACGCCGTCGGGATCACCGTAGTCTCTCGTAGAACGGAGGCCGTAGCTGATGGTGTCCTGCTCCAACTCCATGACGACCTGCTCGAAATCGACCTTCTGTCCATCGCGCATGATCGGGGTGTTGAAGAAGTTGTCGTTGAAGATGGGTAGCAGAGGCTTCAGCTCGATCGGCACCTGCGACGTACCAAGGTAGACAGTCAGGTGCACAAAGTTGGTCGGCACGCTCTCGAACTGTATGAAAAGGGGGTCTTGTCCCTGCTTGGAGCCGTCGATAATCTTTTGCGCCGCGTTGTTGCAAAGACCGAGAGCCTTGGCTTTTCCGGACCGCGCCGTGTCGGACTCGATGAAGTGGATTGATTCGGTGCCAGGAACGGGCCATTGGTCGATCACCGATGCGGGAATTGGTTCGTCGTTCTTGGCCTTGGCGCTATCGAGGCGCTTCTTGAGGTCGGCAAGGCCTTGAGAGCCGAGTTCCTCCTTTCTCTTCGCCAGCCTCGCTTCCTCATCTTCCTTCTGCTTCTTAGCAAGCTTCTGGGACGGCTTGCCGAGGATGGAAACGTGAGGGGCGTCCGAAAGCCACTTGCGGAGAAAGTCTCTCCATTGAGCATCCGTCCACTTCTCGAGCTTCTCATACTCTGATAGAGACTCCAAGTCCCTGAGAGTGGAGCCATCCCGCTTGCCAAACAGATAGTCCGTGATGATGTTGTTGGAGTAGAAACCCTCTGACTCTTCGGCCTGAAACTTGACTTGCAGACGTTCACGGTGGATGCAGGAGGTCAGGTACTCCATGTCTAACGGCTTCGAAGCGACCTCCTTCAGTAGGTCGATTAGCCTCTTCTCAACAAACTCTAGCTTCTCCGTCTCGACACCGGTTGGCTGGAACCAAATGACCGAGTTAGGCCTCGCGTCCCACCAGTAGGAGACCGAGCTGGCGAGCTCTTCCTTTTCCACGATGACGTTTTCGAGTATCGAGACAGACGAGCCGCAGAGATACGTTAGCAGCACGTTGAGCGCAGACGTCTCGATGATGTCGGTGCAGCTAGGCCCGAAGAAGGCCACGGTGATCTCGCCGACGGACTCGTCCTCCTCGGGGAATTCGGCGGTCGTGATGATGGTTTCGCTGAGCGCAGGAGGCTGTGCTGAGTCGATCCATGGTCTGCACCTCACGTCAGCTTCACTACCATTTCGTAAGCCAAGCAGCTACCCACCTCTTGAAAGGAGAGTCCAGAGGTGGAAGGTCATCCTTGATGCTCTCCTCAAACTCGTCGAGAATTTGAAGCAGATTGTCGTGGTCTGCCTCCCCGATGATGACCACGGCAAGGTTGCGGGGCTGGTACATGTCCCTGTGAAATTGTCGAATCCGGTCGGGTGTCAGGATACGTAACGCCTCGGTCATGCCACCTGTCTCGTAGCGGAAACCCACGTTTTCAGGGTACAGTAGGCGACGAGCTCGAAGGTCCATGATCTCGGCGCTCTTGAACTGAACGGCCTGCATCTCCGAGTACACCACTCCGGCATCGTTGCCCTCGCCGTCAATGTGGTGGACCTCAGTCACGCACGCTTCATCGGTGAGAACCGGCAAGATGACGTGTTCGAGATACACGGGAAGAATCTGAGAGAAACCCTCCCATCCCGCGCTTTCAAGCGTGTAGGCTGTGTGGTCCACCGCCGTCCAGGCATTCGTGCCAGAGTAGGCTCGAGAGGCCAGCTTGTCGAGGAGTCCTTTGTAACGATAGTTCTTGGAGCCCATGAAGACCAGATGCTCGAGGGTGTGAGGGGCGCCAGAGTCATCAAAGATCTCGGTTGCGAGGGTGAAATAGCCGTTGGTCTTGGGGCCCTTGCGATCGGCCACGATGACCTGCATGCCGCTCCGCTCGGAAACATACTGGCTGATTTGACACGGGGCGTAGTCCGTCTTGAAGCTCTGTACCTTGCGAAACCGCGGCTGCGACGTGCGGTTCTCTCCGGGCGACATACTGTCCAACTCAGTGTGTAGACTGCAGAAGGTTCTGCGTGAAAATCAGTTTGGTACGGTGCTTGGCTGCATGGTATAAATGCAACGAGGAAATATAGAAAACCAGAAGAAGGGCATAGTCAGAGGGTTTATAAGCAGCCACATCAAGAACTCCGGGAGCTCAGGGAGCCACCGTAAACAGCTGGACCTTTGTACGAGTCTCGTGATAACGGGATGCTACATCTCTTATCCAGAGTTGGAGGGGTCATCAGTGCCAAGCAATAGAAAGGGGCGGCGAGAGCAAGAGGGTTGGTAGATGAAGACAATCATAAAGCCGTCGTCCACAGTTTGGGGCAATTGCCGGTAAGATAACCAGAGTTCTGAAACGATACATACCCTGTACCGCCGGATAAGTCCTCTCCATAGTACTGGAGAGCACATCCGCTCAGTAGTGCGGCTGCAACGGTGAGCGCCACTTGGCTAGCTCTTAGGCTGAGCATGTCTCTATACCAGACAGAACTCCGTAGTGTCTAATCCGAGCTGGCGAGTTGTCGTGTTGCAGGCTCGTAGCCAGAGTAAAGTGATAGATGCGCCATCATGACGAGACATACGGCAGGCAGCGAGAGAGGACACGTGAACCAATCAGGAAATTTGTGTGGATGGTTGGGGGCAGAGCAGTGAGACGGATGAAAAGGAGGCACAGCAGCTTACCGCACAGAATGGCAGTCTTCCAGCCTGATGACCAGAGACAAAGAAGACCAATAAGCCAGCCGACTCGTGATAGGATAATAGGTAGCGGCTACCTAACCGCCTGTAAAAGGATCCTGGCTCAGAGATGGAGGAGGGGTAGCGACGACAAACACAAACAGTCTGTCTGCTGGTGCTTCTGGCGATTCCTGAGAACTAGACTGAAATCGGGAAATATTTGCGCGGCGCTTGTGAATTGCCGCAACTATTGAGTCGTCGCGGGGCACAATCAATAACAAGGTAGGTGTCGCTGGACTAGACGATGATCGCATTTGTCCATCTGCCCCTCCATCATCCAGGGCAAGGGACTGGTGGGGTTTGTCCTTATTTTCTGCTCTTCGCAAAGCCATTGACGGAACAACGACCACCGATTGGTCGGCTGCCGCGCTCGGGATGGTGAAGCGCTAGCCGCCCGGGATAAGCTCGGTCGGAAAGGGAGGATACGTACCGTCGACAGCATCGACTGTGACGTGGGTTGTGCTTTGTGACAGCTATGCAATCGGTGTCATAATTGCCTGCAGTTTGTCACCCAGTTTAATGTGGCATTACCACGACGAGGCAAGCTCCTCCATAGCTGTCGCTCACCACAAACACTGTGAAATTTTGGGAGAATTTCAATACCCTACGTCAGTCAGCCACTGCGAAGTAGCAGTAAGTGCCACCCAGCCGCCGCATCCCGATCCCGACCACGATCCTACCGGCCACGATACCGAGAGCTTCGCAAAGCTATACGTAGCTGCAAAACACACGTTGGACACTGGAAAATGGCTGCCGATACAGATCCGCATGGCTCTACGCGACTTGGAAAGGCCTTAATATCATTCGCGCTCGACGGTCACTTCCCCGACGAGCAAGCGTCTTCGCTGTCGCTGTCTTCTTCCGACTTGTCACCTGCGATCGAGGCATTGGACAGGGTGAAAAGGGATTTGGAGGTATGCGAGATTTAATCATGGGCCACAACCTCTTGGTATTGACGCATACATAGTCCGAAGTTCACAAGATCAACGAGGAAACCAAAGGGGACGTCAGCTCCTGGGTAAACAACGCGAAGACGCTACAAGAAGACATCCTGCGATCCAAAAGGCTGGCCGACGATATTGTCCGACAATCAGAGGCCCCGCTGGTTTCGGGAAAAGCCATACAAGATGCCGAAGAACATGCTCGGTTTCTCGAGAAGGAGGTGATTTATACGCAACAGCTTCACGACGTGCTACGAGGCATACATCATGCGAATGAACTTCTGGGCGAGGTTGAGCAGGCAATGAAAGAGCGGCGGATCATTGACTCGCTTCGGTGGTTGGAGAGTATGACCAATCTATGCCTATACATATGACGGAAGAGCTGACATTCGCAGAATCGTGGGCAGAGCTTGACGCAGTTCCCGTCAACAAGAAGGCTTGTCGAGTCATGAGGCTGCTTGATATGCGAGCATTCGAGCTCAAGTCGCACGTTCACGATGTTTTTGACCACGTATGGGCGTCACTCGTTCACACAGACCTAGAAGTTGGGTCTCTTGCTATCTACGACAGACTAGATGGTACTCTCCATATCCCTTTCTATCAGCTTTTCGGGCGACTGATAGGTCGTAGGCGAGCAAATGACCCTTTCAGAAGCAATCATTGGCCTCCAAGCCTACAAAGAAGTCGAAGATCGAATGTCGCGACTTTGGCATGATGTCGACAAGGCCATTGTATCTCCGAGAATGGATGTCAAAGCTTCATCACTGCCTTCCATCCGAGCTAATGAGGCAAGTCTTAAGCACCATATACTGTTATCGCCGCTAACATAAGACAGAATGTTGTCGAGCTTCATGGAGAGGCCGGAAGGTCCATTGATGAGCTCTTGACAGACCTCCACAAACTGGTCGGTTTCCTAGCCAAGAGATTGACGCCTGAGCTCCTGATGTTCTTCAGCCCCATCATGATGAGCGACATGGTACCAAGGCTCATTCACGTGTGGTTGGATGCAGCAGTGCCATCAACGCTGAAAGATCTCAACCAGTTTCAGGCTGCCATTCAATCTGCTCGGGGCTTCTGCGAAGTTCTTGAGGCCAACGGCTTCACAGGGTTTACGGAACTCAAGGAATGGGTCGGTAGTGCTCCGTCAATATGGCTTGCCAAGTGCAGAGAGACGGCGCTCGACTCTGTCAGAGTCAAGATGTCAAATGGTCGGTTCCCTTTTCGTTGTTTTTTGTTTTGTGAGGAGAGGGGTGTGGATTTTCTTGACTTCTTTTTTACGTTGTTTCAATGCCAATTATCAATGCCAGGCTAATATTCTCTAGGCCTTGGGGCGCCGAAACAAGTGGAGAAGGTCGAAAAGCAGATGGTGTCGCGTTCCGAAGGCAAGGAGTTGACTGCCAACGGCGTAGCTGGTACTGCAACAGATGATGACTGGGGCGCTGCATGGGGAGTCGACGATGATGTAGAGCAGCCGGCCGAGGCAACTGACAACGCCCAAACCACTCAGGAGGAGGACGATGGCGCTGACGCCTGGGGTTGGGACGATGAAGATCAGGCCACGGGAGATAGAGAAGAAACCACAAAGCCGGAGCCTCAACCAGCAGACGACGAGGACGACACTGTTGATGCTTGGGGGTGGGGAGACGAGACGACAGAACCGCAGCTCGAGCCCAAGTCTCAATCGACAGAGACTCAGACCAAGAAGCACAAAACAGCGCCGGCTGAGCCAGATGAGAGCAGAGAGATGGTTCTCAGAGAAATATACCATATATCGTCCATGCCAGAGCCAGTGCTAGAGCTCATTCTAGCCATTCTGGAGGATGGCGCGGCCCTGACACAGCCAGAGTATGTCGTGGCCCGTTACTAGACGAAGCGTAGCTAACGATTAACAGATACGAGAGCAGCCCCGTGGCAGCCGCGGCCCCGGGTCTCTTCAGTCTGCCGACGTTCGCGCTGGCCATGTTCCGAGCAGTATCGCCACACTATTACTCGCTCGACATTGGTGGGAATATGTAAGTGGTCTCCTGAAAATCCATACTCAAACTGACGAAAGTAGGTTTCTCTACAATGACGCCATGTATTTGTCTGAAAAGCTGGCCGACTTGGCGTTAACATGGAAGGCCCGGGAGGACCTGACGACCCGCGCTCAGAACATGTTGCGCATAGATAACGACATCAAGAGCCTGCAGAATTTCGCAACACGTGCATACACCAACGAACTCGGGATACAAAAGACGGTCCTTCGAGACCTTCTAGGCGGTGAGCAATGGGCTGGCCTGGGCTGAAAATTGCAGTACTAACGCCGATGCACAGGTGATCAGAGTCTTATGCAACAGGAGGAACTGGACAGCTGCGTGGACTCGGCAATGGCACGGGTCCGATCTCTGGCTGTGACCTGGGAATCGATTCTGGCGCGTTCGGTATGGTGCCAGGCAGTGGGGTCGCTTGTCGATGGCATCTCGTCCAAAATCATCAGTGATGTAATGGATGCGTCGTCCATCGGCCAGGACAATGCGTACAGGATTGCGCAGCTCATTGCAAAGATCACTGAGCTAGACGACCTCTTCCTGCCGTCGAGATTGACAGGCCAGGGTCAGCAGCACGAGGCAGACGAGATTCCGACGACGGCGCAGTACGCAGCTTCATGGCTCAGGCTCAAGTACCTGAGCGAGGTCCTTCAATCCAATCTTAACGAGGTCAGGTACCTTTGGAACGACAGCGAGCTCAGCCTATACTTTTCGGTTGACGAGGTGGTCGATCTCATCGAGGCTAGTTTCGATGCTAACCCGCGAATGAGGGAGACCATCAAGTCGATTCGGGAGAACCCAAGCCCCCTGCACGACTAAGGGGGGCCGATTGATCCAGGAGCACGAGAAAGACGACAGAGGGTGGCCTGAAGGGCAGGGAATTTGGATGAGAGAAGAAAGAGGCATTTGGCGTTGCTGGCGCATTGCAAAACCTCGTGAACTGGCTGCATCCAAGTTGTGTCCTTCGATATCGATCAACCATTGTACCCCCCAAAACTGGTCGCACCCTTCTAGTCTAAGTTCACACCTGCCCCTGAGATGGAGCACACCCCTCCCCTGTTCGCTTCCACGTCTTCTCCACAAGCACACACCCCTACCTTCCACCTGTTTCTCTCCACATTCTCCAACGCGACACGCTGAGCCCTGTCAGTCTCGGCACCTTCCACCCCAAATCTCCACCTTACCCCAACTCGTTGAGGAGCGTTTCTTCTGCCTCGGTACGCAGTAGGGTTTTTGATTCGTCTCTTTTATGTTTAATTCCCTCTTTCGAGGTGTTGAAGCAACAGTGACTGCATCAGTCAGCCGATCTCACACAAACAAAACATAACCTTCAAACCCCCTCCCCCTTTTCCTTTTCATATTCCTCTAAGGATGCAGTACTTGAGGCATTTGACCGGCGTGTAAGTAAAGGAATATCACCTGGGGCCTCTTATGTCATCAATCAAGCGCAGTCATCTGCTTAGCCCCGAACTCTACGAACAAGTTTTCCCCCTCCCACACTACTAGGAGACTTTCCCTCCCAGCCGATGGGAAGGACGCCGAGAAAACCCCGACGTGGCACATGGCGGAAGGTTCCTTGCATCCTTCACCATTTCACTTTTGTCCGGCGAGCTACATTACGTGACAAGGCGCTACTTCAGTTAACTAAATGTTACAACAGTCCGAACCGTACCGCAAGCCTCGCTGATCTTCGCTGCCCGTCAACATCCCTATCCTGTCAAGCGCCCAACTCAGAGTATCTCTGGGTAGCTCGTCGTGTGTGTGTGTCCGAATGAACGAGTGGCATCCAGGACCTTTCTCTCCGACAATTCATCGAATCACCTGGCCGTAGAGATACTCCACGATACTTCCACCTGCCTTGAAGCGCTGCCTTGGTCATGTTCAATCCCTTTCTCCAAACTCGAAGCACGTCCACATCACATCCTCCGCCCCCGCCCCGCGTCCATCTTCCCAATCCGTCCGTGTAATCATTTCATCCAGTCATGCCAAGTAGTGTCATGTGCGTTTGACTGCCCCTTGCTGCTCGTGTCCTCCCCAGGCATGTGCAACCCGGGCGTGAGTCTTCTTCTCCCCGGAACCTCCTCCAGGTGGCATGGCACCGGCCGGAGGTATCTTGGCGGGGTAGAAAAGTCGAAGCATCTTTTAAGGGGGGAGGTTGTCGTTCCATTGACCAATCGCCATGCGCGCAGAGAACACCGGTCTAGCTCGCTTTCTCAGTCTCTGTCCGCGGCTGATTCATGTCATCCCTCAGGATTCCGGGAAAGCATACAGGTGTACGTTCGCCGACGGTCCGAACATTCGCCTTCGCCCCCTCTTTCGCCGTCCTGCAGCTTGGTAGAGTGGATGGGGAATTCGAATGTCCATGGCACCGTATGGGTGACATGCCCGCAGGTTCCTGCTATGTGGAAACCCAGACCAACTTCATCACACGCCCGTCCCCCGGGCTGGGCCGCTCCAGCGCGGAAATTGCCAATGTTGCACCATTTCTACGCGATTTCCACCTCATTCCATGCCCAGAAGTGACCGCGTTCCGACCCCAGAGACCAAGGTATGTCGGTGTTTACGGCGCCCGTGGGGAAACGGGGACGTTTGTCTGACACCCTGTACTGCAAAGCATGAAAAACCTGCACCACTATCTCAGGAGCATCGAATAACTGACTGACTCTCTCCGACAAAGGGGGCAGGAGAGCACGGAGCACGGAGCACGGAGCACACACCCACCCACACACATACTCCATCCATCCATCCATCCACCACCATTCCGACTCGGCCGTGACCGTCCACCCACCGGACTTGGGCTACGTGGTTTCTTGTCCATGTTTTTTTCTATATCGTTGCAACGACATCACATGGACAGCACCTCAAACTTTAATCTCCCCTAACGCACACACACACACACACACACACACACACACACACACACACAGTATACAATGAGAAACTAATGTAAACTGTCTGGTCTCGAACGAGCTACTTTGTCTGGCCTGTCCATGTCTTTTGCATACGCCCCGAACGCGTATTCGCAAGCGGCCCTTAGAGTACATGCCTCAATCGGTCCAGTTCGCTTCGCCGCCACCATGGTCTCTCACTTCAGGACTGATCCTCCCCTCACGGAAACTCAAACACGCTCACACACGCACGCGCTCCCCCTCCCCCCATTCAGCCAAACCTCGACGACAACACTTTCCCAATTTCCCTTCCATGCTAAGCCATACCTCCAAGTTCAAAACAATGTTGATTCAGGTCAACACCCCTAAGGGAGGGGACCAGATCACAACCCCGAGCACGACCGACTCAGAAAGTAATTCCCTTCCTTCCCAACATAAAAAAAAAAAAAAAACAAAAAAAAAAACAAAAAAAAAACAAAAAAAAAAGAGCATTCCATCATGACCCATGAACAGACAAACAAGAATACACAAAACGGCCCGTCAGGATCCTCCTTCTTATCGCTGAAAATGCGGCGCATGCCACACTGTAGTCCAGGCTCGGCGAACTCCCGACTGCCGTGAAACAGACTGCCGTCCCATCACATCTCCTCACGTCACCTCACATCAGCGTCTGCCTACCGATGGATTACAAAGCAGATGTATTGTGGTTCCCATCATTTCAGAGTTGGAAGCTCATATGTTATGAAACTTATGGTTTTTGTTTCGCGCCAGTTGAGTAGCGTAGAACCGCGGGTGGCGTCAAATTTCTCTCTTCATCTCATTCCCAAGTTTCGTGGGAGAAAAGCAACATTGTCTCATTAACTTGAAAACGTCAATTCGCTTCCATCAAAAGAAAGCAACCAGGGACACCGGTGCAGGATCCAATCCTCTAGGTTCGTCTGTCTGGCCACACCCCTAAACATTTAAAAAACCACCGCCCGGTCCATCCATTCCAGACAATTATGCTTCATGTCAATGCTTAATCCTTCTATGCTAATCCCAGCATGCGGACCGTCCAGGACCTCCCTCCGTTATCCTCACTCCTTGTTAATCCCGCTCACCAACCAAGTCCTGTCCTTACTCAACCCCCCCGTGAGATGCATTCCAGGTCTCGCCATATCACATCGACGCAAGTGTTTCCCGTTGTGTATTGTAAAAGTCGAGTTATGAGAAACAAAAAAAAAAAAACTTTTTTTCCTATGGTCTTTTCTCGACTCTTGCTATCATCATGTCGGATTGATCCCAATTCTATAATGTTCCTGTCCATTCCTGACATGTGGTATATGCTGTCCGTTCCCTTCCAAAGTCGGCTCCCGGCCTTCAGGCTCTCGGGGTGACTGTATGCCTGTGAATTCGCCCGCCTTCCCAATGATAAGCCCCTAGAGATACAAAAGAAAAGAGAAAGAGAGAGAGAAAAAGCAACCCTGGTGGTATCCCTAAAAACCACGCATCCTTCAAGGAAAGCGGGTGAAACGAAAGAAAATAGTCGTAGACTACTCCAGGAAGTTCTCGTCCATGCCAATAGTACGCCGCAGTCGAATGCCAAAGGGGGTATTGATAGTTGATAGCACTAGATCCAAGAAATGGCGCACTGAGAATTCTGTCTTTTGGGTTCGGCCGTGTCGTGTCGCCCTAGGGATGCAGTGCAGGGCCCGGGCATTTGTCGTTAAATCTCTGTCGATACTGATACAAAACTTGGGAATAAAATGAAACAAATTTATGCCAAGAAGCGAAGGGTTCCGAAGACTAGCCTTCGTAACCCGATTTGTCCATGCTGGACTTCGGGCTAATATTGTTGGAGCGCGTGCCGAATGTGTTGAAGACGCGTCCGACTCCACGGGGCTTGGCAGCGCTGATTGTATCCGACTCATCGGAATGCTTGATCAAGACGGTCTGAACGGAGTCGATGTTGATGCGACAGAAGAGGGTCGAGAAGAGGTATTGCTCGCCGTTGTGATCGAAAAGGGGGAGGGTGCGATAGCCGCGCTTGAGGCCGTTGAGCTTGGCGGTATGCGTAGCAACGGGTGGGCGGTCGTTGTAGCTCTCGCCGTTGTGGGAAAGCTTGACCGACCAGCGAACGAAGATGAGCTCGGGGAACTTGGTGGTCACCTTGAAGGTGAATTTGCCATCGAAAATCGGGTTGAAGCCGTTTTCGGGGATTACGCGGGTCCGGAATTTGAGGGGCGAATCTGTGGAGGGTGCCTCGGTGGGGTCCACGTCCCGCTTATCCCTCTTGTCACTGGAGTGAAATACCTCAACCTCGACGTAGGGGTCGACCGTCTTGTTGTTGGGCATGCCGTTGGGTCGCATCAACTGCTGGGCCGAGATGACGTCGATGCTAAAGGTGACCTCCTGGCGTTCCCTGAAACCTGACCATTCCTGGGGCATCACCTTGATCTCGCGGAGTTCGCTGGGCTTAAGAACATATCCTGACCGGTCAGAGCCGCTCTCGTACATGGCTTGGTTGAGCTGCATGCCGAGATCGAACGTCTGCCAGTTAAGAGCGGCCATCTGTACACCCTTGCGCCAGTATGTGACGGGGTTGAAGTTGTTTGAGGTGATCCGAGTGCGATCGGGGTAAACACGCATGAGGTACCGCATGTTGTGGCGTTCGATGGCCCTCCGCTCTTCTTTGGACTTGCTGTTCCTCGTAAAGCTCGACTCCATGAATGAAAAGATGTGGTTGTAAGCCTTGGCGTCAGGGGCGTCGAACCCGCCAAATTTGAGCCCGGCGCAATACACACCCAAGTCTCCCAGAACTTTGACCGTCTTGTTTGAAGAGCGTCGGGGGGGACCCGCTCGCCTGCGCTGTCGTTGTCGCTCGTGCTGCTGCTCAGGGCGTCCTGCACCTCGCCCTCGGTGATGGTGTTGACGCGGCTCTTGCTCACGAGTCTGCGTGATGAGAGGCTGGGACTCAGAATGGGGCTCTGTGGCAGTGACTGAGAGGGTATGATGCTGTTGTCGAGCTGGACGGGCTTTGGATACGGCGAGGTCAGGCTGTTGCCTCGGCGGCGACCGGTCGTCTCCGCTGGCTTGGGCTCTGGGGCGGGCTGGGGGCGCTTGACCTTGATAAGGACCCGTTCCTTCAGCTGCTCAGGGGTGGGGAGCCTGTCGGATGAGTCGAGCGGCTCGGTGACGAGACGGGCGCCAAAAGTCTCCTTGATGATGCGAGCCATCTCGCCCTGCTGCTGGGGGTTGCAGTGAACCTCGAGCGAGATCCAAAGGGGGTACTTGGTCTTGACGAAGGCGTATTTGTTTATTGTCGTCATGGTCTCTTGGAAGCTGATGGAGGTGGTGAGAGTCCGGCCATGGTTGACGGTGGGCTGGCCATCAGGACCGTCCCAGCAGTCAACCTCGACACAGCGACAACCACGAGCGAGCGCTGAGATGTAGCCCTCAACGCTGGAGAGACCAGCGACCTGCCGGCCCATCAAGTACGTGTTATGGGAGCTGGAAATAAAGTACTCGTTCAACGGCCGGTCAAGGGTATACTCCTTGGGCTCCTTATGCACAGGCAGGTTGTAAGTCGAGGTCAGGAATGCCGCAAAAGCCGCGTCGCCCATCTTCAGACCGTCGAACTGGGCCGCGTCCGCATCTCTAGATTTGAACTTGCGGGCGAACTTGGTGTAGAGGGCCTCCCAAGCGGCCAAATCGGCATCGACGTTCTCCCCTTGGACATCGCGCAAGAAGTCCAGAAACTCCTTGATGGTGAGGCCCGTCTCTGGGTTCGCTGCAATCCGGTGGTAGATCTGGCGGATGTCGTCACGCCGTTTCATGTAACCGACAAACGTCTGGAATTCGTAGAAGTTCAGACGACCGGTGTTGGTAACATCGGCCGCATGGAATTTGGCGCGCAACTGGCTGGGAGACGCATGGATGTGAAGATTCCGGCAGACACGTTGTACACCTTCAAAGTCGATGTCGCCGTCGTCGAGAGAGAGCGGCTTCTCACCACCCTGCTTGGTCATCTCATTAAGCCAGTAGTCGCGAATTGCCCTGTCGTTAAACGCCATCAAGGACGCCATCAGGTCTTGTCGGTGTTTGGAAATGGCCTCGAGAGTTGTGACCCAGTTGTAGAAGGTGCTGGAGTCGTCGGCCACGAGGTGCATCATCTTGGTCTTGGACTTGTCGGGCACCGAGTACATGATGGAAAACCACCGAGACTCTTCGGTCTCGGGTACGCCGTAGTCGATGCGGTACTGTCGGATATCGGAGCCCGTCCTGATCTCCTTGATGTCATCGATGTATAGACACTTGTGGGGTCTACTCTTGTCCCACGAGATCTTGGCAGCGTCCGGCTCAAGGACCAGAATGAAGCGCTTTTTCCCATTCTTCTTCGAGACCTTCCTGATCCAGGTGCCCTTAAGCAGCTGAAAGGGTATGACGGGACCGGCGGTTGTGTTGGAAGGGGAGGTGGAGCCGGCGACGGAAGCCGTCGTGCTATTCGAGGACGATTCTCGGAGAGCCCCGTCAAGACCGCCAATCAACGACGGGAGATCATCTGTCTCATCGACGAATTCGTCGTCCGAGTCGCTATAGGCGGCAAAGTCAGGCGGGGCCGTGGTGTTGCTATCACTCCTCCTGCGGAGAATACCGGGGCCCACGCTACCATCACGACTGTTCGGGGCAGCGGATGATGTCCTGCGGCGGTTCTTCCAGGCCTTTGTCTTATTGGACAAACGCCTCATGAGGTTGCCGCTTTTGCTCACGGCCTCGGACATGGCGTTGGGACTGCCCACAAGGGTCTGGCCTAGCGAGTTGTTACTCGTTTTCCGTGAGATGACTGGCTCTGGCAGCTGGAAGGAGCCTGTCGGGAACTGTTCGTCGATGAGCCCACGTCCCCGGTGCTCGGGGGACGCCTGGACCGAGCTGTTGGTCGTCATTATGACGGCCTCGGGAGACATGATGGGGGAGCCCTGCTGTGAGCTCGAGGCTACCGAGGAGGCGCTGATGGCTGAAGCTGGTATGGTAGGCTGTTGTTGTTGTTGTTGGTGTTGTGAGTTGGAGGGAAGGTTGGTCTGGACATGGCTCGGGCGTGTGCGCCTGATATGAGCGGTCTGGGGGGTCATGGTAGGAGTGAAAAGGGGCGAGGGTGTTTGTATGTTTTGAGTCGAAGTAGGGGACATGATAGTCATGAGGGCAGCCTTCAATACAGGCGAGTTGGAGAGGTCCCAGGCGAAATCCAAGGTGGATGATCTGGCAGTTTATAGAGAAAGCGTAGCTGTTGGAGACGGCATCCTTGGAGAGGTGGTTGTGTGGAACGGCCCGTAGAGGGATAGATAATGCGGGGAATGCGTGGGAGAGGTCGATCCTGAGATACCGAGGTGGGTGTTCCACACGCACGGCGCTATCTGGCAGGCAAGGGTTCCTCCAAGAGGGCAGCAGCAGGCGTGGGGAGACTGATGATCTCTTCCTGCGTGTGTTGCTGCGCGGCGCGATGCGATGCGGCGTACCAGAGAACCTGATAGACCACGCAGGTGGTTCGTACCGGGTACACTGCAGGCGTGGCAGCGCAGGGCGGACGGGGAGTGTCGAATTGGGCCAATCGAGGGCGCAGGCGTCCGTGGTTTTGTCCTTCGAGTTCCTGCCTCTGGCCTTTGGGGGTTGGATTTGGCGGGCCCAGGCAGCTGTTGTGATGGCTCGCGGCGTGAGGGCGAGAGTGATGTGGCAGGTGGTATGCAGGTCGCTGATTCGGGTTTATTTCCAAGTTGGGGGAAACGGAACGAACAGCATTAACAGGCCGGAACGCAATGCTTCCGCAGCAGATGCTCGGTTGTTCTTCTGTGTCCTTGGCTTCCTTGCCGGCTGGTTAAAGTAGCAGTTCCAGGTCGCGCAGGCTCGTGCCCGGCAGAAGATCGAACGTGGATCGGGTGGGAGGTGATTCGGCGCAACGAGACCTTGGAGATGCTCGGAAGGGTGCGCAAGACGCAAAGTAGCAGTCAGATGACTCAATGAGCAAGTTTCTTGGATCTGGACCCGAGAATGTTGAACGGAATGTGAAGATTGACTTGGTGGTTTTGTTTTCGAGCGTGTGTGCCAAAGGGAAAGAGGTTGTGGTCAGCTGTTATGTAGTTGAAGAGGTAAAAGTCCAGTCGCCGGTGATGGTGGTGGTGGTACTCGTAGTAGGTGGGCAAATACGGTGCGTGTGAGACTGGCTGTGCTAGCAGACGGATGAAAGGTACGTGGTGGCAGTCAAGTCTTATGTGGGCGGGAGTGGCAGCTGGGGCCCGGGAAATTATGAGTAGACGGGGCGGGAAGGAGGCATAGCCAAGAGCTTTATTTTGGAGTAAGGGCAAAGACCAGCACAAAAAAATGTCAGGGTCAGGAGAGAGAGGGTGGAAACGAAGGTAAACGAGCAAGAGTACGGGTCCCAGAGAGGTGTGCTGGGTGTATCCGTAAGGTGTAAGGCAGAGCAGAGGATCAGGGGGGCGTACGCGGTAGAATGACGGCCAGGGCTGATCAGAGAGCGAGGGTGGGTGGTGGGCAGAGACAGTCTTGGTAGAGGAGTGAGTTGGGTTGGTGTGCTTGCAGGGAAGGTGTGGAGGTAAAACGGGAGCGAGCCAAGATGGGCGCCCCAGATGGATGGGTAAGAAGGAGCGAGGTAGGTAGCGTAGTACAGAAAACACACATGGCGTGGGAAGGTACCATTCAGTCGCGCCATGTACACTACGGTGAGGTAAGGGGGTACAGAACGTACACCGAGGGGGGGGGGGGGGGAGAAAAAGGGGAACGGAAAGGAACAGAGAGGCCAAGTGTGCGCGCCAAACTCTGGGTGGGCAAGGGCAAGGTACTGGGGAGGGGGGGGTCACTGGGTTTACGGATACACCAGGATGGGGTTGGAAGCCCAAAGGTTCGCGGGTAATGAGGGAGGACCGGACGAGGAATGCGAAAGAAAGATACGCGCACTCACGGGCCACAGGGGACATTCTGACGAGATACCCCGCCAGGCACCTACCTATACTAGGTAGACTATCTACTCGTACATCCTACACTTCAAATACACTGATACCTTTCCCAGCTTACAGTACCTAGCTGCAACTTGCAGGGGAGAAGCTGCCACGGCAGAAAAGCAGGAGGAGCGCCGAGGGGAGCCGCTGAGGAGACACGAAAATAAAAAGCGGACACCAAGGACGAAGGCAAAATTGGGCAGAGGAATAGGAGGATGACAGGACGTGCGCTAGGAGAGGGCGCTAAGCTCTCCAGAGCAAGATAAAAGTAAGTAGGTAGGTACGTGCTGTGTACTTAGCTCGCAAGGCTTGTCCCATGTCAGTCCGCCGTCGCTAGCTAGCAGTCAGTCAGGTCCCCTCACCTCACTCACCTTGACCTCTTGATTTGTTGGTCTTCTGTGTCTGTCCGTGTCGCTCTGGTGTTTTCCTCCGTTTTCCATTCATTCATTCAAAACAGACGGATCCACGAAGCGGAGACGCTGGGCTGATACGGCTATTACTGGGCTGAAAATGGGGAGGGGCAATTGAGGTTACAGTCACACACAGTCCTCTCTCTCTCTCTCTTTCTCTCTGTCTCTCTCTTCCTCTCCCCCTAGACCGTTATAGCGTGCAGGGTTGAGATGGAGACGCTGGGCTACGACGGCGACTGCGACTGCAACTTTGAATGGGACGTCAAAATGCAAAATGCCTTTAGGAGGCGCATGTACGAACATGGAGCCTGGGCTTGCTGGGCGGCCCTGGCCCTGGGACGACCTGGGGGAGAGAAGAACCGACAGGGGGAGCAGGGAAGGAAACGGCACGAATTTTGTACACAAGGGTTGCACCTGCGCCGCGCGCTGCAGGGCGGACAGACGAGAAAGGTCGACACCGGTGATGCTGATGCGCAGAAGACAGAAGACGGGGAACTGGGCAGAAACAAGCTGGGGGGAGGAGGGGACGGAATGTGGAAGGAGGGTGTGTCGTCATTGGAGCAGAAAGGGGGTGTGTCGTTAAAACAGTTGACGAAAGGACAGGGGGTTCCAGAAGACTGAGTGGGAGGGTACGTACTGAGCTACAGAACCACGTAAGGTAGGTAGGTGGTGGACAGCACGGGTGGGAAGGAGCTTGGTCCTTGGGCTTGAGGGGGTAAAAGAGTAGAAAAAGAGGCAAGGTGGACAAGAAGGAAATAAAAATAAAACAATAACACCACAGAAAATAAAGCAAACCCCTTTGTAAAAAACTTCAAGGCCCATGACAGGGAAGGTATTCGTTCTTCTGGCTTTAGTACTTGGGTAAACCACCTCCCTAGGTTAGGTGGTTTACCTGCTTGTAGGATGAGTACGTACCTTTTTGCTTGCACCGCCAAACAGGCTCCGAAAGGAAGGGACTCTCCCAAGGGAGACCTGAAGTCGAAGTCAAAAAGAACAATTCTATTCCTAGGAACGCCCCCCCTCCAAAAAAAAAAAAAATGTCGGCCGAGAGAGAACAGACAGGGGTCCCGCTGGCATGGAAAAGGAGAGAGGGTGGGTGTGAGATGACTCCGTCCGTTTGTGCGCCTTTTGCTAGAAGGGCACTCACTCAACAGAGTTGGAGAGAGAGACGTGGCCGGCAAGCAACACAACAATTGCCAGTGGCTCTCTTGTGGTACACCACGTACTGTTGCCGCGCACCTCTCCATGTTCCCACCTCATTTGCCTCCTTCTCAGGGGAGGAGCTACCTACGTACGTATTGTTGCCGCTTCTGCTGCCTCGCGACCGGTTTCTGCTTATACCACTTCCGTAGGACAAATGGTTAGTCTTACAGGATGGCAAAGGGGTACTCCCGTGTAGTCAGTACGTACTTGCATGCACGAAGGCAAGAATAGCCTTGGTGTTGCTTTGCCTTGTCGACATCCATACTATCGCACACTACGGAGTACACGTACATTGTAAACTAGGCAGGTTACTGTCCGCCTTATGTTGCCTTGTCGGCTCCTGCCATCCTCTGGCCTCCCTGTCCTGTCCCGTACAGCGCGAGTATGAGGCACATGTCGTTGCGGGACATCTGTGTACGTGCCGTTGCAGGTATTGCAGGTCCAAGCAGATGGCAGATGATTGACGACAATAACAACCGGTGAAGGACCTTGCAAGGTGCCTGCCCCTTCCTTATAGGCACGCAGCCTTCCCCGTGCGGTGAGCTCGTTGGCACAGCGTACCTCAGCGGTCCTCGTTGAAAGGGAGATCCTTTGCCGCAATGCGTTACCTTGCGCCGGGAGATGAAGGCCAACGCTCAGACACCTTGACAAGACTGGCTCGAGGGGAGAGACCACCATGATGGACGAAGGAATATTCAGTACTGTGTTGGTGCGAGCTCGGCAGATAGGTAGGCACCTAGGTACACTGCCAAATGCGTGTCGTGCGCGCGACCCGGCGGTAACTCAATACCTTGCTTGTTCCTAGCATCCTCGATACCTTTACACCTACCTAGGTAGGTACCGGTAGGTAGGTAGTGGACATGTATGAACGAACGTTTTGCCTCTCGACAGTCATTCCACAGGTTCGCCTCTCAATTATGCGATATTACTACTATGTACACACAGACGTATAGACGGACAGATGTAACAGGCAGTTGTCCAGGCACACATCAAAGGTTAGCTCCCAAGTTGGACTTTTCCTCTACTTTTGCTTTTCTTGTCTCTTTTTTCCTTTTTTTTTTTTTTCCTTTTTCGCTTACCTTTTTTCTGCTGGGGTCTGTGACGAAAGCCGATGTGAGGTCAGACTGACATGATGATCCCATTTCCCCCGCCAAAGCCAGGTGCCGAGGTACCGTAATTAGTGTCTTGTTTTCCCCATTACGTCGACGCCCATTTCCGGGCCCCCTTCTTACAGGCGCAAGAGCGATGGTATGGTTTCCGTGCTTTGGCGCTTCGTGCTTTCCCCCCTCCAATCATTCCCCGCGTGCCTACCTAACTATCTGCATCGTGAGTGCACTGTGCCTGTTTGATCAACGATGACGAGATTTAGGGATACGTACCGGACAAAGCCCGTCAAGGCATTTGTCGTACCATTCGCCTCGCGTGCCAAACATGGCCCTCTCTGCCATCGACCTCATATCCTCGTCCTCCGGTAACTCACTCGCCATTGAACCTCGAGCGCTCTCGTGTCTCGGGAACTCTACTCCTTTGTCGGTGTCCAGCTGACCTTAGCCTTTCCTCAGCTGCGACAAAGTCAAAATACACCACCTTGTCCTTTGATTCGCCCGCCAGCGGGAATTCGCTTGTTTCGACACAGAGGATCGGCGATAAATTACTGCCCATCACCTGACCCTGTACCTGGTATATCCAGGTTGCGCTTCGTCGCTGATTTCGCCGATTGCGGATTGCTATTATTGTCTCTGTATGTGCTGGCTCAGCCTGTTGGCGAATTCACTCGGACGGACGCGGGTAATTATCACTCGCTTCTCTATCTGTACGCATGCCTCCCACGCTGCAAATCATTATCAGTTCGCTCGCACGCCCTGTACCACCCGCACTCGGACAGCCTGGTCAGCCGGTTGTTGCATGCGGCCGTGGGGGGCATGAGCGACATGCCCAAGGCATACCCGGGTCCGAATACATGCGATACAGCCCAGCGCTGATGCTGTCAGCTAGCGGCCAATGGAATACATCCAGGTCACCGATGTCGCCATGCATTGCTAAACTACATCCCATCCCGTCTGACAACCTGTTCTCGGGTGATTGATTGCACGCCAACAGCTCAATCCATCTTGGCTGAGTGAGCCACGCAACCGCACACGCTTTCATAAGTCCTCCTCCACTGCTGTGACGGTAGCGCCGTTGTGCCCTCACCACCGGGTACCCGTCTCGTCCCCACCCTTGTCTGGCCCATTGCGATCCTACCGCCGCCAGCACCGCTCGACAAGGGTTCACCTCGGAAAGCGCCGCATCCAATCCTGAACTCGCAGTGGTGCCCCACGCCCCATCTTCTCGGTATACCGCGAATGGCTCATCTTCCGCTCATTACATCAGCACACATTCGCCTCCGCCCACAAGGTGCATAGTCCACTAAACTAAGATCCTGCTCGGTCAGGGAAACCCAAGGCGTTGACCGGTGGTTGCATATTACTGATCTGCCACCGAGCCTGCCACAGAATCCCTCAACTTCGATGATTTGATGTTGATCGGTGGATTCTCGTAGGGGTGGCACCTATTGTCCTTGGAAAGCACGTCTGAACTAGACAAGCCCCCTGAGGCGGCTCTGTAGAACGGGGGTCTCACCGTCTCGTTGGGGTCTTGATTCACGACAACGACGACGTCGCTCATTGCCCTCTTGGTCGAGGGCGATCAAGGCCGAGCTTGGTTTCCACGCCAGATGGATACTAATCCAATGGCTTAAACGCTCACTCGGACTTGCGGATGAACAGGGCCCTTTCATTTCTCGCGCGGCGTCTGGTATCGTGCCACGGCCTGCAATAATCGGCCACACGCTACTGCCACAGATCCAACACGCACAGTGGGTGGTTTAGAGTTCTGCTGGGTCCGAAAATGCATGTACCGCACTGCGTACGCTCCGCTGATTACTTCATCCTTGTGGTTACGACCTGCTGACTGCAACCGCTCAAGAGACGGGTAAACAAGTCTGGGCGTCAGCCATGGATGTAACGACCTTGCATCAAGCTAGAAAGAGAGAGAGGGAGAGAGCCGCAGGGGGGTGTTGTTTTGCTTCATCCCCCATTTCAGCTCCCCATTCCTATTGTGAGTCACTGCTGTTTATTATTCCTGAGAGACGAGCAGGATCTCCCGGAGCGCCAACGGCCTGACGGCCGACCCCCCCCTGTGTCTTCATGCTGCAGGGCGGGCAACAAACAGGGGGTAAAATTAGATGCATCTACTCATCCGCCCCGTTGGGATTCCCTGCCGTACCCTCTCTCCCCATATGGGCTCCATAAATGTGTGATCCAGCGACACGGGTAGCGGTCGCCCGACCGACGTGCGAGCAAGGTGTGCATGCGTGGAAGTTGTGAGGGAAAGGGAGAGAAAGGAAGACGCAGGCTAGTAACCGCACGCGTGCGCGCAGGAAAAGGACGCCAGGCCTCTCCAAGGCCACCATAGTACCACACTGCCCTCCTCGCTAAGCAACGACATACCTATACGTGACGTGGACGCCGTAAGAGGTAAACACAACGGCTGGCTGACGTGAAGCTGAAAACAGAAATCAAACACAGATCAAGATGAAAAAGCACGAAAGCATACAAAACAAGGAAGCAACCCGCTCATACGCAGGTTGTTCGCCTACAGGCCCAAGCTCGGCCAACTGAGACAGGATATTGTGTTGTGTACATTGCAATCAATTCCGGCGGACATGGACGACAGGTCGCTGCCACTCCCGCGCCACGCAGACGGCGTTTGTATGTGGCTAGGATTCATAATAGTGCATTCCACTCTGATTTACATCGGAATGGCAGATCCTTCGTCGCAGAATAAATAAACACTTGCCTTTTAAACGGACTCGGTTAGGAATTTTTGTTCGCTGTTCCTTTTTTTTTTTTTTCTTTTTTTTTCTTTTTCTTTCTCTTCTTCTCTATCTCTCTCTCTCTCTCTCTCTCTCTCTCTCTCTCTCTCTCTCTCTCTCTCTCTCTCTCTCTCTCTCTCTCTCTCTCTCTCTCTCTCTTTCCAAGAAGGAGCGACGTGTAGATGAGTACGTCGTCGGTATTACGACATGCCCCAAGATACCACCGGAAAGAAATGAAAATAAAACCGCATTTGAAAAGGACTCTAATGTATGAAGAGCACCCCCCAGAGGCCGAACTGTGAAGCGAACCTAGTAGGGAACCCAGGAACGCAAAGTGTGGGGTAACCAATTGGGGTGGGTGGTGACATCGTTACCGGTGCTCGCGGGAAATGGGAGCCACTCTCTCGGCTGGAATGGCAGAGATACAAACCTGAGATATGACCACATTCTGACCAAGGTTGGAGGCGGGCCCTGGGAATCTCCCTCACCCTCGATATCTAGTTTGTAGCTTTACGAACCCAAGGTTGACTGACAAGAAGCAACACACACACACACACACACACACACTACTCTCCCGCACGAGTGTGCCAGACCGTCTCTACCAAGGTCGATCAACACGCGTCGCTGGTCCTTTCCGGTTGCCCGCGGGGACGGCGCCGACGCCACACCCTTGATTAGTTAGGGAATGGGTCGGTAGGCGAGAAAGAAGGATACCTAGCAGTGGCGGCAATGGTCATCATCATCATCATCATCATGCGTTTGCGTGCTCCGACTAGCGTGTCTTTGTCTTGGTTCGTCGCAGCACACGCGCAACCGTGGCTTGGGGGAAGAAGGGAAGGGGAAAAAAAAAGATTGATCTATTGGGATGTATCACGGCTGTTCGTCGCCCGTCTGGGTGTGTGTATGTGTGTGCCTCTAGCAGGAAGCAGATTTTCAGGCGACGTGGGAAAAGCGATTAGGGGGTGGGGCTATCCACCGTCGTGCTCCTGTTTCAACAAGCAAGACGTAGCATTGTATCTAAATTACGGTACGAGGACTAATAACACGTATATTATTACATACATGCCTAGGTAGGTACGGTAGGTTAATGGGTAGTAGCGTAGAAGGGCCCTCGAGAAACGATGATGTACCCGCTGGGTACAGTACTCTAGCCGCCCTCTAGCACCGAAACCCCTTTGCCCAGCCAAACCAGCCCGGTGCAAGACGCCTGGTTCGAGTGAGGTTCAGAGATATGCACCAAAGAATCAGCCATCTCTGTTGTCTCTGGTCGTCACTTAGCGACATTGCGTGCATCGCGCGGCGTGAGAAGTTTTCCGTGGCTGAGGGACCCTTCACCTACCTACGCAAAACTCCCCGAGGACCGAGACTGCAACAGTACAACTGTACAGATAGTTTAGGAAGAGATGCTAGAGTAGCTTCCACGGTGCCGAGACAAGACATTGGGGGGGGGGTGGTGGAAGGGACTAGTAAGTGGGTAGCACCAGTGAAGCAACAGAGCTGCAGCTTCGTACACTGGGGACCACCAGATGCAGCCTTGTCGGCCTCCCCCCCTGTCTAACACGCAACTCCGCATCATCGGTGCCGTCGAGGTGTCACCTGAGCAAACGGGATTGGTCGACTGGCGCTTGATGACTCCTGGGAGGGCGGGTACACAAATCTTGCAGTAAATATGCTGTTTCTGATGCGCCGCTGCTGTTGTCTGTTGCCGTGCTGGCGAGCCTGCCCTGATGCATGCGATACGATGCGATGCGACTGCGACGAGGCCGCCGGCCAACAAGATGCCCAGATGCCCAACCCCTTTGGTGGCACTGGCTGATGTGTCATGGCAGGTGACCGACTGCCTTGCGACAACAGCGCCGTCTTCGTCCTTCCTTCTTGGCTGTGCTTGCTCTCACCGCGCTCCCGTCCAACCGTGACAGGAAGTCAGCGACAGGCCGCCCGTAACCACTCACGGGCGGAATCCAAGGGGTGCTCGTTCGGAAGCTACGGCGCTAGCACCGCTCATGCACGGCGTCCCTCGGGCTCCCCTCCTGTGCGGACGATTCCTGCTCGCTTGCCCGGAGGGGTCCATACACGCGTAAAACCATGGGCGACCAGGGCCGTGGTTGAGAGGTTCTTCAATGCTGCGTTTTGGCTGGTTGTCGGCAATAAGGTGCATCACACCGACATTTGACATCGTAGAGCAGCAGCAGCATGTCATGTGGTTCTCTGGTACCACGTTGAGCCAACCAATTGTGCGATACTGCAATCTCTTGCTTGCCAAGGAGAGAGACACGGTCTGTCGCCTTCAATGATCGGACGGACCGCCATGGTTCATTTAGCGGCCTTCGCGTTGACGCTGTCGTGAGAACCGACGTGCCGTCCAACAGGTGAGCGGCGGCGCTATGCATCCAACAGCAACGTCATGTAGGTCATTGGTAAACTCCTTGGCATGGCCTGTCATGTCAGATGCGCATGCCGCCCACAACGATGAGATGAACGGTAGGAGGGTCATGCGTCAGCCCGTTGCGGCGCGAAGCCTTTGTTCTGCAACCGAAATTAACCTGCCGAGCCAACAGTCGTTTGCTCCGTCGGACCGCCAAGATAATAGCAGCCGGAGGAGGAGGGAGGGGCCTTGATTGCGACTGATATTGCGGACGATGACAGCCAAAAGTCCACGTCAGGCTGGCATTCTCACAGGCCTGTCGAGCTTTGCTCTGTCGTGCTGTGGCCCTCTCCTGGGGTATGAACCGTGTTTGATGAGCAACAAAACGTTACGACTTTGGGCCCGCCCAAGAGTGGCAATCGGCCGAGAGAATCCCTGACGCCCCTCCCCCTTCCCTCGTCGGCCCGGGCCCCCAACCCAATATGCTCGAGCGCGTTCAACTCGCCTCAGTCGGTTGGCGTTGAGCCTCATACAACGTACTCACGGAATAAGGGTCCACGCCATGTGCTGGCTAGGGTCGACACCGATTTCAGCAGCATACAGAAGCAGGACATTGGCCTAACCGCTGTCTCAAGGACGAAACCCCTTTCCGGATGTAGACGGGGTCGGGATGGGATGTCATATCCAAGTGTGCGGACCGGGAGCGGTAAAGGGGTTTGTTCGTCCATGTTTTGTTGTTTTTTCCCCCTCCTCCCCGAGACAAAGTGTCACCTCAATCAGGTACGCGACGCTGAAAGCATGGGGACGACAGAGGGATTGGCACGGCTGAGATCCGGGAGGGTTTTGAGCGCCGATCTTATCTTTGGTTATTGTTGTTGAAGAAAGGGTACACTGTCACCAAATTCCAAGTATGCGGTTGGACGAACCGGCCCCTGTACGCTGGGTGCTGCTCATCGCCGCCATGTTTCGGAAAGAGGCTGCTGGATGTGGGTGCTATCCCGTCGATCTGTAATTACGGCAGCAACCTGTAGTCAGTCATGGGCAAATGTCTCTCGATAATGCCTTGGTACAAGGCCACAGGGGACGGGCTCGTTGGTTGACTACCTACCTACCTAAGTTAAGGGTTGAGAGCCCAGCTAGGTGATTGAGGTCTTGTCATTTCACAACCCAGGGGCAGAAATATGGGGGGGGGGGGGGGGGGGGGGCAGAGATACCAAACATGATTGGGCTCCCATTGGGCAAGCGGCGCTGGAGTGACGTAGTCTTGTCACTTTCTCGAAGCTGGTTCGAACAAAAGGCGGCCCATCAGGACAAGGGCGGGGACAAGGACGTCTCCGCAAACTGGGCACTGGTTTCTGGGTATCCGGTGCTGGAGATAATCCCGGGCCTCCGAGCAGGCAGCGCAGCGCGGCCCTGCACGTAGTGCACTGCGCTGCACTGCACCAAACCGCTGCCGAAGCCCCTCCTTCCCTAGTCAGGCCGTCAGGCTGGACTTGGTCGAGGGTCCCTGGTCGTTGGGTTGGTGGTTTTCTCGTCTTCTCGGGCTGCCGTCATCAGCGCCCACACAGCACGTACGACGTATGTACTGTATGTACGCCCCTAGCACGGAAGAGTGACCCCATGCTTGATTAGCTAAGGCGCCGAGTAGTGCATTACCTAAGCTTCTCAAGTGCCCAGGTATTATGCACCTACCTCCTTAGGTAGGTGCATCCAGGTACCTAGGTAGATTGTCATTCGTCCGTCTACCTGTCGTCTACCTATTGTCTACGTCGCGAGGGAGGGAGACATTGAATGGCGCCGGAAGGTGCGATCCCTGTTCTTTTCCGTTTACAAATACACTGATCAATCGTTGACGCAAGAAATCACACTCGCTGAACGGTGTTTGGAAGCTGGCATTCAGATGGCTATTTCCCCTTCCCGCCAATGTGGTGCAGTCCAACGTTGTGTGGCGCGAGCGGTGTGTGTGGTTGGTGTGCTCGCTGTCCATTGTACGAATAAGGAGGCGAGTTGAGAACCGCGAGGCCTAATGCGACCGACGGCACCCCCGAACTTGCCCATCTCAGCAGCAGGCGCGACAGGGGTGCCGCTGGCCATTGACAAGGGGGTTAACAGTGCTCTTACTCGGCTTCCCAGCTGGGATCGAATGGGAACGTCGAATGCTCGTCGACAGCGAGGTGGTCATTGCTCCCGTACCGTAGCACCGTAGGTAGGTAGGTACCTATCAACAATTCGAAATGGGGTCACGAGAGGCAATCCCAAACAACCACGTCCTACTCCCCGTCGCGAACGAATTGGACGTCGACAAGCCAGCAAACATCTCTCTCCCTTTCTCCGCCCGTCCGCTGCCTGCACAAGCAAAGCAACGGCTGCCTTCTTCCTCCACATACCTACAGTACATACATCCGTCCTTCTCATCGCCAGCTAGGGGTTCATACCCTCGATCCGGGACTACGATGTCGCAGCCCCCCCGGCCTTTCTATTGCTCCCTCACTCTTTGTTATTCACTGCTCGCCACGCATGTGCCTTGACACGACTGAATTGTACGTGGTACCGTACAGGCTCCAAAGGAAGCTATGCGATGCTGCATCGTCGCTGCGACACACACCATCATCGTCGCCGGATGTCCCGTTTGAGTGGAAGTACGGATAAAAGCCGCCCCCCCAAATTCCTTCACACGCCCGCGGTAGTTTTGCCAGGCTCTGCCTATCAGGTGTAACCTTCTGAGGTTGTGGTGGTGGGTTGTCTGGGTCACGATGCGGCGAGACGACCACAATCGACGCTCGCGATGCCAGAGGAATTCTCAGGTGAGAAACACCACCACCACCACCAGTAGTTGCTCTGTTCTGTATGCTTCTCCGACACACCCCCCTGCCAGGGGGAGACAATTTGCCTCGAGCTGAGTCGAACTTGGCCCCAGCTCAGACACCCCCCAAATACCACCATGCACCTCAACGCCAAGATGCGCCCATCTTCATTTCCTCTGTCGCCATCTCACATTGCGAGCATCCGCTCGGCGGCTCGGCGCATGCTCTGTGCTGTTGAAGCTACCATGAGCGGGGTCTTCTTTTTCATTTCGACTTGGTTTGTCGTTTTGTTTTCCGCGTTTAGGTCCAATCCATTGTGAGACCTCCAATTCCCCCCCCCATCCCGCCGCAACTCGGGTGTAGGGATCCAAGGACACGTGCTTGTCTTGTCCCCTGGCCCCAACGCAGGAGGGTGAGGCACATGTCCTCGGAAGTTACCAATCTTCCAACCGTATCGCTGGAAATCCTGAAGCCTAGAGAGAGATGGAGTTGTGCCAAAGCCCGCGGATGAACGGATTCGGCCTCGTCGGTTGCCAACCAACGAAAGACAAATGCCATGGTTCCCTCCCTTGGTAGGCGTACGCCTCCAGAGATGTATGGACAAGTCCCGGTCGCGGTAACGCAGGCTCGTCCGGGTGAGTTGCTTACATGATTTCCTACCATCAGGCAATTTCCCCAACTCTAGACCCCGTTGCACGTTGCCAAGCACAACGGCAGGATAATTCCGCAAGCAAGAAGAAGCAATTGATTATCATGACCGGTCAATGGCCGCAGTAGAGTAGAGTAGAGCGGGGTCACACGGCTTGCCAAGTGCAGTTGAGCGCCGAGTGTCTCATTTCGTCCGCCCTATTCACACAGTTCTCTCTCTCTCGTGGTTACGAATAGTCAACCGAGTTATCTTGGCAAGGCCTGTGTGTGTGTGTGTGTGTGTGTGTGTGTGTGTGTGTGTGTGTGTGTGGCTCGTCATTGACCTCGTACCATTCAAGACACTGCCGGTCTTGAACTCGACTTGCGGCCATGGTGTCAGCTTGCTGGCTGCATCGAGAGAGGGTTCCGTTTCTCATGATGCCGACTTGCCGTACCAAGCCTTGTGGTTCTCGCAAAGGCCGCGTTGCAGCCTGCTTGTCCGCCACCTCGCTTCCGCTGCCCGTCGGAACTCGTGCGTCAGGGCTGCGCGTAGTACATGGTAATTAGTGTGTACACACGTTATCGCCAGCGTTGATACGAGGGATTTCACTACTTGTTGTCCATGGCTGTCCAACGCCCTGTCTGCCCTGCCCTGCCCTAGGTAGGTGCCTTGCGCCACATCCTGAGCTAGCTAGGTATATACCTAGGTAGCGAGGGCAGAGACTTTTGGCTGTCGACCATCTACACCCCCTCCCGGTCTCGTATCATCAACCGCATGGGCACCACATGCGCAACTGCGCACAACTCGATTTTGTTGACAAGAAACAAAAATCATCGCAATCAACGTCAGACAAATTCGAGAGCTATTTTCAGCGTGCGCCCACCCAGAAGACCAAGCCCCATACGGCCGGCCCCTCATGGCGCCGGCTATTGACATCCCTGCCTATATCACACATTTGGGCGCATGCTCCAATGGGCGGGCACTTTGGGCATGCACCGTTGCGAAAGCCAAGCTTTTCCTTGCACGGCCAACCCTTGACGCAATTTTCGCAGTGTCTCTTTTCTCTTTGCCTCTGATTCTTGAGTCTTGAGTCCCCTCTGTTGAGGGATCCAAGGAACCGATGAGAGCGCATCAGCTCATGATGTTGCCGATCCCTCAAAATGCCCGGGTGGCATAGCGTATCGACATCTCGCCGGCTTGAAAGTGACATTGTGACAATCATCATGACTATGCCTTGGAGACAATCCCCATCTCCTCCAGCCAAGTCTGAACCCGTTTGATATTGCCGCAAGTCAAAGATGGTTTGGGCGTTTCCTAAAGGCCGAATGGATAAGAGAGAGGCTCAAAGACAAGAATAGGGGCCAAGGGGTATGGACTCGGAAGCAGCCATGCTGTTGAGAGATCGGCACACGTAGGCATGCTTACCAACTGTCTGCTCATCTTGCGCGTGGTTTGGCCAGGCTGCCTCCGAGTTTAGTTACAGTCTGCACCCATATGATGGGGGGGGCATGTTGGCACTTGATCCAGCCGATGTCCTCCCCTCAGTGTCTCCCTCACATTTTCTCTTTCTCTCCCTAGTTTAGACAAGTAGGGTCAACTTTGACATCCTCATCTCTTGGATGTTAGTATCCACGTTCAAGTGGGTAACGGTGTTTCCGTTATGGTTGCCGGTTCTGTTTTGGTTCCTTTTTCTTTCGTTTCTTTGCCGTCGGACATCGAGATACACTGTGCTGCGCCCCTTGAGAGCTATTTTCTTTCTCGCTTATTTTTTTTCTTTTTCTTTTTTTGGGATTCAATATCAGGGTTGAGCTGTCAAACCATCATCGCCCCCCCTGTGGTAGCATCCCTAGGTCCATTATATGGATTATATTATATCATCCTTACGGCTGCTTTAAGTCTTTCCAGGCTGCGCTGCGCTGCGCCCGTCTGTTCGGCTGCCCCAAGAGGAAAATCCAGCAGAAACCTGGCTGAACACTCATCCACCATCATCATCATCCTCTCCTCTCTATCCCCTCCTTCCCCTGATTCTCTGTGTCCGGTTCTTTTCCGACAGGAAAGAACAGTCACAGACAAGTCAAGATGAAAATGAGAGGCAGCTGCCAAATTGTAGACGGGACTCTTGCCTGGCAGTGACTGTCGGTCGCAAGGTTCCTACCTTGAAAGGTAGTTAGTTAGTTTGTCTAGGTACACGTGCACTTCGTTGCTGCTCCCTGAAGGGAAGCAAGCAGGAGCGGTACACGGTACAATTAGTCAGGTACGCGCAAGCACGGTCGGTGTCAGTGGGGGGAGGGTGGTGCAGATAGAGAGGTAGGTACCTCCCGGGCCTATGCGTTCCTGGCAAGTTTCAAGGTTCTTTCCCTACCCTTCCATGGATCCGACTACTTCCCGACTGAGCCTCACTAAAAACCAACAACATGGGAAAGCATTCAGCCCACTCATGGGGAGGGGCAGTTCAATGCTTTTCCTTTCTCTTTTTTTACCTTTTTTTTTTCTTTCTTTTTTTGCTTGACCCACGACCGCAAACCAACGACGGCAACCCCGACATCATCGTCACCACGCATTGTTTCCTGTTTCCTCCCCCGTGCATCCGAAACCGTTTACCCGAGAGTGGGAGAAAACCCCACGCACTGGATATAACATCCTTTGGCTGCAACGTTCCTCCCATCCATCCACCTCGGCTGTCACATCCACCTCCATGCCCTGGTTGGTCTGCGGCTACCCGATCTTTTCTCTTCTGATGGCGTCGTCATGGCGTCGTCACAGCATCCCACCCAGCGGTATCCAGACGTTGTGAACCTAGGACCTTGCCAGCATAGCATCCTACGACGTGCGGAGAACAACAACATGCACTAGCCAGATCGCCAATAATTGTTTGGGCCAACGCATTCATGCTGCCACAAAACCCCGCTACCTCATACTCGGCTTGTCTGCCCACACACGACGCAGACGGCAGGCACATTGATGGCCCTCGCAATCGCTGATATGCGCGCGGGGAACGACCTTGCCCATGCATTGCACCCATCAGTGGAAGTGGAAGAGGGGCTGAATAGAGTGGACCCACTCGGTATGTCGGGATGGAACCCTCCAGCGAAAAGGAGGAAGAAAAGAGAGAGAGAGAAAGTCACAAACATACGCTGACGCCATTGGAGCCGCGGCAGCTTCTTCCCCTTGTCAACGGGGGTTGGGAAAGACCTCTGTCAGTTTCAACCCCATCCACAAGCCGTCTCCACGTTTGTCTCCACTTCCACTTCACATGCCCAACAACGAGCCCACTGTGACTGCTACCACTTGGTACAGGTCAGCGAATACTTACGTACTCTCGGTGTAGGAGCTGACGAGATTTATCAGGCTCCCCGAGGTTGTACGCTTGCACACTACTCGCGTACATGAATTGCGGGAAGGCCCATCGCCCGCTTACTCCGGACTGCGGAAGAGGGGACACATTCTGCCGCACGACCAGGGCAGTGGGAGCGTGGGAACTGGTGTCACATCACAATCAAATCACGAGCCGGCCCTCGAGGCAATGCACTTAACCTCGCGTCAATTGTTCTGGTAATGGCACCAGCGTCGGTCGCACATTGAAAGTGAAAGATATTGCGCTGGACGCCTTGTTTGCGCATCCTCTGAATCATTCGTCGTTCCAATGCGACGCAGTCGCCTTGTCACACGCGCCAGCTGCACGCTCATCGCATGTCTCTGATCGGCGGCCTGTTACTGGAAGCTTTTGCACCGGACCGACAACACCCATAAGAAGCAGGGGGGGTAATAATTTTTAATAAACATTTTCCCCGGGGTTTTACGATATAGTCGTTTGTTCATGCCGGCCCTGCTATTTCTCAACGCACCGCATTGCCACACGCTGCACACTGGCATGACTATGCGATGTTGCGTGGTGCCACGGTACTTCGCGCGATGCTTTTAGCTACCGACATGACCAAATGAACCTGCCCCTTCTCGGCTGTCCCGTCTCTAGCTCCTGGCAAAGCATAACCCTTCCAAAAGGTGATCTATGTGCCGAGTCACGATTGGTGGGACATCTCTCACATCTCTGGTCTCCCTCCCACTTACGAATACGAATACTCCATTCTGTCAAGCACTGGATACATACCATGAGTGACTTTTGTGGGGAGAGCGCGATAATTGACTTTGCTGCCAGCAGAGAGCAATGAATCTGCAAAAGGGACGTAAGCATAAACAAAATTTGACAACGCAAACACACTACCTCTGGTAGTGAGAGGGCCGGAACCACTACGGCACCACCATCGCATCTCGCTCACGGACTACGCGGGTAAAGAAAATTGATTGTGAGGATCGTCTGGGGTGAAGCAACTCAGCTGCCCAATCCTGCAAGCACAGGAGAAGACATGCTGGGATTCATCGCGGGATCGTCACTTTGGGCGTTAACTCGCCCACCATAATGCAGCACACGGGTGCAACTGGCTGATGGGCTTTTTTCTTATAGGATAGGGGACCTGAACCACCGTGGATCCTGCGGATGCATTGGCCCTCGACTCGCGCGGGTGAGCCTAAATTTCCCGGTTCACTGCACTGCAGCTGAAAGCCGAAGCGAACGGCCCTTGAATTACCAATCTCGGCGAGTGGCGTGCTTTGTTTACAAAGATGGAATGAACTGTATGCATATCGATCGTATTTCGATCCTTCGATTCAATCAAGCTGGGCGGACAGGAGGAAACATGCGTTGGACAAAGCAAAGAACAGTTCCATGCCCGCCAATGTGTCTTGACTAGCCGACTTGCCCGATTAGGACTTGGGATGAGGCACCAGCCTGTCAGGACGCTTGCAACATCAACAACCCCTGTGTTCGTCTTGAGTGCGTCTCGGACTGCTCGGGGGGTCAACTGTCAGTCAGGTCGCCCTCTACCGTCGGTCAGAGGATGTCAGCATAGCAATCCGCCCCTCTCCCCCCTCTTCCCTGCCTTTCCACGCCTCTCTCAAGTGTATATCACTCCAAGAACCTTGCTTTCGTCCTCGATTCGATTTTCCACGGCGAAACTCATTCAACTACCTACCATGCATAGGCTCCCACTGCACATCATTTTGCGTTTGGGCATGGGTGGCACGGCGCAACGCAACTCGGCAAACCTTGTCATCGAAAGGAATCAGCCGGATTGTGGGGGGGCCGGCACATTGCGATCACTCACTGGAACACAGTTACCTCACTTGCCCTTGTACAGTCTTCCGCACGGGAAATATGATGGCCATAGAGCTGTTTCACCACTTTGTGATCATCACGGTTTAAAGGGGCTTACGACCGATACCTTGGCTCACAGACATTGCTTATGGTCCAATTTAGGTCGATCATTTGTTGCCCTCTGACTGGGCTGTGCCTAACTTTCCCCAGGTTTCATTGCCCCGAACAAACAAGTTAGTTAGCCGTCGAGCTTTCTTGATCCTGGATGGTCAAGTAAAGTGCAGGCTTTCCATCGTTTGTGTGCTATTCCCGACGGATGGCGGCAGGATTCGTGACTCGAAGGACAAATGAAGGAGGACGGGGTTTGGACCTGGGTCCGAAAGGGCAAACGCAAGGAACCCCGAAGCACCATTGAAGGCTCTCGCTCGGTGAGCGTATTAATCAAGGCCTCAAGCCGCAAACCGAAGACCATCGGTTCCACGGACTGGTGTTACGGCCAAGCGTCCGCGGGCGCGTTCCGAGCAGCCGTTGTAAGAGACCAGATGGCGTTGATGGCCCAGGACCCCGGGGACGCGCGGAACGGCACCACCGACAAAAAATTAGCGACGAACCCCCCGTGACTGAGTTCAGCACCACTTCATCCCTCGTTCCCGGCCTCCAAGAATAGGTGCTGGCGCCTGCGCGTCTCACGTAAAGGGCATTCGGTGGCCCCTTAGCGATCGCAATGAGACTCTGTAAGCGCAACGTCGGAATGGGGCATAGTCGGCACATACTATGGCCATGGGTGGCAAGCGATGGCGGGTCTGCAGACGTAAGATGGGTTGCATCGAGCAGGCAGGCTCTGCTTGTCGGTATCGCAATGGCAACGTCTAGGACCAGGTCCCCAAGATTTCAAGCAACGCTATAGCAGGTTGGTATTATGCTTTGGTACTGACTCAATAAACAACAAGGCGGAGCCGCGTAGCGCCGCGTCCGCGCACTCGTTTCCACCGTCGCCAGAAAGATTGTCTTGCGTCCCTCTTCGGCAGATGGATCAACAAAGCATCGGCTTGTCAGGTTGAGCTGTTATGGCGGCTCGGGGAAGTCTGGAAACTAGGAAGCAGCCTGTTGGGAAAGGGGGCAGTCCATATCGTGCCTGACCCGACACTTGACAAGTGCTCCCCAACTGTGAAGGCCCCCCGTAAACCGATGCATCGACCATTCCGTCCACAGCCTCGCTTGCATCACCGAGCGGGCTAGAGGCCTAATGCTCATCGTTCGAACATTGCCGCAGGAGTAACCCAGCCACGGCTGAGGAGGAGGGGCCTTGACAACCAAAGGGCTGCTCTGTTGGGTTGCTCTGTTGGGCATTGTCCATGGACTACTGCCTAGGCGCCTAAGCGGCAACAGAGGCGGTAAGACTAGGGGGGAGGGGGAAGCGCGCGGCCCTCGCATGCTACGAATATTCGAAACGCGGAGCGAGATCCCCCCCCCTGCTGCTCTGAACGTAGAGCCTGCACGCGCAGTCGTCTCGAGTTTATCGGGACTAGGATGATGGCCTTGCGTGCATCAAACGGTGAGCTCGCCATCCAAGGCTGAGTGAGCCCTTCTAGAAGGCTTCCATACACGGAATCTCTCCCATAATGGAAACCCACCCCTTCCCATACAACCCCAATTCGGCGTGCCTCAGCTCCGGGCTCCGAACCCCGGTCAGCTGGTGCAGATCACTCCACAGACGGCCCTGCTGGTCGGGACAGCCGTTATCGTCTGTAAACCATACCATGTAGTTTATTTATGTATCTCACTCCTTTTCTATCCGTTTTCGAGGATGCATATCAGATGCTGTCTTTTCTGTTATTGATTGTGAGAAACCAAGGTGGCTTGCCCCCCCCCCCCCCCCCCACTCCACACACGACTTCTTCCTGACCCTCCCCACCGCAGAATTCCCATCCCTATCTCCTCATATCCATGTTCTGAAAACAGCAGGCGGGCAGCGTTTGAGGGCGGTGGAGTATGTGATGTGCGGCTGAGAGGAATCCTGGGACGGCCAAGGATCCCGTTAACCTTGTCTCATGGCGCAACGATTTAGCTGCAGCTTCCTTGAGGCCATCGTGTCGTGGGCTCGTGGTGGACAAGGGGGATGAAATCGCTTTCCCAGGGCCGCTAGCGTTGGGCGCTACTCATGGCTGCGTCGTATTCCTCCAACCTTGCTTCCAAGCACTGGGCGGCTGTGTATGGCATCGTATGGTGCAGCAGCCTCGAGAAATCCAATGTCATAGGACAACACGGTCGCCTGTGGGCGGCGACAAAAAAAAAATAAGAAAAAAAAAAGGTCCTGTATGATGTTGTCCTGGTTGGGCTGTCTGCCCCCTCCCCCACGGCAGCCTGAAGTGTCACGCGATGTGTGTGTGTGTGTGTGTGTACACGTGTGTGTGTTGCGGAGCTAGATGCCGAGCGACGCTGCTATTCTTGTGCGAGGGATTTCCAATCCATCGTAGAGTCGCAGCTAATTGCGACAAGCGGGGCTTGCACGATTCGTCGGAATAATTTTCTGGGAGGGGTCTGATTCTAGGGTTCCTTCTCGGGATTGGATTGTCGTTTTACCATCCATCGCAACTTCGCTTCGTGGCCATGCAGCATTCAGCGGGTGGTGTATCTTACACATGGGGTTGCCGGCAGTCAGTCAGAGGTAAAGTACACCGAAAAAGGAAATCGAGGTCACATTGCCATGGTTCTCTCGAGCAGGGTGCTAATTCACAATGCCATAGTCTTGAAACCCCCGTTCCCGCCTCCGAAACAATCCTTTAGCTATTCAAGCACGCCCTGGCCAAGTCAAACCGTTAGGACATATCATAAGCCAATCCTGAGATCGCAACGTGCTTCAAGGGGTGGTAGGCGTGTTGTTGTGGTTCGAGCCCTTCACTCCATTCTGTGGCCACGGCGAAACGACGGTTCATGGGGTTTTGTGTGTGTGTAAGCGGCGGCATAGCTCGCCTCACGTCGTCTTTGTCATTGCGCAACGGATGTTAATATCGGTCAAATATTGCCGTAGTCGAGGCATTACCGTGCGGAAGGCACACGCCCACCATCCGTCATTTCTCGATGCGCAAGCGAACTTCCAAAACCCGTAATCTTTCCATGTGGCCGGCCCATCCTGGCTGAAGACCCGGCCTCACAATGCCGGACGAGGGACGGGTGAGCGCTTGCGAGACGCACAAAAGGCATACGCACCGTTAAGCTTCATCTCAGGACGAAGCATTATTGTGGAGATGGTCGCGGCTCGAGGAACGTACGTTCTGACTCCAGAGTGAACCACGTCCAAACACCGGCTTCGGTTCCACGGACGTCGGGACCCGCGTCTGGGAGATTGCAAGTCTGCTGCGACCAGCCAGTTGCCCCAAGCATGTCTCTCTCTGTAGCGCCCGCCATCAAGCCATGCGACGCCCACTATGAGCAGATTCTGCCCACCTCCCCCGACGTTTCCCTTTCACTTTCCTCCGAAGTGGCCCCTCTAAATGGGCCGGGCGCCGCCGTCATAGCACTTGCCCCGGGCGTCGGCTTCGGCCCGCCCGTGGACGGCCGGAGCAGGGGCTGCCGAGCGATGTGGCGCCGAGTGAGCTTCACGATAACCTCACATCATGCCCCGAACCCACCCCGTCTGCCTGGCCCTGTTCTTGTCTCCATTCCCGCCACCATCACTATGATTCAGTCTGACACCACGAACGCTGGCAGAAGGAATTGTGTCAGTCGAGTCAGGCTCGCACCTCTCACTAATCGCCACACTGCAAAGGCGGCCTGCTTACATCAGGCCCATGGCTCCGTCAAAGTGCCGTTCCCTCCAACCGCGAAGCCCGGCCCTCCGCCACATGTTTTCGCTCTTGCAGCACGAGTTTCTGGATCAGGCATCTCAGACCAGTGTCTCCGGGCGTCGAGACAAGGAGATCGGTTCTCGGCTCGCACCACTCACACTCTACCCCGGGGCCGGCCCTCTCGACGTTGCTACGCTGGCGACCAAACGTCCTCCGGGGGCTTTGTGACCTGTCACGTCGACGCTCGCTCCGGGATCAAGAGGCGGCTCCGAGGGGCTTCTACGCCCGTACGGACCTCAAAAGACGCGTTGCTACGCTGGAGAGTCTTGGAATGTGTGGCTGTCCCGAAACGGTCGCTGATAATCATAGCTGATGCCTATTGCGCCGCAGACGCGTCTCATGGTTGCTAAAGTGCCGTCTGCACCATGCAATGGCTGTCTGCCTACATGTCCACAGCCGGGCTAGGTCTGCAGCAGAAGCCATCCATCCATCCATCCCTCCTCCATCATGTATGGATGTCTGCAAAGAGTTGTTTGCTGCGCCGTACACACCCCGCGTACTCACCTCACTTCGTTCTTCCCACCCTGTCTTGCAACCATCCGCCTGCCGCCTTACTGCTTTCTTCACGTCGTGCAGCCTGCAGGCGTACGCCAGCGTCACGGGACCCGTTTTTGCTGATTACGTTGCTGCTGGAATGCCTATCGACGGCGCCATAGCAGCGATGTCACTAGCAGATGCCAGGGAGAGGGGTCGGTGAGGCGGACGACTTCCGTACCTTCACCGAATCACGCGTTACTTACTTTCTTCTGCTCGTACAACCTGAGCTGTCAGCTCGAGCTATCGCCAACACGCATACCCCTCGCGTCTCGTGTTGATAAAGGTTATTGTGGAGAGGAGGACGACACTCTTGTGCCCGGTCACCCGGGGGGAGCTTCACCTCAGCTCAGGCGTCCTGACCTGGGTTGGCGTCTTCATCTGACTCATGAGCAGCATGGGCGTCTCTATCGTGCCCAAGAATCGCACCTTATATGCCTCACGCATGTCAGCAAGGAGGACGACGGCCGTTCTTTGGACCTTTGTGAGCAGTCATTTGCGACTGCGGATTCTCGTCGCATCGGGAGAGGCACTGCAGCTTTCTCGCCACAAGGCAGCTGGGCAAGCGAGGGCGCATGGACGTCCTGCGCCGTTCTGCTTCTGGAATACTCCGGTGGCATGCTCCGGTATTAGTGTCCATCGAGGGGCAGCCTGCTGATGATGTTTGTGATTCTCGAGAGACCTTGTGGCATGGTCTGCCACGTCACTATGGGTGAGATTTGACCCGTCGCCTCCAGTCATTGCAGCTTACCCTTTGCGCTGAGGGTTTTTCTATTCTATCCTTGTCTTGCTTTTCGCAGCTGTTTTTTTCTTCTTTTTTTTTTTAGACCAGTCGGATCTGATATTTATGCAACGCTCATCCGTTTCTATAGCCGTTGGCGCCGTTTCCGTACCCCAGGAAGTGCCCTGACGCTGGACAGCTCCCACTGCTCGTAACCGATCGTATCCCTGCTGGTCCTG